GACCTTCACGCCTCCCGGCGGTTGCCCTATATGGTAACGGCAACTGCCTTCGCGCTGCGTTTGCTAAGCAATATCGCAAGCGCGCAGAGCGCGCGCGCCGGCTTCGTGGGCCGGCGCGTTTGGTTACCAGATCACCAGAAGTTTTGGAAATGCAGGAGCTATTCACGCATGCAATTTCCACGTTGCACATGGTCGCGTGCTTCTAAGCACATAGAGCACACACGGCCCTCTAGTACTGTCGCATTGCTTCTAGCAACGGATAAGTGCATCTGCATCTTGACCTACTTCGTGCTCTTACCCGGCTTCGGCTATTAGTATATACAGCTGAAACTGATTACTTTACCTTCTCGACTTGCCCACTGGAACCCCTGCACGATGCTGTCCTTGCAGGTTTGCAGCAGCTGCTTATTCACATCCAGCGTATCGTTCAAGAGCATGTTGCAGCCGCGATCCGTCGGGCCAAAGCCCCAGATGCCCATGGCCGCGAGCAAATCCCACTGGTGCTCGTTCCGGAAGTAGTCCCGCATTTCCTTGCTGCCGAGCTCCCACGTGGGCAGGATGCGCCCTCGCTCGATATCGTCGTGCTATTGTGAGGAAAAATGCCCCCTCCCCATATCGAAAGCGAAATTTGTGCTGCTGTATTTGAGTACACAAATCGCATTTGTCTTGCTGGAGAGGACTGCAGACCCATATCAAGCCGGAGTAGAGAGGCTTTGACTTAGGCACTTAGCATGAAAAGCGTCCGTGATGTTGGCTCAACAGCATGACAAACCGCCTCCATAATGGGACGGAAGCTGCTGCCCTTGTCTTCTTGCAACACAAACGTGATTTGTGACCTCAAATCAGCAACACAAATTTTCGAAAACCTACTTCCCCAATATGGGGAGGGGGGATTTTTCCTTGCGATACGTGCACGGGTTTCTCCAGCGGGTCGCAGGTCATGAAGAGCTTGTATCCTGAGTAAAAACGTACCCACACCAGAGTCAAGATGGGGAATCGGCTAGACAAATCCACAAGCTTTGGCTGTTTTGCATGACAAATTTGGATTCGTAGCGTAGTGCTGTTTGAGCTAGCTCAGCAGCATCACAGATCTAGCATACCATGCTGATTGGAGCATGACAAATTGCAAAACATGACTAGAAAATGCTTCTCATGGAGCTCCGCATGAGAAACATTTTCAGCATGCAGATTTGCATTACAACTCTGGTGTGGGTACGTTTTTACTCAGGATAGCTTGTTCTGTTTGTTCATGCTGTCGGCCTGGCATTTCATGCTACTGGTTTCGGACACTGTTTCTTGGAAGGACACGATGGGGTCGGAAACCTTGATTTCCAGATCGCCGTAGAGTCGTCGTAAGTCGTGCAATACGCAGTCCAGGTAGAGCTCGCCCGTGCCTGTAGAAAAGTCACAATTTCAATTTCATCTCACATTACGTTGGCAATAAGGCGTGGTGTTCTGATGAACCAGAAGGAGCGAATGAATGGAAATGGATTCAAGTGCCCTACGTAAAGAAACAAATTTTTCCATATAGTCAATACAGTTCTGTTGTATCTCTACCTTGTATGACGTGTTCTCCGCTTTCCTCTACTTTCGTGTAGCAGATTGGGTAACTCTTGTCGATTTTTCTCAACCCCGCGACCATCTTTGGCAACTCGGAAGGATTCAGTGGCTCCAGTGCGATTTTGCAGCAGGGGGTCGTGCTGTGCGCCAGGGGACGGAAGATTTCGATTTCTTCTTCGATGTCCTGACTTGTGATAGTGCTGGTCTTCACGATCGTGCCGTCGACGCCCCCAATCAGGACCCAGTTTCCGGCAGGCACGTGCGAAATCTCGACTCGATATCGGCCCTGCGAGATCCAGAGCGACTGCGCCACGCGGTTCGACCGGTCTTCATCGTCAGACAGCGAGTAGTTCTCACCCAGGACTTGCACGCGGTCGCCCTGTTTTTGATGAATATTTATTCAGCGTTAGATCATGGTAGGCCGGATCAGGTGTACTCAGTCTGATACATAGATATCTATGTAGAGAAACGAAAATCATGTAGTTGTCCTGTCGTACAACGATACCGTATGCAGCGTTCCGCTCATCACCCTCCCCAGCACATCGAAAGTGCTCAGATCTGGGTGGTGGTAGCACTTGACTGTGTGCACCACGAGCTCTCCCTTGGGGTCCAGTGCGAGCATGTCTGTCGCGACTTTCCCGGTCTGGTCTCCTGTGTACGTCCTGTGCACCTTCAACTCGGCCATCGTGCGCGGGTTTCGGATGTGCTTCACCACCGCATCCACCAGGGCGCTGTTCCCCTGGAAGAAGTGCTTGCCGACGGATTTCAGCATGTTCTTCGTGGACATCTTGAAGTCGCGCTTGGGCATGTAAATCCCGACGGATTCGTAGATCGGAATCAGCGTTTCCTTTTCTTCCCCCAGCGTGTGGCCGATCAGTTTGTACAGCGGCTCCAGGATAAACGCGACGAATGTTCGCACCGGGTCCTCGAAGTCCTCCGGTGGCTCGCGGGCGAACTTCCGCGTCTCCTCATTGAAGTAAATGTCGCCCCAAAGGAGCGGCGCGAATTCTTTCCGGTCGAAGCTGTTACCGTACGTGTCGGCGTAGCTGTTTTTGATTTATTCTTGGGAATCCACATTTACTTACATAGATTATAGCAAATACACATCGAAACCTCTCCTCAAGTAGGCTTCACCTTCAAAAAGGTTCCCATAAGAAACTACGCACAAAGTCGAATAGTAAGCTAGTAGCAAATTCAATACATGGACGCGAAGCTGCCCAGAGAAAAGACGAAGTTGAAGAGGCCCGCGGCGAAAATGACGTTGCCCTTCGTTGGGGATAAAATCTTGCGCTGCGCCGGCACGTTCAGCATGGTGTGGATGTTTTCCAGGCAGGTGTTCACCTCGTCAATGGTGTGCTTGATTTTGTGGTAGGCGTCCGCCGGCGGGAGCTTCAACTCCGTGACCAACCGGTCGATTTTGTTCACGCACAAAACCACATCCAGTCCCTCCTGCACGACGTGCTTCAGGAGCCGCTCGTCGTGCGCGCCGACCCCCATGACCACGTCCACGACGAACAGAACCCCGTCCGAAATGCGCACGCCGGCCACCACCTCGTCTTGGAAGTTCGGGTGGCCCGGGGTGTCCATCAAATTGCACAGGTAGGTCTTGTCCGTGCCGTCGGGCAACAAGAGCGAGATCGGGCTCGCTTTGATGCTCAATCCGCGTTCTGCTTCGTCCCTTCTCGAATCCAAAAACCGCATCGATTCCTGCTGCTTCGCCTGGCTGTCCTTCAGCTTCGTAGACTTAAATTCGTGGGTCTCGCGGATGGCGCAATCCACCAGCGTGGTCTTGCCGCTCTGCAAATGCCCAACAACCGCAATGTTGCGGATCAGCTCGGGCTCCTGCATAATGCCCGCCATGTAGTCGAACTTGAACGACGTGTCCGGAATCTGATTTTCATACGAATAAATTTGCACGTGGAGAATGCCGGTGTAGCAGGAGGTGAAAAATCAGTACATTTCGAAAATCAAAGGTCAAGCAGGGTATTTAAACATCAACAAGCAGCACTAGCACACTACTGGACTAAAACTTCTCCTGTTCCGCCCACTAGTCAGAAAACTTTCCCTTATCCATACCTGCTTCTCGATGAGGTCGAAGTCGAACACCCGTGCTGGCGGGATGATTGGCTCCGTGATCGGCATGGTATCCTCTTCCTGTACCAACACCACCGCTTCCGGGCCGTATATCTCCTCCGCCTCTGGGTAGTACTGCTTGTCTTCGTGGAGCACCACCGCTCGTTTCTCTGGTGGCAGGTCCGGGATCACCGGATTCACCGCGGCCGCGGCCGAAGCCGCCTCGTCCATGCCGGAGGCGGCGTAGCCCCCGCCCGGCATGGTGCTGCCCACATCGACATCATCGTCCAGGTCCTCGTCGTATCAAATGCAAAAATGTCTGGGTCTGGAAGAATGCAACTTGTCATGCTAGATCTGAAGCATGCAAAAATCTGTGTTGCATGATTACCAAAAGTCGTCCAGTTTTGACCAAGTCGGGAGGGAGTTTCTCATGCAGGATAGGCATGAAAGAGATCGCACAGAATCTGTCATGTTAGGCCCTGCATTCCAGACCTCATGGGTCATGGAAAACCTGCGTGACAAATCTCGCAATCTTCCAGACCCAGACATTTTTGCATTTGATACGTCGCTGTCGTCCGACAAGTCGCCGCCGATGTAGTTTCCGAACTCGTCGTACGCGGATTCGTCCATGGTGTCGTGGTTTTCCTAATAGTCCGCAGACTTACTCTTCATAAACTTCAAATAGCACAAATCGTGACGAAACAGTGTTGCTTGTGAAACCTAATAAAACGATTTCCGAGTCGTAGTTCTTCTGTGTAACGAGCATAATCTAATAGCGTGTCATTACTGGGCCTACTGTCGCGCTGTTGTCAGATCAGGCAGTCCGTGCTACTTTCTTTTTTGTACAGAAAGTGCCGCAGGAAAAAAAGATTTTATTGTACAGAAGGTGCCAAAGATCCGCACTACTTTGGATCATCGAAAAAGAGCAGAGGACAGACACAGATCGAAGTGCATTTACAAATTTTCGAGCCACAAGGATCATTGTCTGGTAGAGACGTGAAAAATTAATCGAACGTCGGCTGCACAGGGTTGCGTGCAGATTCTTTTCGAGCCTGCCAAAGTTCTAAAGAAGGAGGATGCTATCGGCCTCCTCGGAGATCTTCTTGCCTCGTACGATCTTGATTCACTGTGAATATATTTCGTCGAGATCCGACGAAAGGTGAAGAACACCCAAGCGGTGCGCAACTTTGCGTCTTTCTGCTGTCAAATTTCCAAATTTTCCATATACTTTGAGTTTGTTTATCGATCCATTCTTGATTCTTCGAGGAAAAGAAAAGAAACAACTTCACACTCGAAACGCTACTCAGTGGTAGCAACAGGTGGAGCACGTAGTTTTACGTAAGTTCATTCCGCTCCCAGTCGGATGAGAACTCAGGCAGTTCTCGCCACCTGAGAGGCTCTTCTATCCTCTCGTCATTTCTTCACGCAAAAGGAGTTCCTGGTTACTTCCCCTTCTTTTTAGTCGTCTGCACAACGTCCTGAGTTTTCGGCACGTCGCAGAAGTTTGAGTCTTTCGGACTGGGTAACCCCCAGTGCTTCAAGTCTTGCTGCGTGACTCCCGCTCCTTCCTCCTCACCCGGGGCCGGGGGAAAAATCGTGTCCAGCATATCTTTGTACAGCTGCGAAGCCACATGATTCGTTTCCTCGTTGTTTTTCGGACCCGGAAACAAGAGCGCCAGCGCTTCAGCATAAGCGCAAACAGCCCCGCGCGCCAAGGTGGCGACGTACAACCCCAGCGGGGTTTCCACGAACGTGTGATAAATCTCGTGTATGTCATTAGAAATCGCTTTCCGGAACTCGCGCCACGCTTCCCAGTGTTGATCCTGCAAATGAATCTTCTTCTGCAAGGGAATAGCGACTTTTTGTTCAAACAAATTGAACATCGTATCCACTGTCTTGGCAACAACTGCGCCCCCCTGGTGCGCAGCTACTACACACACCGCGAGGGCGCTCGCTAGCGCGCCGGTCAGAAACTCCTGGAGCGGATCCGCGAAACGGGCGAGCGCGATGATCATCGCCACGTCCCGCAGTGCGTCCTTTGACTTGCTCACCTGTGAGGTTCCAATTTATTTCAGGAACTTATTTCGTATATATTTATTGTGAGTTCCAATCTTAGGAACGAAGGTCAAGCGCCACGCTCGCCTATCATCATCATCATCTAACTGCACTGGGGGGGGAGCGTGCAATGGGTTGGGACCTGGTTCAAGTTCAACTTTGAGAGCAAGTCACAGTCAGGGCACAGCACGACTTGCTACGACTTTCGAGTCCATCTATGATCAAGACTTTTTTCTCGTGCTCTTTTCGCGATCATTCTTCATCCTCAATTCCGTCGACCAGTTCATCGTCGTCCATCTCGCTTCCAGAGGAGCTAGTAGCGTCAGCAACATCTCGATCTGCTTCATTGTCGAGTTGCAGCGCCCTTTTCTTCTTGCACTGCTTTTCGTGGTTCAGCATCCTCGTCTTCGCCCCGATTTTTCGCTGGTATTTCCGTGGCCACGGGACCTCGTGGCTGGCGCATACCGGGCATCGTATCCGCGTCGCCTTGAACTTGCTCGCCTCGTTGTCAGGCAGGAAGCGTTCCGGTGGAAGAACGTGCTTCATCTTGTTCGTGTATTTCGGTGGTATAAAATAATTATAATCTTCGACGACGCCCCTACCAAACCAAAGCCCCAGGCCGATGCAGTCAGTTTTGCATCGTGCATTCACATCAGCACGACCGGACTCCGGGAGCGCCGCTTGGAGGCCGTATCGCCAGTGCTCCCCTGTTTCGTCCGTAGAGAGCACGCATGTGCCGGTGGTCAGCAACAGCACCAAGTTGTCCATCATCTGCAGCTTGTCATCGGTGAGAGAGGCCATCAGCTACGTGTCAACAAGGACACGCAGCTGGAGAAAGTCTCGCTGTGCATCACGAGCAGCCTGCCATCGGTGAGGAAGAGGAAGCCATCAACTACGTGCCAACAGGGGCACGCAGCCGGAACATGAGACTGCAGCACGCAGTCAGCCAGCCAAAGATCCGTCGCGGGAACAGGAACCAACCGGGAGCGGTGGGCGGGGTTTTCTTGAAAACATCCCACAACATCCGCGCGCGCGCGCGGCTACACCTAAGAGCTTTAGGGTCTTCACACTCTCGGCCCACATCCATCTTTCTCTCACGCATCACTCCGCAGCACGCATCCACCAAAAACATCCAAGAAAGGATCCACATGCAAAGCAGCGCAACCAACTGACATCGGCCGCCTGGGGCTGTCTCATCTTTTAATTATTTGTCGGCACTACTGAGGGCCGTGAATACAATTCCCGGACTTGCCATGCAAAAACTCTTCGACCGGACCGCAGTAATCTCCTGGCTCCGACACGAGACGCACGAACTCATCCGCTTTGTGCAAGTTCAAGTGCGCCCGCAGTGCTCGGAGGCTCCCACCAAGATTCACGTCGCAGGTTCTGCATCGCAACGCCCCGCCCTCGCCAGGGGCAGGCCCGTATATCCCGCCCGAGTCCGCAATAATCTTCTCCTCCTGTCGCGCCGTTGTGTCAGTACTGAGCTCGACCTGTTTCGCCCGAAGTCGCTGGGCGCTTCGTGTCGGCTGGCCCGCGGCGCGCCTGTTGTTGACCGGCGGCCGGTGCTCGTCGTACCGCAGACGCTGCCGACCCGTCTCTCGCCCCGCTTGCTCGCCTGCGACGCCCTCAGCAAGTTCTCCAGCTTTTCCTTTTCTGTTGCCGCGCAGGTGCCGTCGGTGGGGTAGCGCAACAAAAGGCCCGCGCTGTCGAGGTTCTTCTGCTCCGGCGGAAATACTGCCCGCGCGCGCCGCGTCGATTCGGAGACCACTGCATACGTTACTGTAAACATGCAGGGACTTGAAGGACAACCCTCTTGGAGTCCGATCGGAAGAATAAAATCTTCCTGCTCCCGCGCTTCCTGGCACCAGGCGTCGCGGTGGCAGGCCGACAACCCTGCCCAGGTGCGTGCGCGGGAGATCCCAAGCCGATCGCTGACCGACGTAACACATTTCCAGCTCAATGATGGAAATGCTTTTCTTAGATCAAGAAACAGCCCCCACGGGACCGCGTACTGTTCATGATTCTGGAAGTCGCGAGCATCTTCAGTCATGCGCCGGAATAGTACGAGGGCGTCGCTTGCGTTTCTCCCGGGAACAAGCCCCCCCGAAGCTTTCCGGGTCTATCAGGCCGTGTTCGACGATGACGGCCTGCAGCCGCTTCGTGAGGCAGTGCGCGAGCACTTTTGCCAAAGTCGGCACCGCCGATATGCCACGATAAGTCGCGAGTTTTGTGCGGTCGCCCGTTTTGTGTTGCCAGGTGATCTTGGTCCGCCGGTACATGCGGCCAATGCGCTGCAGGCCCCGCCCAGCCGCAAGTTCGCAGCTCAGCTCGTCCAAAAATATCTGCGCGCAAGCATCGTCAAGCGCATCGAAGACCTGCTTCGGCCAGCATTGGAAGTCGTTCCCGGGCCGCACCTCCTTCAGCGCCTTCCGCCATTCAGCTAAGTCGATCGGCCGATCAAGGTCGCGCACGCAGCTCTGCGGAAGCGGGTCCACGTACTCCGTGGCGTCGAAACTGCAATGCGGGTGGGCCTTCGCGATGACCTGCGTGAGGTAGAACTCCGCCCAGCCGCCCGGCGCAGTTGATGGCCCCCGCTGTTTCCTGCACCCTCCGATGTGCGCCCAAAGCGCCCGAAGCTTCGATGGGCAGCCCGCTGGAGCAGCTGCAGCAGCAGGGGCACACTCTTCGCGAATGCGCTTCTGCTCTTTCTTGTCGGCCTTAATGCGAAGAGCCCGCTCCTGCCCGGTTTCCATCAGAACTGCCTCGGATTCCGACATCGCCGCCAAAAACTTTTGCAACCCCGAGGGCGCATCTCCGCCTGGATCATCAAGTGCGCCGTCGCCACCGGGGATGAGGGAGGGGTTGGCCGCGGCCTGGGAACGCAGGGTGGACTGACAGCACCTGACTGGAAAAGAATGCCTGTAGCTCCGGCGTGATGGGGACGACCCCGACCCACTTCTGCCCTTTCCGTGTTTGCCCCGTCACCCCGTCATCTACACCAGCCCGAGGAACCGCAAGCGTGATGGTCTTCCCGTAATGGTCCAGCGCTGTTGTGCCATCTTCCCGCAGCGTAGTCTTGTCACGCAGAACTTCGCACCGCTCGACCTTCTGGACCCGTCCCAGGAAGCGGCCGGCCGTAATGAAGCCGCCAACTTCCGATCGCTGCTCCCCCCGAAAAAAGGTATAGCGGTCGTCGCCATTGTCGCCAATCTCGAAAAACGAATCAACGAGCCGGAGGTTGTTCTTGGACAAGAACCGCAGCAGTGCGTGCCCCTTGGGGCTTGTAGGCTTTGTCGTACAAGCGTGCTCCCCGACCGCAAACCCGGCAACCTCGGCCCCGACATGGCAGCTCAAATCTCCCGCGATGAAGAACGGAAGGTCGCGGCGCCCCTTCCGTCGCAGCGTGCGACGCACGTATTTGCCGAGGTCCCGCAGGTAGGCAGCAACGTCGGCAGGGTCGGCATTGGCGGGTGCGTAGGCGCTGAACAAGGTGAAGCTGCGGAAAAACCCCGCGCAGGTTCGCTCCCGCACCTCGAATCGTTCTGCTAGGTCTTCGTCAGTCAGCCTGGTGAGCTCGTCGAAGACCGGTCCGCTGCGCACCGCAATGCCTGCGCCCGGCCCAAGGCAGGCGATATATCCCCGCCCCCGTGTCACGTAGTCCTTCGTCTCGGCGATGCAGGCGGAAGAGCTGGCCTCGGAGTCCGAGTCTGCATCTGCTGCAGCTGCGACCCCCTGTATGGTCTCGCCGTTTAACCGTTTGACTCCTTGTAGCCCGCAGCCCGACTTCCCCCACCGGGTTTCTGATAAAGCGATGACACCAAAGCGCTCCGGGGCGTTCTGCAGAATACGGTCCCGAGCGTCAACCCCGATCACCGCCTCCCGAACGTTCTGCGTCGTGATTTCAACCGAGTCGCAGTCGCCTGCAGCCCCGGCATTGAAGACGTTGTAGTCGGAACAGGGCCGACGCGCAAAACGGGAGTAGTCACAGGGCTTTTTGTCGTCGGTCTTCTTCTTCTTGGTACTGTCCTGCTGCGCAGGTGCCGCGTCGTCTGTTGCCGGTGCTGCTGCTTTCCTGGCCTGTCGCGCCTGGCGACTTGCAAGAACAGCTTCAGAGTACGAGGGGCAGATCTCGGCTGCGTAGTCAGCAGGACGAGCGGCCCGCCCGCTCGTGAGTCGCAGACTGTACTTCGAAACCCGAAGCCCATCGCTGCTGTCTCCCGTCTGCATCGCTATTCCCTCGCTCGCAAGACCAAATACGACCTTCGCAGCATGTCGAACACAGGAACTTCTATCAAGGCGGGCCGTGGGTGCTGCCCTGCTCTTCCGCGGACACTTTCTTTTTGTTCTTCTGAAACAGGAGCGAAACACGGCACAGACATTCTCCCAGACGTTCGCTATCAGACTGTCAAGGTAGAGCAGTAGTGTAGATCCAATCCAAACAAGGTCAATAATCTTTGTCTTCAAGTCGATCGCCGCAACACTGCAGCATGCGATCCCGATGTACAACAGAAAAATCCTCAACCCGAGTTCGCAGGTGCCGGAGCTCTTTGTCTCCGTGCTGCGCTGAAAAAATACCGGGTCCTTCAAGGTGCGAGAGCAAAAGGTCCTGGCCGGATGCAGTGCACCATGCTGAAAAAATACGGCAGTGGAGCGAGTAAACGTAGGTGTGGACGCATAGCATCGTCCTTGTTGCTGGATCGCTTCACATCCAAAAGTCATGACGTCGTAGAGCACTTTGGTAATGACATGTCGAAGAGGAAAAAGATGTCGCGTTACTTCGTACGAAACAGGCATGATGATCAGCTGGATCAGTAAGGAGAAGAACCTGGGGGAGACGATCCAACTCGCGGTAATGAGGCAGAGGTAGATGGTCAAGTTGATGAAATCGATGCAGCGAACCGCTCCGGTTATCGGGAGGGCGCACCAGCCCCACTGCCATTCATTGCTGCTGCAGCCGCTGCTGCTCCCGAGCCCAGCACTGGCACACTCCGCTTCGCACGCGTGTCCTCCACGGGCTTCTCCAGCGCTTCTTCCCGCTGTCGCTTCGACGCCGGCTGTCCGCCATCCTGCTCCACCAGCGGGTTGCTTCCTGTTCTGGGTTCCTGCGGCGGTGCCGCGACCTGTGGCGGTGCTGCCGTTGCCACCGAGGCCTGGGTTCCCGTCGGTCCGCCCACCGCGCCCTTCGCCCCCAGTGTCGCTGCAGCGCCCTTCTTCCCGTATAACGATATCTGTATTTTTCGAAGATTCATTATCGTGATTTGCGTAAATGGGGAAGAACTTTGCGCCATGATCGTGCGTCATATTTCCACTTCCTGCCGGCTTGCATGCTGTCGCTGGAAAGGAAGTCTTGTAGGCTTTGCGCCCCGCAACTCGAATAAATGCGCGATCGCGCGCGATGTCGCAGCTAGCCCCATCGTCGGTCTTGCTCTTCTGTTCGGTGACGCCCTCCGCATGCGTTGGCAGAGGTGTCGCCGGCGTGAGCGATGGATTTCTTAGACTGTGGAGAGTGCTACAAATATCAATTACCTGACTCATCCCTGCCTGTATCGTGTTCATCATGGTCTGCAGCTGGGCGCCGACCTGAACCTTGAACCCCTCGATGTGGTTCTAGCATGCCCCGACCCGCCTCTGCATTTCCTCGCGCGAGGTGAGCATGTCCTCGCGCAGCGTGGCGAACTCCGTATCACAGACATTGTCCCTGTAAGGTCGAGAAGTGGTCCCGCGCCGCTTCGATGCCGGAGGTCGCCGCGTCGATCTTCGCCCCCTGGTCCTCGACCTTGGCCTTCATCTGTTCGAATTCCTCATCGCGGGCCGCCAGTGCTTCGTCGATGAGCACCCGGACCTCGTCGCGCGTAAACATGCTGTCGCGGCCGGGGTTGGCGCCTAAAGCGGGAAATGTACCGCCCTCCTGCATGGCCTGAGCGTTGCGCCACGGTGCGGGCGTCGGTTCTGCAAAGGTGAGCGGCTGACCAGTTTCCGTTACGAGTTGAACGTCGCGCGCAATCCAGGACCAGTGCTGCTCCCCGGTGAGCGGGTTCCTCCGCTTGTACGTGTCGATAACAAACTTCACATGAGCGCCCGGCTGCAGTTCGCTCTGTCGCTGCCCGTATTTAACGCTGCCGATTGTCGAGTAGATTCCCTTGAACCAGCCCCGTTCGGTCCGCTCCGATCTCCACTCCCCGACTCTCGTCGCGCGGAGGGGCTGCACCCAGAAAAACCCGTTGGTCACTGCTTTCGTCTTGGGGTCCCGCCCGAGATTCAAGATCTGCCCCAATACATATCCGCCTGGGAGGAGACAGTCCAGGCCAGCGGGCTCCACATCGCTGCTGTCGAGCGTAGCGCTGTAGACTTGTTTCCTGCCGGTGTAGCTGTTGTTTTCGTCCGCGCCACCGAGCGCCGGGAACGTGGTGGAGGACGACGCCGTTGCAGTTGCGCTCTCCTGCATCGTGACGTCGCTGTCGACGGCCATCCTCGACGCGCCGTAGCGCTCGAGGCAGCCGGAACGTCGGAAGTGCGGCAGTCAGGTCGCAGGGTGTAAATAAGCCGCAATCAAAAAGTTGCGATCAGGAGAAACGTCTTAACTCCATCGGAAGGCGCCTGGAGGCGAGCGCTCTCAACTATCAGTACGTGGCACAGGTGCGCACTCTCAGCACGCACGCTTTCAGCTATTTACCGCGCCTCTATATAAGTTGGGATGACACACAAGTCTGCCTGCATTCTTCCAAGACAACGCCGCCTGACATGCCAAATATAGCCGCGGCGGTGGAGGTAGTGAGGTCGCGACCGCTTTCTTGCCCCCGCCTCTGCCCGCCGCGGGCCAGCCCCGATTTTGTTCTGTGCGCGCCCACCCCCCCCCCCCCCCCCGTGGATAACGTAACGCCGCACGGACTGGCGGCCAACAGTAATCCGGCACAGTTTTTCTCGATTTAAAAAAAGCCACCTGCGGAAGCCAGCCCCGAAGGTGTGGAGCCGGTCTGCGCACCGTAGCAGGCGCGCAAAAAAATCAGGCCAATGGGATGGAACTGGCTTCATGGGCCTGGTGCGCTTTTTCTTTTTTGCGGTTCCATTTTTCACGGGCGCAATTTTTCCAGAGCCTCCCAGCATCTGTCAGCAACCAGCGAACAGGCGGTCGCGCACGCGATCGCCCAGACGTCTCCGAAATCGCGGCCGCGCTATGGAGACCCTAGATGGAGGACAGAGATCCAGCGGAAGCTGGTCGCCATCGGGCAGTCAGCCCGACGTTGGAGTGTGCAACCCTCCTGCTTGATCGTGTACTTAAATTGATAAACTTTGAACCTGGTCGTTGACGAACGCCACCGCGCTCTTGACGCTACCTTTTGCTTCTTCCGCCAGGTTCATCGCGGCCTTCATCGTCGTTTCTGCTGCCAGCATCGTCGTTTCTGCTGCCAGTCCCACGGCACTCTTGAAGACGTTCTGGAACTTCTCGAACTCCGAGGGTGCCCGCGTCAGCTCCATGAGGGAGGTAGAAGCGGCTGCGCCGACTGTTCGGCTGACGTTGAACGGCATCGCCGAGGAAGGTCCCAAGTCGCTCGAGCTCTCGGGTTCGGGGAGGGCCTGCCGCGGTGAAGATGGGAGCCCGTCGCCGTGGTTGTCGTAGTAGCCCGGGGGGGGCAACGGGAGAGCATCGCGCTCCTGCAAATACGAACCCAGCTTGTGCGACGCGTCAGAACGGCCAAAGAGGTGTGTGTGCTCTGTGATATGTTGGGAAAGATCTTCCCGGATTTTTGCAAGTCGCGCTTTCACTCCACCTTCATCTGCTTCCAAAAACAATTCTCCAACTAGGTGCACCACCAGAGCGGTCATTTCGACGAACAGATGCGTAATGCTAGAAATGCCCGCGGCGAGAAGTAAGTCAGAAAAGGTGCAAGCTTTTTGCAGTGGGTTGTGCAGCGTGCTGGCTGCAAAATGATGCGCGGATGCGACCCAGCCATGGAACTTCAATGCGGCGTGCGTTCTAAGTTTCTCGAAAGTGTCAGGCACATGTTTAAACAGCGTAGTGGCAACGTGGTCGTCGATTCCCTTACTTAGGTGGGAGAGCATGTCATCCAATCCGTTGTGCACCAGGTGCGTTGTGGTGTGCAGTAAGTGCCTCGCGCCGAGCGCCACATCGTGTTCCAATCGCACCGCCGCACCCTTCTGAAAATCATTCCACTTTCTGACAAATCCAGTTTTTGCCTCCGTGCTGCGCGGAGTAAGGACAGCAATGACTTTCGACGATTGTTTTCTTGCCCGGACCGCAAATACCTCCACCAAAGAAGCCACTGTGTGGATTCCGCGGTTCAACAATTGATCGAACGTGGCCTCCGCTTGCTCGATGAGGGAGCGTTTCTTCGTCGATGTGCCCGTGGGGCTGCTGTGTCTCTCGGCGCGGCGTTTCATTATCATATTTGCCAGTTCCTTCTTGTGCTGTTCTTTCTCACCGACCCACTGTCCTCCTAGAACCTTGCAAACATGCTGGTCGTGGCTGTGCTGGGCGGCGTCGAGGAACGAGGGCGGTTCTTGGGCGAATTCCTGGACTTTCACATCCACCCCGTCGTGCTTCACCGTGAACTCGCGAATGCCTTCGCCCAGATCCGTGGCGTTCGTGTACTCATACGCCGCAACTGTCAGCGGTGACGCTAGCTGGGCGAGGAGTGCCCAACACTTCATGCGGAAATGCGCGGAGACGTGCGAAGTTTTAGAAGTCAACATCCTTTTAGCCGTAAACTAACTCATATTTTTGCTTCTTGTGTGTTACTCGCATTCGTCTCTCTGCCTTTTATCCTGCAGACCATCGTCACGCTTGACAGTTCAAAGCCAGATCTTCAGACATGTGCTTACCGAAGAAGAGACGAGACCATTCAATTTATTCGAAGAACAAGAACATCTTCATCTTCACTGGAAGAGAAGAGAAACACCAGATTCTTTTTTTGAATTTGGTCACAATCAAAAAGCGGAGACCGCTATTGCTGGACGTATGAAAATGAGGCATGGAAGTCCGGTAATGTAGGAATCACAGTATTTTCTTTGGGCCGCGTACACGCTGTGCAGAATCTTCCAGTAGGTTTAATTTTTAATGATGAACTAAGAAAGAAAATCATACACCCTCTAGGTCTCTAGTTTTGGGTCGATCTACGCTCACTGAGGATTTCAGTCGTTTTTATTCGGGAAAGTTTCGGGAAAGGGTTCGCCCGTTCGCAAGTTCCACACTTCTGATGGTGTAGCACCAGCAAACCAGCCAATCCCACACTTCTAATGGTGCGCGTGAGGCAAAGCCACCAGTGTGGCCGGACTTATGTTATTAGTTGTTATGCTCCCAAATGGTGACTGCAGCACCAGGAGCCCAAGCAATCCGAAGGGGTTAGAGCTTGGATTAAGAATTACTTGCACGGAGCCGCGAGCCGACTCGACCCCCACAAGCGGGGGCCCTAACTTATCGCATTAAGCTATTAGGCGGACTACCACCGGGAGGTCACCACTGAATTGTTTAGGGATCACGCACGAAATGAATCTACGCACCCGGATTAGCAGACCGGGCATTACAACATAATGGAAAGCGTGCTGAACTGATCCCCGCAGACAAAAAAGCGGGCCTATTGTATCTAGGTGGATAAAGTTTTTTCTATTGCTAAGTGCCAAGAGCCTTCCTCATCAACATCAAATCTTCATGGCGCCCATCGGAATGCAGGTGTAGTGCGGCAGGTGGGGCGGGGACCAAGTACTACTTGCAGCCGGAGTACCAGTTTGAAAATACCTTTCGTCACATCGGAGTAGCAGTAGGTAGTGCGGGAAGAAGTTTATCAAAGGACGGCCGGCGAGCAGGTGTCGGGTTGTGGAAGGACAGCAACAAGTCCTTGGTGGCAGTACCGTAGTGCAAGCTGCAGCAGGTTCCGTGAAAGTCGCGCAACTTGTCGGCCACGAGCGGAGGCACAAAATCCCGCTGACCAGCTACGGATCGTGGGTGGTAGTTCGTGTCGTGTGGCTTCGGGCGGGAGCGCCGACGGTATGACGCTGAACAGCAGATAGGTGGAGCTAGTAGGTAAAGGGCAGGACGCCATCGGGAATCGGGGGCAGAGCCGGGCGGATTCCTGGCCGCGATGGTGGTGCAGTGTACATGCGGGCGGCGGTAAAATGGCGCTGTGCGAGGTCTGCAGAAACTACCCGGCTGCACCGATGCGTGACAGATCAAAACTACATTTTCCATGTGGGATCCCAACCGCAGCGGAGCCTCCAAGAAATACTACGATCAGACATCAGTGCCCGTGGGGGCGCATCACAACGTGAATGTGCGAAGCAGAAAGCAAAGTTCCTATCGGAATTTTGCAAAAAAAGGCAAACAGATCGCACAAACTCAACATGCAAAACCCGAGGGCGCAGGCCAGATCGGCGGACACACGATCAATCAACATCGCGAAGAAGGTATATAGTCTCGGGGAGTCTGATGGTAGTGTGATTAGGCGCAGTTGGGTCCGAAATGTAGTTTTTCTGTTGGCGTGGCAGGGGGGGGATGGCGGTCGCGGATAAAACCAATAGCTCCGCCGGTGCTATTGGAGTACCACCAGGCGCATCTTTAGTTTTGGCGTATTCCAGGCTCAAATGCTACCGTAAATGAAAATGGGAATAAAGTGAATGACGAAGATGCGGCAATTACAAAGTTCGTCAAAATATTTGTTGTTCAGCGCGACGGACTCTACCTCAACAGAAGTGACAGTTGAAATACGGGAGTACTACCACTACCACCTACTTTGTTTCTCAATTTGCTCAGCAAAACCAATGCCGCGGCCTTAAGACGAAACAGCAACAGTCAGTGGATAGAACTCAGAGAACTTATTTGCCATAGCCCTGTTTCCTGTTGTTTTGATTAAATGTTTTTTTTAATTGAGAATTGCAATTTTTTCATTTCACAACGTGGTATACAGCATTTTTTGACATCGACAAATTTATCGCATGACTTACGAAAGGCGAAGCTTATTCGTTTCACGTCAACTCATTTCTGTTTTTAATTTTCGGGAAAGATTAGTCGCAAAATTTAGATGGACGTTGTATGTCTGAATGGACGAGTATACGTTTCAATCATACAAATTGAGTTTTTGACGCTTGCATCGACGACATAATCATACAAAGTAGGATCGTATCGCAGAATCAGATCGGCTGCTGTGACTCGTGGATCGGCAACAGGGTCTCCTCAGCGGCGGGTCGTGGTGGTCGGGGTATGGTTGGCGGGCCTCGTACGACCGCCGGCGTCCGCACCTCGGTGTTCGGGCGTTTCGGGGTGGGGCCATTGGTCGCCTGGTCCTGCGGCTGGTTAGCAGCACCGCCGGGACGTTTCAGCTTGGCCTGGTTTTCCTGTTCCTTTTTCCGTTTATTGACTTGACTTGACTTGACTTGAAGTTTCGGGTATTGGAAGATTCGGGAAGTTTCGGGAAAGGCTTCGCCCGTTCGCAAGTTCCACACTTCTGATGGTGTAGCACCAGCAAACTACCAATACTTGACGCCGATCGTTCTGATATAGTCGTAGGAACAAGCACAACTACATCCACCTCTACTTGGATGGGAACAGGATAAAAGATAAAGAAGTAGAACTGCAACTGCTCTGAAGAAAAAACTTGAAAATAAAGACAAGCGACTAAACGATCTTCACTACGTGATGATGGGAGTGACACGATGTTTTCCGATGTTTTTCTATCAAATATTTTTTTTCCTTTCCAACATCGGGCCGCTACCGGGCTGTTCATCTTCGCGCCGTTGTTTCTTACATGATGTCACGCTTGACGTTTGAAGCCCCAGCGGCGCGCTCCGCTGCGGCGAGCTCTTGAGTGCGGGTGCGAAACAGGGCTTCGTGCTGAAACAGACCATCCTCGGTCAATTGCTCGGACTGCGGGACCTCGAAGTCCGCTGCAACCACGACTGCCTCGGCCTGGGCCGCACTGGCCGCGCGTGGTCCGCTGGTGCGCTGTCCCGTGGCGCGTTGCGCGGACGCCCGCTGCTGTTGCACCGTCATCGCGGCTGCGGGAACGCCGGGGTTGCTGTTCTGGCGGTCAAGCAGGACGGGCCTTCCCCCCGCCGGGGTTTTGCTGTGCGGGCGCGCAATGCCAAATTGATTCATCGCCGCCGTGATCTTGGCGACCTCGTGCGCCTCTTGCGCGGCGCGGGCCTGCTCCTTGAAGTAGCGCCCAGTTTCGTCCTGCGGCTTGTAGCAGGCCGCGTAGTAGCAGCACATGCTGATGCCCACAAACAGGACGATCAGAACGAACCCCGAGATCATCAGGTTGCGGGAGTTGATCCCCTCGTCGTTCGCTTTCCCGGACTTCCGTCCGCCCGATGCAGTGTGATCATCAACCGGGGGAACCCCATCCGGAGCCGCGGCCGGCGGGGAGGCTTGCGCGCTGGCTTTCGGGGAACCAGCAATGGTCATGGTAAGCTTCACCGGTTCCGATTTTGCGGACGTCGCGACCCTCTTCTCGTGTTCTTGCCTAGCCTTCCTCGTGGCTGCAACTGTCTCATGCTGGCGCTCGGTCAAACTTTTCGAGGAGACCTGGACAAACTGCGCAGAGCTACGGGCGGCGCTCGACGCTTTGGGTGTATTCCTCTTGTCGGAAACCTGCTGTCGCGGTTGCTTCACGATCGCGTGCTTCGTAACACGTGGCTGTATCACATACGCTTGCGCCGACTGCTCCCTGCCAGAGCAGAGCGCCGCGGCTCCTGCCACAAAAAGCTTCTTCAGTTTTTCGTGCATTTTCTCCTCCTAATAGTTTTCTGTCAAGTTGTCATCCTAAATCTGCAACTTGTGCTGGTGGAAGTACTTGTTCTACGAGTATAACTCCTATTGCTGAGCAGGGGCAGTTAAAATTTTACAACAGGGAGGAAAATCGCCCACGCCAAAAATTTTTTTGCAGTTTTCAAACTTTCAAAAGCTTCTGGGAGTTCGCCCAATGTCCATCGCCCAGCCGCCCATTGTCCGCCGTCCAATGTCCGTCGCACAATGCCCATCGCACAACTCCCATCGCCCAAACGGGAAACGGCCACCGGGAAACGGCCACCGGGAAACGGCCACCGGGAAACGGCCACCGGGAAACGGCCACCGGGAAACGGCCACCGGGAAACGGCCACCGGGAAACGGGAAACGACAAGCCAAAAAATTTTGCATGCAAGCCAAAAAAATTGGAAAGACGGAATATTTCGCGACTCGAAATAAATATTTTGCAAGCCAAGAAATTTTGCAAGCCAAAAAATTTTGCAAGCCAAAAAATTTGGCAAGTCGAAATATTTTGCAAGCCAAAAAATTAATTTTGCAAGCCGAAATATTTTGCAACCCAAAAAATTAATTTTGCAAGTCGAAAAATTTTGCGAGTCGAAACATTTTGCGGGCCGCAAGGTTTTGCAGCTCTCGAAAAATATTCTGACCAGGAAATATTTCGCAACAACCTTCCAGAGCAACCGACTCCCCCGCTTTTGCAGCTTTGAAAGCGGGAAGCACGGGCAAAGCGGGAAGCACGGGCAAAGCGGGAAGCACGGGGGAAGCGGGAGGCACGGGGAAAGCGGGACGCACGGGGAAAGCGGGACGCACGGGGAAAACGGAAAGCACGGGGAAAGCGGGAAGCACGGGGAAGGCGGGAAGCACGGGGAAAGCGGGAAGCATGGGGAAACAAAACGGGAAGCACGGGGAAAACGGGAAGCACGGAGAAAGCGCGAAGCACGGAGAAAGCGCGAAGCACGGGGAAGGCGGGAAGCGCGGGGAAAGCGGGAAGCATGGGGAAAGCGGGAAGCACGGGGAAAGCAGGAAGCATGGGGAAAGCGGAAAGCACGGGGAAAGCGGGAAGCATGGGGAAGGCGGGAAGCATGGGGAAAGTGGGAAGCACGGGGAAGGCGGGAAGCACGGGGAAGGCGGGAAACACGGGGAAGGCGGGAAGCACGGGTAAGGCGGGAAGCACGGGGAAAGCGGGAAGCACAGAGAAAGCACGGAGAAGGCGGGTAGCACGGGGAGGGCGGAAGGCACGGGGATAGCGGGAAGCACGGGAAAGGCGGGAAGCACGGGGAAAGCGGGAAGCCCGGGAAAAGCGGGACACGCGGGCGGGTGGAGGGCACACAGAAGACGGGGGGCACGGGTTCGCTGGGAACGCCGCCGGCGGCCAAGCACCAGGCGAGCAGCTGCCCACCACCCTCCCCCGGCGCCCTCCCTCTGTTCGCGAAGGGAAAACCGCGCCCCAGCACCAGGCTTGCAGGCGAGCAACTGCCCACCACCCTCCCCCGGCGCCCTCCCCCTGCTCATGAGGAGGCCGGCAGAGGGCGCCACCGTCCGCCGCCTCTGCCAGTCTTGGAGGGTGCGCGCGAGGGAAACAGGCGGGGGCGGAGCAGATTTCGCGCGAGCTAACGCGGGGGGCGCCGTTGTTGTCCGGGGGTGCTGGGGGAGGGTGGTGGGCCCCTGCGCCTGGGGGGCAATGAATGCCCCGCCCCGGAGCCCGTCTTCCATCCACGCGCGCGGCAGGGGCCCCAGCGAGCCCCTTTTCTGCAAGGCTGCGCGCGGGAGAAGGGCGGGGAGGGGCGCCAAGGCGCGCAGGGGCGGGGCACACAGACAGGCGGCACGAGCGGGCCACACCACAAACGCGCGGGCGGGGCGTCACGCGCCAGCGCCTCGCATGGCGCGGATTGTTAGTTCCCTTGCCTCCTTCCCCCGTCCACTGGCGCCCGCCCGCTGCCGCGCTTTGCGTTGTTGCTTAGGCCTAAGGCTTGCCGCCACGCAAGCGCGCGCCCAGTGCGGGCGGGGTCCTCGCGCTCGCACAACGACGGGAACCACGGGCGCCCCATGGCGCTCCGCCTTCGTTCTTTCAGCAAGAAGCGGCGCAGATGCCTGGCCCCGCCCTGCATCAAAAAATTTCTCCCTTGCCCGACATCTGGCGTTTTTCTTTCCCCCCTGTCCACTCGTTCACCCTCCCACTACGCGACATAAGCTGCAGCCTTGTAGTATGTTGTGGTCCGCAGGGTTACTGCGCCTAAAATCTCTGAGTACGACTAAATTTTTTAGAAGGTACAACTTGAATTATTTTTATTTATGAAGAAGCTTCGCTAAAGGGCGAAGCGAGCTTCTTCTTGTTCGAAGCAGCGGGTACCAGCTTCGAAGTCTCGTCTCCTGAGAGGATGATGAATACCGACTAACTTTGAAAAAAAGGCAGCATCACGGTGACGTCGCGAAATGAGAATCCTCGACGGATCATTACGAAAAAATAACACGACGATGGTAACTGCACGACGGCAACTTCTTCACGATGCGTCTGGATATTAAAAGCGAAGCAAGTACGAATCTACAGATGGATACCGAAACACGGCGCACGACTGGGTCCGACTGTCAAAAGTAAGTGTAGGAGGTACGAAGCAACAGGATTCGAAAATTTTGTGACGGCAGACCGAAATGGAGTACACGATCTGTCAAACGGTATCTTGTACGAGGAAAACGCATTATATCAGAAAACCGAGGGTGATGTCTCACGAGCTGCGCTGGCAGAAGGCGCGCCATGATAGCACGACCACGATAAAAACACAGACGAAATCAATACCCCACCGCAAGAGAGGCTGCCACGGAGACACTAAGGAATCTTCGACAAAATCTAAAAACTCTTAAAGTATAAAGAACTGCAAGACCGCTCCCGTTCAAGCGAGACTCGAAACGAAACAAATGCTTTTCGACTAGCTCAGCAAAGAAGTCACACCAAGTTCTCCAGAGGAGAGCCCTAATCGAGCTCCTCCAAATCGTTTGAGGGAACGTACAGATTTTTCCTCTGAGGAGGCTTGAACGCAAATGCGTTACTTGCGCCGTTCGAGGTACTAGTGCTACTATCTGCTTGCTCCCCTTTCTCCTCCTCTGCATCGCCGATGCTTTCGGCGTGCTGCAAAATCGTGTCGACCGAGACGGGATCCGGTGCCGGGGGCGCGGCGGAAAAGTAACCGCCGACGTCGGCAAATTTTGAAGTTAAGGCCGTCGCACCGGATGAGTTAGTTGCGTTCGCTGCCGCGCTGGTGCTCCCGGGCTCCGGGGGCGGCGGCACGGTTTTCATGCCCCACTGCTTGCCTCGCTTTTGCGCCTCGGCTAGCAGGGCAGATTTCTGTCCGCTCGCAAAGTTGTCGAAGTCCTTGAGACACATTTCCGGAGAAATCCAGGTCGACGTGGCATCCGAAACCGCGTCGCTGTCCTCCGTGCAGATGCTTTCGATGTCGTCGCGATCGGCTATGTCACCAGAACTATCGCGGTTGAAAAAGCTGCTCGTTGAAGAGGACGAAGCCGAGGTTGCAAACTTGGCAACAGAATTCAACTTGCGAACCCACCATCGGGTTCGGTCACGCTGCGCGTCCACTGTTTTGGAGCGAGTAAGAATCTCATTGTTCTTCACAAAAAAGCCGATGATCTGATCATCTTTTGCAAAGTAAATTTACAAATGCAGCTGCGCGACCCACTCGTATAGTGATAAAGCAAAACGATACTTTGCTGGAAGTCCGCCGGGCTGGCGTCGCTGCTCGCCGTGGTGACGGCTTCGTCCTCGGGCACGGCACACAAGTTCGTCTTCCGCAGCAGCGCGCCGTAGCGTTCGCGTGCCATGCGTTCTGTCAGCGTTGTGGAATTGAACTCAGCGTTGAGCTTCTGTGCTACCGTGGAAAACCGGTACCCCGACTTGGCGACGAGCCGCTCCAGTCTTTCGTCACGCAACTTGGACCAGTACCAGTCTTCCACGCCCGGAACGCTCTCGGACGGGGCAGCTGTGGATTTTTGCAAAACAGCGATCAGGACCATGAGCTGTTCACTCCATTAGGAAGAGTAGAAAACAAACTAACACGCAAAGACACGCCATACCCTCTGAGTAGCAAAAAAGAAAGCTCCTGTTTCTACACACATTAAGTGGCAGAAAAATACCCGAAGCCGACATCGCGTCCGCAGCCCCGGTGCTGTCCACGGACAGTGCGGGATTCTCGGTGTCCGTTAAACACGAGGAAATCGACTGCCTCTGAGACTGCGCCGTGCAAAAGGACGACTCGGAGGGGCGGCCCCTTGCGTCTTGAAAGTTGGTTCCAACCGCGCAGCATGCATTCTGCTGTTCCCCCATGGTCGCGACAAAGGGCTTGTTGGGAGAATCGCTCTCGACCGTTTCGCCCGTCGGGGAGACCTTCACGTAGATGTCGGGATTGGCTTGATGTTCGGAACCAGAGGACGAGTTCTTCTCCATCAAATGCAGTTTCGCGGGATCCAGTTTACTGAATGGAAGTTTCCCGACGTTTTCGGACGTCAGCTGCCGGTCGTCAACAGTGGTACTCATTTCGTCGGATTTTTTGCCATCTGCAGCTGCTCCTTGGTGTAGTAGTGTGTCTGTTGAGGAAGAAGACGAGAATTTTTCTCCTTTGGAGACGATTTTCTTCGGCGGCGGGTCGCCGACCGCCGCTGTCGTCTCCCCCTTGTTTTCCCCCTGCCCCACCATCACCCAGTCCTGCTCAGGCATCGGTGTTCGCTCCACGCACCCCTCCGGCACGCCCTCCCCCGCGTCGAAGGCTTCCTTCCTGGCCTTCTCCGCCGCCTGCCGCTTCAACTGCTTCTGGAGCTTCTTGTTGGCCTGCTCCTGGACCTTGCCTGGGACATTATTAAGTGACAACTACATACAACACTGTGCAAAAATGTTTCAGTCGTTGTGTAACAAATTATCAAATACTACTAACGGAAGCACACGCCGCGCTGAGATCTAGCCAGGGTTAACTCCGCGCAAGTAGCATAAGGAGCAAAAATGAAGAACTTCTCCAACATACGAAATCTCTCGAGGTCGCGCTGCTTTTCCTCCCGCTCTTTCATGTAGTACCCCCGTTTCGCGGTCTGCTCCCCCTCCGGGCCGTCTTCCAGCCACCCCTGCACCCCCACGCGCTCCACCTCCGTCACTTGCTTGGTGTCGAGAAATTTCAACCTCGGCAGCCCGGCGACCAGCCTTCGTCGGTAGTTCTTGATCCGGCGGACCGAGGGGTTGGACTGCAGGAAGATGCAGTCGACATTCTTGAACCGTTTTTCCTCGCCGTCCACGAAAAATTCCACCAGCGGGTCCTCTTCCTCGATGTAGTTGGCACTGACGTCGATGGAAACGAGCTGGTTCTCCGGCTTTTCCACCAGGGGGAGGAGTCCTTTCAGCGCGTTCACCGTCATCAAACTATTCTTCGACAGGTTCAGCTGCGACAACTGCGTGCAGTTCTCGAGGTTCTCGATCTCCGTGATCTTGTTCTCCCGCAGGTCCAGGACCACGAGGGAACTCGGCAGGTTTTCCATCCGCGTGAGGCAATTGGACTGCAGGTACAGACTCTTCAGGTTCGTCAGCTCGTCCAATCCCTCAATCCTGGTGATCCCGTTGCAGTCCAAGTAGAGACAGTGGAGGTTGCGCTGTTTTTGGTTGGAATTGCTAGAGTAGAAGATTACTCTTGCTTCGCTGAGGACCTTGCCGGTGTTGAAAAGAAAACACAATAAAAACAGCAAAATTCCCAGCGAGCTAATACATAGACAGATAAAAAGGTAGACGCGTTTCTTCTCGATGTGAAGTAGAGAATGGAACGCAATAGTACGTATGACTCCAGCTGTTCGATTTTCGCCAAACCCCGGTAATTCAGGCAGAGAGAATTGTTCAGCAACGGATTCTCGTATCCGCCGTTCTTCAGACATGCTTCTCGGAGCATCTCCTGGTTAACCCGGTTCCCGCCCCGGTTCTGCTTCGTGACTTCCTCGATATTCACCCGGATCCCTTCGCGGGACGGGTCCTGCCAGTGCTCCTCCCGATACATGTTGCTGGGGTTTATTTGAATCAAAGTGGATTTTTGCAAGAAGGAACCCTATGGCGGATTCCGCGGGAAAAGAAACTTCAAAACTTTTACGCTCTGCTTAGTGCTGCTTTACGATACTTTTCCGTATCACTCTGCTAGTACTTACGCGTGCAGCTCAGTAGAATAGCTACGATTTTGCAGCTGTCTGCCGTTGTCCGATCGCGTCCGAAAAAACTCAAAAAATCACGAATGACGGGCGACGGAGCCCTAAGAAAAACGAGCATGATTCCCAAAAAAGAAGCCTTTATCTGCCATCTTTCATCACATCTCTCTTCCAAGGCCGCACCATCTCCATCACAGCAACTTGACTCGCACAACACTCGCATCTGCTTTTTTATCCGCACCTCGAGCTCCCTCAGTCACTCCACAAACGCAAACGAAACAGAAGAAACTTTATTACAACCTACAGGACCGCTCGCAAAGACGAGGACAGCGTACTTCTGATATACAAGCGCAGGTCCTAGTCGTACGTTCACAAAAGCCTTGGCATTTGGCAGACAATTACAACTCCAGTCCGAATTCTTTTAAGTACTGTAGCACAAGAAAGGATTCATTCGGAGTGAATATGAAACCAACGGAATATCACGCCACGACGAGAAAAACATACTTAAAAGAGACTCATCTCTGGATATCTTCAGGCCACTTTCAATATTGCGGATGACTAAACAGAAGACTTCAACATCCATCGAGAGGACAGCTCCACATTGAAAGCGTTTATCGAAAACCCGACACAACAACCAAAATTTCAAATCACTCCGGAGATTGATTCCTAGCACGCGGCCTCACTCTAGCACACCACCATAGCTTCGGAATGCTGCGCAACGAAGTGCAGCTCGAACTTTCCAGAGCTTCCATCGTTTCCTGCGTAGACTCCCGACATTAACCAGTCGTTCGAGCGCAAACTCGCATCCCCGGACGCCCGAGGCGTTCTTTGCTCCGCTCTCGATCGAGCCGCTGCTGAAAAAACTTGCTCCGCTGCTTGCCTCTTCTTCATGTCGATGTCTTCCTGAAACCGTGGTCCCGCGGAAGCTACGACTCCATGCATGTTTTCCGTGCATTCGGCTGCCGCGTCCTGCAGGTTCATCGCCTGATGCGACTTCCCGCTGCTCTTCCGCTTCTTCAACGTTTTTACACGTGGGACCACGGGCACAGGTGCCGCTTTGTTTATCCCTTCCAAAACCGGCGAGGAGGAATCCGCGTCGTGGAATTCAGAGCCGGAGGAAATATCCTTTTCGACACTTTTGGCCTCCGCCTCGTCCCGGACTACAAGCACCTCGACGTCTTCTCCCTGTCCGACATTTTTCCTCGCTGTAGCTCTTGGCGAACTGCTGCAAACGCTCGACCCAATTTGTATTTCGCCAACAGATGATGCCCTGGGTCCTCTCTTGCTCCGACTTGACGATATCGCGGGCGGCGGGAGCTGCGTAGTGTTCATTTCAGCACTTCCTGCGTTGTAATAGCTGCGTCTAGATGAGGTAGCTCGCTTCTTGTTCTTATCCTCATCACACAACAGCACATTCGGCCTGGACAGGTGTCTTTTAGGCTTAAAAACCCCGCGGTACTCCACGCACAAAGTCGCGCCCACATACTTTTCTTCCCAAAAGATCCTTTGGGTTTTCGGACAAAAGACGCCTGTGACCATGACTTTGCCGTGCACGTCGTCCACACCCGTGCCCGTAAATTCATTTCTCTTCTGCGATTCGCCGGAAGTTGTACCCGCGGCGGCATATTCGTTCGCATTCGCCCCCTGCTGATAGTACAAACTGAACAGCTCGCTGCCGGCGGTCGGGTGGTACTTCAGGCACAGTCGTTTCTTCTGCGGTCGCGGTCCGTCGTGGTAGTGAAGCTCAACATCTGTAAAATGATCATTGTTCTCGCGGTACGACAGTGCCATTTTCGCTCGAGAGGAGGAACTGTAGCTCCGGGTCATTTTCGCAGTGGATCCCCCCAGATGACCCGAACCGTGGCAACTCGCGGAAGACCCGCGACGCGCGGACCTGCGCCCCCGCACGACGTCGCTCCGCACGGAGTCGCGCCGGAGCGGAGGCTCGTAGTGTAGTTCCGTCGGTTCTTGCCTGTTGTAATTGTTGACAGGACCACACTCGCTCCGCGTGGAGCTCCTCCGCGAGGTGCGAACTGAAGGCTTTATTTCGGAAGTTCTTGAAGCCCGCTTGCTATAGCTTTGACGTGTGGAGCTTCTGTACTCTCCCATTTTATTTCCAGTTGTCCGCAGCAACCGCGCCTGCTCCTCCTTCCCAAGCATGTACTGCTCGTGGTTTTGGTGCTGCAGTAAACTACCGGTTCCATTTCTTCCCATTTGCCCGTTCCGGAAGCGCAGTCCGCGCTTCGCCAGCGCTTTCGCGACCGAAGAAGATCCACGGGAGGACCCGCTGCTTCCCCCCGCGGCCGCCGGCACGAAGTACCCCTCCCAGGTGGAAATCGGAGGCAGGTAGACCTTCTCCGCCACGTTAACCTTCGAGGTCCGGAAAGCCAGCCGCTTCGCACGGATCTTCCGGTACCGCCACAGGAACCACCACTTGTGCACTAGGAGGAGGACCAGACAAGCGAGCGCGGAATAAAACAAACACTTAAAAATGTACACCTCCTTCTCGGTGAGCCAATTTAACTGCAAGAACTGGCTGACTGCCTCCGCCAGCTGCGTCGTGATGGTGGCCGTTGTCGCCGCCGCGGCCGGCGAAGCGGCGCTGGGGGTGGTTGTCGCCCCTCCGGCACTGCCAGAAGATCCACGGTCGTTTGAGAAGGACGAGTTGCGGGGCGTTCCCGCGTTCGTCAACTGCTGCCGTAGTTCGTCCCGAGTCAAGGGGATGGAGCTGCGGTTCGGGTGCGGCGAGGCAGACGAGGTGTGGCGCCGGATAACAGGCAGAGGACCACTACCTGGGTCGACGCCATTCAGAAACGAAGTCATGGTCAGCCAGGTGCTGGGTGCAGCGCTTCCGGCGCCGCTCGAAAGAGCGAAAGGCTTCCCACGTGGGATGGTCTTCCGGTAGAGAAGACTTTGAAAAATGAGGGCTCTTAGATCTAGAAGGCAGACCAAGTGTAGTGCAAGAATTTGAGCAATAAAAACACGCTGAATGTCAAAAGCAGTCATGAAGAAGAAGCATGTCAGCCGAAAATCAACCGGAGAAAACCGAACACGCAGAACCCCAAAGGCTGCATTGCTTGCGCCAATTTCGCACAATCTCCTTGGAGTGAATCTACAACAAACTTCGCGTCAACATACCTTGATGTCTTACATCTACTCAAGCAAAACAAGAGTACTCATTACGGTTAAGAACATAGCAGAAACAAAAACCTTCGCGACTTGTTGCAAGCCTATAAAAATGACAATCTTCATGGTCCGTTTTGTCTCCGGCAGCAGGCCAACATCACACAAGTGGCCTCATTCTGCCGACAGTGCGGTGATTCTGTCATCCCGCTTCTGCCTGATCTTGGACTCGCGCTCTGTGTGGGCACTTTTCGCTTTTTCCAATTCTTTCTGATATCGCGCGCTTTCCGCCTCGAGCTCCGCCTTACACTTGTCCTTCGCCGCCTGGATTTCCTTGGCCTGTGGAAAGACGAAAGCGAAACATAGTCATCGCATATAGTAAAACACACAAAAGGCCGGAGCTGTGATGGAAAAGCAAGCAAACGGCACGCATGGCATCAAATCAATGCAGCAAAAATGTTGAGCAAACATTCCTAGTACGCGAACCGTAGCTGCTTTCTGGTCCTTCAGCTTCTGCTTGGCCTTGGCTTCCCGATCGGCCAGCTCCTGTTTTTTCCGCTCAGTCACTTCCGCCGCCGTGGCGCGCTGGCGCTTCGCCTTCGGCGAACTCTCGTCCTCGTCGTCGTGCTTCATGAAGAGGCCGCCGCCGTGCATCTGCGCCCGGTACCTCTGCTGCGCGTTCTGGTAGTCCGGCATTTTTCGTCTTTCTTTTTTTAATGAACACAGAAAGATCACGCTCTTGCTGCTAGGACAGAATCATCGAAAGCGCAGGCACTTGTAGGACACAGGGTAGTTGTTTTCGAAATCCTGACTAATGGGTCTATACTATACAGAAACAAGACCAACAGATTCGACAGATAGATCTTCTCACGGCACTGGTGACGGACGCAAGAAAGTCTCTAGCTCCACCCGGCATTTGCGCAGAAACGATAGGGAATCAGTATGGACTTGGTACAACTACTACAACCTGCTCCGACAGAATTTCATTCTGGTAAGAAATTAGAAACTTTCCCAATAACCCTAGACGCATCCTAAACACGTCTCCTCATCGAGCCGCCTGCTCAGATGACTTTCGCTCGGATCTTGACGCAGCGAATCCGAATCTTTGATCCGCCACGGAAGCAACGCGTCCTGTCCTGTGGCATAGAACATCAGGACGCTCTAAAGACAGTATAATTGCCGCACTCATCTAGCCAGCCGACCTGCTTGCATGGTATTTGTTGTCTGGTGTGGAGGCCGATACTACTCCTGCATCCATCAAAACCTGCGATGAAGTAGAGCAATCAACAAACGGGAACCATCACCAAAATCATTGCAGCGACCTTCGGCATGGCCGGCAGAGAGCGTACCCGTCAGTGTGCTTGCTGGCCCCTGCTACTTACTCGCAGTCCTTGGCCAGATCGGCATACTGCCTCTCCGTTTCCTTGTCGATCTCTGCCAATTTGTCATCCCGAATCCTTTTTAAGTTTTTCAAGTATACCACACTAGAAATACACTCACGCAATATTATTCTCAGCGCAAGTCCCTTCACTGAAACAGCCCAACCGCTAAAGCAAAGCGTCGACTGCGGCTTCGACAGGCGATGCGACAAGGGACTAAAGAGTTACTTATTTGATGTCCCGTTCATGCAGAAAAAGATCGTGGTCCCGCCAAGACAGTAAGTACCCCAGCAGGTAGATAACAAGCATGGTATGTTTGACTTTGCGCTGATGGTTGAGTCGTGTTTCTTTCTGCGATATGAATTGTTCGTCGAAGTCTTCGACTGCCGCCCGCTTCCGATGCTCACGCATCATCTCGATCGTCCGCAGCTCAACATCCTGTGAAATAATTGAGAATAAATATGTGGACTTAAGCAAAATAACAATTTTCCTCTACCGAGAACGAGGCAGCTTGGCTCTGATGATGATGATCTTCCCAAGAAAAGAGTTCAAAAGGGTGAGCTCTGTGACTCTAAGACGAAAATATCTGCACACCTAGATCTACTGTGTCGCGATCTTCTCACATGATCCATGCAAACCGTGCATAGTCCGTCGGCCACTACAAGACCAAAGCTCTATAAGTGTGTACGCATGCAGCTTTCTTTTTCAGCTCCTCGGCTTGCGTTTCTTTTTCGATTTTCTTGAAGAATTCCGCTTTCTTTCGCTGCTCCTCAGCTTGGCAATCTTTTTCTATTTTTTTGAAAAGCTTGCTCCGCAGCTCTGTCACCCGTCTGGTGTCCGGTTCCGCGTCAGGCTCTTTCCTGCACCCATCCGGTGTCGGGTTTTCCTTTTTGGAACCAGCGTGTTCCGACGCGGGAGTCTGAGCTTGTGTTCCAGCTCTGCTCATAGCCCCTGTCGTGCTCCCCTTGACTTTTTGCTTTGAGCCTGTCGGTGCCATGATATTCTGGGCCTTTGCAATGCACTAGAAAGAACTTGTGAAAAAACGGCGGTCTCTTCTGTCCTCAAGAAATTGAGTAGAGGGGAAGCTGATGTGAACTTGGAAGTGCTACGCTGCCATCATGCACAGCGCCTGCCCCTTTTTGCTACCCTCATCTTCAATAAATTCATCAAACGCCACTGTGCATTCGTTTCCCATAATCCGAAAAAAGCGGGGATCGGGAAATGAGCGGACGTAACAAACGGAACGAGGATGATGCTCATGGATCGATTCGGTTTCACACGGAGATCCTGCATCAAGCGCCAACCTCGATGTTGATCTGAGCACAACACGATCACGAAGCCTGTAGATCTTCATCGGGACAACAGCTTTCCTGACCGTCTGAGTTTACAGACCGAGGACCTCCCAAAAATAGATATCAGGATCAGAAAGAGCATCGGAAAACGTTCCATGGGTGTCACAGTCATCGGCTGTGTAACAACACCACCACGACGTGGAACACCGCGATGTTGACAATCTCTACCAAGTAAAATTTGCGCACTGTCATCGCAGTTACATAGCTTTTGCTTCCTTGAAACATAAGTACCCTCGCGAGACTGTTGAGTGCGCGCGGCGTATCAAGATGACCTGGCATTTGTTCTTCTTCCTGCGCATTTCGAAATGACTTTTTCATACTGTCGCACAGTTTCCTCTGCGGCCTCCTGCCAGCTGAAGAACAAACTTCCGCGAGCGCTGAGCCGCTCGCGCACATTCCGCACGGAAACGCGGTTGTCCGTCCCCAGGCGATTTAGGATCCGCACCAGGTCCGGCTCATCCCGGAACATCACGTCGCATCCGCTCGGCCCCAGCACCTGTTCGTAAAATTCCGCAAAGACCGGCGACTGCAAGGGAAGAAGAGGGAGCAAGTCGCACCCGAGGGCCTCGATGACCGTGATTCCGAACGTTTCGCTTTCGGAGCACGTGAGAAAAAAATCACTCTCCCGGTAAAAAAGCTCCGGCAAAAGGTCGTTCGGGATGGCACCGCAAAAGGTCACATTGATGTCGCTTATCGACGCACTTGTTGTACTACTAGCGCCCCGTTTCGGACTTGCCGGGTTCGCTCCCTTCAATGGCGACGAGGATTCGCGCCCGCTCGACGCTGCCTTTGTGTTTTTCGCCGGAGATGCCGCAAGAATCTTGCCTGCGCCAGCGGACGCGGCTTTCGCTTTCGGCGACGACGTTGAAACAGGTACAACCCCGTTCGTCAGCTTCTTCCACTCGGCAAGCCCGTCCGGCCTTTCGTCCTCGCCGTGTACGAACTTGTGTATTCGTGCACTGGCAGCTTCCAGTGTTTTTTGCACCAGTGAGCTTTCCTGCTTCTCTGCCCCAGGCGACGACTTGTAGCAGGCTACAGCCAACTCTTCCAACTCCTTTCGCTTCGGCCCGTCACCGCAAATAACCAAGTGAAAGCGGTCGCGAAAACGGCTGACCACCCGAATCGCGGTGTCCACATGCTTCTCCGGAGCCAGGCGGTTTACCATCAGCAGAATCTTCCGCTGATTCGGGATCTGGAGAATCTTCCGCAGCTTCACTCCCGATTGCTTCGACGATGCTGCGCGCGAGGGCGACGATTTCGATGGGCTTTTTGGAATCGCATTCGGGTTCGTCCCACTCGCTTTTATTCCAGCATTCACAGTAGAACTCGATGCTGACGAGGAATTTTTTCCCAAGCCGCCGCCCCAGGGAATACCAGCAGGAAAAGCGGGTTTTGGAGATTTACTGCCTGAACTGTCCTGCTTTGTTGACTTCGTTCCAGCTTTCGGCGGGGATCCATTTGCTCGGCTGTTCCCCCGCAAAACCAGGCTGCTCGTTGTTCCCCGGGATGGAGATGAAGCCGTGGTCGTTCTCGAGACTTGCGCAGGCGACGAAGAACCGCCGCGGCCCCGTTTTTCCGTGGGGGAAGACGAACTCGCGGTGGTTGTCTTACTCGTACTCGGACTTCTAGTGCCATCCGAAAACCTCGAGGGCACTGCAGTCGGAATCACCATGTAATTCCTCTGCGAATACGGACCCTGGCTGGAAGACATGCAGCGAAACATCTTCTTCTGGATGCAGTTGCCGGCTAGAGAACGGCCGCAAGAGGCGGCCAGACTGCTCAAGAAAGAAAAACACCCAAAAGATGATGTAGTAGGAGCTGCACTGCTTGTGATGTCCGATTCAGCTTCTCTTCTCTCGCTGCTCTCTGCGTCGCCGAACAGTTCCGGCGGCCTTGGGTCATTCGGTTGCAGTTTTGTTGTCGTATAGCTGGAAAAACAACGCTTGTCTAGGAAGCTGAACTATGAACTGCAAAAGTATCGTACTCGAATAAATGCATTACAAATTTTCTCAGCATGAGAAAGAAAATTTGTAAATGCTGATTTGCCTTGACAAAGATATTTGTAATGCAAGACCTGCATTTATACGAGTACGATACTTTTGCACAGCATATGAACTCCTTCTGCATGGCGGCGAGCGATGGCGCTACGTTGGCGTCGCCGCAGAGGTATGGATTGCAAAAGTGTCTGGGTCTGGAAGAATGCAACTTGTGATGCGCATTTCAGAACACAGAAAAATCTCTCATGCATAGGTAGCAAAAGCCGCCCACTTTCTGTCACCAAAGTGGGGGATTTGTCATGCGGATTCGGCATTGCGGAAGCTTCTCGAAACCTGTGATGCTAGAGCTTCCATGCCAGACCTTGTGTGTCATGCAAAAACAGCATGAATCTTCCAGACCCAGACATTTTTACATTTGATAAGAGAGCTGCCGGAACGCGGCCGGAGAGCGAGTAGGAATAGTCTGCGAAGGCGGAAAAGCAGCCGCTTGGCATGTAGGAGTTTACGTAATACACCATGTCTACGTGGTGACTCACATAGGTCGGCACACCGAGGAAGCGCGCACGAGTTAGGACCTATTTGTTGATGTTGCTTTCTGAATGTAGACCTCACAACTGCCTGCGCATAGTCATGCACTTGGTCGTTCTCGTTGCATATTCAGAAATAAAACATCATCCTCGAGACTCGAAAAATTGTCAGAAACTGCTATAATACCGCCAATGCCACCGCGGAGGGTAGGAAGATGTGGACGATGTCGGGTTCGAACGTGCGCATGGCTTGAAACAGATTCCAGCCCGGAAAGAGGCAAATCTGGTTTCCCTGGTTCCAGTAGTTGGTGATACACAGCCCCATCTTTCGGTAGATGCCGTCTGGGTTCCCTATTTGCGCCTCGTGTCTCAACTCCATATAACCCTCGGCCTCCAGCTCCTCTGCGCTTTTACAGGTGTAGACTTGCAATTCATGCCCGAGCTTTGCCATCTCCAGAACCATGTTGCGCACATGAAGCGCGATACCGTGCACCTCCGTCGGTGAGTAGTCAGACACGATGAGAACGCGCATTTTGGAAAAAAAACTACTCAATCAATATCAATCACACATCATTCCAATACGTTTTGCTTGCGTCACGACAAGGTCTGGTGAAAAGTATACTATCAAATTTGAGTTTGACGTGCAGTAGCCCGCAGACCAATCATAAATTCAACTGCTTCCAAGTAGATATGTGAATCGCAGCCCGCCCGCAAGTCTTGCTGTTTATTTCGCTCTCCGCTATTCTATCGCGACCACAATCCCGAGGCTTCGTCGGCCACACCCAAACTGAAAATTCCAATGACCCACAATTTGATCAGTTATCTATCAAAAAAAATGCGATGCCAAAAAAAAAAACTGCAGTAACGAATTAGGACCGACGCATCGACTGTGCGAAGAACTTTGCGTCTGTTACTGTTCTGCGTTCACATGATGATCCACGGATCTCAGTTTTCATGACTTGAAATTTTATCACGATCACTCTTCCATAGCTGCTCAGGCGAAGCAGCTTGGCAAAGAAAGTTCATTTTTTCCAATTTTTCTCACACCTATCATCACCCTCATCCCCCACAGGCACGCACTACTTCCCCGTGGTATTTAGTTTAGGATTCACAAATGTGCGCGAAAGAAGCGAAGCGAAAGACATCTAGAAATAGAATGCTGATAAGACAAAATTGAAATAAATTCAATAGCGCAATAAAGAAGAAAGTGGAAGAAAGAAAGCATTGAGAAAAAAAACCGCTCACAGTCACGTGAATCCAAAGACGCCAAGCCACTCACAAGTTTTTTACAATATCATCACAGTTTGCATCTAAAAAATACGTAGCTTTCATCGTTTTATTTCGGAAACAAAAATGAAACGCAATTACTACACAGTGTACTAGGCAAGACGGTCCACAAAAAGCACAGCAGGGGCTTCCAATCTTTCCGTGCAGGAGCGAACCGCCGAAACAAAAACTACAACTCTCGCTTCCACCGCACGTCAAGGCTGCACTCAGGCGTAGAGCTCCTGGTGTTTTTTTTTTGATCAAGTTACATAATCCGATTTGTTTGCCCCTTCAGCATGATGGCACCAGCAGGCCGCTAGTCTGAAACTATAACTACCTTTCTTGTTCACATCAAAACACAGAATTAGTACCGCAGCCTCGCTCTCCCTTCTCAGTTGCTGGAAGCAGGCCTCTGCGGTTTGTGGAAACGAAGAATTGCTTGCGGACGGGGACCCCTGCTCCTCGTATCCCTTGGGCCCTCCGACCTGCTGCGCCGTCTGGTCCCGGAGAAGTGTGGTGCCGGCAACAGCGCCGCCCGCCGTACTGGCACAGTCGTTGTACTGCGAATTCGGATAACCTAGGCTTGTCGCGGTCGACGTCCCCATCTGCGACGAGTTTTGTTGATGCTGCTGATCGAGGTACGGGGAGCCCTGCTGGATTTGCTGTTGCGGTGGACCTGCGGCTCCACCCAGAGGTGGCTGGTACTGCAGGACCGGCACGCCATTCAAGGCCGGCGTTCCCGTCACCTGCGGCGGATGGTGCTGTTGTAGTTCTGTTCCGACAGCAGCCCCCGGAGACTGTTGGTACTGCAAGTTTTGTTGCAGCTGTTGCTGGTCCAAGTACTGTGGCGGCTGCTGCGGACCTCCGATCTGCGGACCACTTGGACTTCCCAACGGTTGCTGCAAAGCGTGCTGTAGCTGCTGCTGCCCCGGCGTCATGCCCTGGTGTTGTAACTGCTGCTCGTTATTGTTGTACGCCGGATTGTTGTTCATATTCGTTGTTCCACCTAACTGCTCTGCTCCTATCGGCATCTGCGACCCCGGCGGGCCACCCCCTCCGAGCGGCTGCGCCGTGTTGTACGTTGCTTGCGGGAACAACTGTTCCCCGAGCGTTTGCGGCTGCACTTGATTCTGGTTCGTGGTGTACAAGAGTTGGTTGTCAAGCGGCTGCAGATTCGGACTTTGGTTCGCAGCCACGAACTGCTGATTTTGCGGATCGACCGGAAGCAGCTGCTGCGGCATGGGCCCCCCGGGAAGATGCATCGGGTCCTGCGGACCAGCGGCAGAGCTTGCTCCAGGAAACTGCTGCATGTTTGGCCCATTGTCCGGACCACCCGCGTAGTGGTCTAACGGCTGCTGCTGCGCAGGCTGCTGCTGCGGCGGTCCTGCTACGCCCATCTGGTCATTCCGCTGGTCCCACGCAGCAGCCTGGTTCGTTCCCTTGTTGCCGTAGTTATACTGCTGGTCGTTGTTGTAACTGTTGCCCTTACCGTTGTGGTACTTGTCTTTCCCGCTGCCTTTGTAGTTGTAATGATGTCCACCCTTACCGCCCCCGCCGTGGTAGTCTTTATCGCCCTTGTATGAACTGTTGTAACTACCGTTGTCGCCTTTATACAACGAGCCGCCGTAGTTGTAATTCTTCCCCTTGCCATACGAAGAACTACCGTAGTGGTCACTCTTTCCGCCCTGATACCCCCCGCCACCGCCTTTGTTGCTGTACCCGTACGCAGGAGACCGCCCGCCATAGTCATTGCTGTAGCCGCCACCTTTGTGCTGTCCGCCACCGTAACTGCACCCCCCTTTGTGCGCACCCTTGTTGTAGGAACCTTCTTCTTCTACCGAGCCGCTGCGATCGAACGAGGTGTCGCCATTGTAGCTGCCGTCGTTGTAATAATTGTTGCTTTTCCCGCCGCCGTAGGAATCGAAGTTTTGCTTTCCGTACCCGTAACCCTTTTTCCCACCGCCATACTTGTCCTTCGAAAGCGCACCCTTCTCCTTCCCCGACTTCTCGCCCAAGTATTCATACGAAATTTGAATTTCCCGGACGCGTATAATGATGCGGTTTCTGCATGACAGACCTTTATTCCGTTCTTTCATCCTTCAACCCTATTCAGCATGACAAGAGGCGTGAACTTCTAAGTTGGCGAAATTTCAAATGCGTTCTTTTGTACGTGTACGGGAATAAAGCTGTATCGCATACCCAGCCCTCACCGTAGATGAAGCCGGTGGAGCCGCCCTTAACTTCTTCGAAAGTGAAATGGTCCTTGCCCAGCACGTATGCATTGCAAACGTTTCTGGGTCTGGAAGACTCATGCTGTTTTTGCATGACACAGAAGGCCCGGCATGGAAGCTCTAGCGTCACAGGTTTCCAGAAGCTTCCGCAATGCCGAATCCGCATGACAAGTGCCCCACTTTGGTGACAGAAAGTGGGCAACTTTTGCTGCCTAAGCATGAGAGATTTTTCTGTGTTCTGAAATGCGCATCACAAGTTTGCATTCTTCCAGACCGAGACATATTTGCAGTTCATAGCATGTACCCGATGGAATGGCCCTTGTCTCCCTTCTTACCCTTGCCGTAGCCTTTTTCTGTTTTGGTGAGTCATTGGAGAACACTTTTCTCGAGAAACGGGAACACAAAGGACCACGTCCTCAAAGTTAAGTAGTTGATAGCTGGGGCTGTTCCTGTTGTTACACAGCGAAGAGCAAGAATTTTGAAGATTAGATGCACAAACTACATCGCAAATCCAATACTTCCCTTCCCGCCGCCTCCCTTGCCCTTCTCGCCGTCGTCATGCGGCTTGTACTGGCCGATGGTGAGAATCGAAGCGAAGAGCTCGTTCTGGTACTTGTGGTCCAAGCAGCTATCAATCAGGTCCTCTTGCCACTTACCTGTTTAGAACATTTTGGTGATGAAGAGTGCGTATCAATTTGTGATCCAGAAAACGACGTCCTCGCACCATGCGATCTGATGATTGAAAATGCATGTTGCGCGATTTCTGCACGTCGAGAGCTGCTTACCACTGGGGTGCGGCAAAATTCCGAACTCGTGGGGGTGCCCGAAGACCATGGTGGTAGTCCAGCTGATGCTGCGAACGTGGAAGATATTGCCTGGAATATTACATATGTTGCATTTATCTTTATGATCTTCCGGATGCAAATGCGAAAAATAAGCATAACGACATGTACAACTACAAAGGTGGTGGTCATCTTCGTCCTGCAGAAACATCACAAACAACAGAATATGAATAAATATTCCTGTCAATAAAAAGCTCACAGTGCTCGACAGTTCCGAACTTCTTCAGAATGCCGTCCCGCAAGTCCTCCACCCACAAGTCCCATCGCGAAAAAACCCCGCGCCAAAAATCCTGCGCAGCCACGATCTGCTCCGGTGTGGAAAAACTGTACGGACCCTGATTTTTATGTGTTGGGAACCAAATAAACACGACGCTGTGCAGACAAACGAAAACTTCACCTTCTTCGTTCCGACCTCGCTAAAAAAATCGGAATAATTTATAGATGCGCCTCCGCCTTCAAATAAAACTGACACACTTCGACGTTCGATTTTCATCAGCGCAGCTGTTTATAGTGTACAACCCCTTTACAAAAAAAATCAACCCCCTTAGTACCACTTGCACTCGTCGGTCGAACCGGAACCCCGGTAAGGTGCCCAACGCCGAGGCGATCAGTGGCACGTAGACCCAGCTTTGCGTTTTGGGGATCTTCCCGCCGAAGATCCGAATTTTCACGTCCTGTTCCTCGAAGCCAGGCACAGAAACCCAGGGCAGGTCCCGTAGCGACTCCAGGCCTCCGCCGACTCCGCCTCCGCCGGCCATGGCGTGCTGTGCGTCCTGTCGTCCCTAGAAGCAGACAAGGACAGCGACAACACGATTCGAAAAAAATTACTCCGTCAAAGACGTTCCATCGCGACAGAGGCCGAGAACTCTGGTTTGGAATGTGACAACGAAGAAGAAACGAGCGCAACACCGCGGAAAGGGACGAACAAACAGACCAATATGATACTTATTAATTCTTTGCCGATGCTGGTGCTCTTCACCACAAGAGGTGATGCGGAAACCCTCACTCTTCTGCCAGAATAGCACCATCGCTCAGAGGAAACTACACGCTGGAAATCAACTTCTCTGAAACAGGTCCCTCTGCTTTCCAAGTGAGTCCACAACACTCAGTCAGTGGGAGGAAAAACCTTATCTTCGAAAATGGAATCTCAACGTCTCTCCACGGTTGTAGATGTCTACTTCTTGACTCACCCCCTTCCAGATTAAGTAAACCACACGACTCCTTCTATAGACATGCTGCGGAGAACATCCAAACCAGCCGCTCGCACCAAACGGACACGACGGAAGACACTCCGTAAAAATTGCTTGCGCTCGCTCTGCTGCAGACAGAACGAAATGAACTCGAAACCGGAACCACGCTTGCCGGAAACTACGACAATTCGAAATAATCATACACACAGCTAGTCATCTTCCGATTCACTGCTGCTTGCCACGAGCTTCTCCCCCTCGGGCAGACCGGATGCAAGGATCGCGTCAAGCTCGTCCTCCTCTTGCTCTAGCTCGCCTATGCCGCTGCCAACGTCGTTTATCTGACATATCTCCACGTCGTAGTATACCTGGTTGATGAGGGATTTTTTGCTTGGGATAGTACCCGTGTATCTTATACCCGGTTGAGGGATTTTTTGGTTTGGTATGAATTCCGCGCCCGGTCGGGCGATACGGTAATCAATCGTTGCGCTGTTCACTTTGCGAAGAAAAAACCGCGACGCGCGCATTCCGGCGGCCGCGCCCGCGCGAAAACGGGAGGCGCAAACTATTCGGGCGCCAGAGAGGAACGAGCCCAAGGCGCTGCAAAGAGTGGAACGGATCAAGGGCGCCCCTTTGAGGGGCGGGTCGGGCTGCGCGCGGGTGATCGCGCGAGAATCCAAAAATTTTGGCGCGCCATACCGTCGCGCCTAATGTTACCCCGCACGGTATGGCGGGCGCGTGATTTTTGCTCATTTTCGTGTGGGCTTTTTTTGGTTCATTTCTTGCATTTTTGCGGAGGGCGCTTTTGCACCTCAAACGCGATGGCATTCGGCTTGATCAGGCGGAGGCCTCCGTCCCGAAAATGGCAAAACGTTACACCTCTAAACACGACTATACGCTGACTAAGCTTTCAGCGTGCCGCCGTGTTTGGCGGCCTGACAAATTTCGGATTGAGCGCAAGGCCCATTACAAATGGGCGATTTTTTTTCATTTTTTCATTTTTTTCTTGCGAAAGACGACGCTACTGCGGACCCACGGAGGGTCCAATTTCGCTACTTTTTCGCAAGCGTACCGGGGGGATTCGCGACACAAAAAAACTCTCATTTTCCGGATACCAATGCGCCTATGGACGCAAAAATCACCATTTTTACACCTTCCCCCGGTGGGAGGCTGCGTTTTTGGCGCACCTTTTGGCCGCCCACGCGGCCGACCCCGGTTCCAGCTTAGCAGGCCCTTCCCCCGAAGCTACTGCCCCACTTTGGGGGGCGCCCCTTTGTTCCATCTAGATCCCCCGTAAGGTAATCCGCCGTCGCTTCCTTGCTTCGCAAATGGGAAGCGGCTTCGCCGGGCCCGGGGGGGCGGGGGGGCTTCCGCCCCCCCGGGCCCGGCTCACCCGAACGCAACGATTGATTACCGATAATACCTGGTTGAGGGATACCCGTGTTTTATTTGAACACGCAAAATGGAGAACCAGAAGTGGCGGCACAAATGGTGAAGAAACTCGGGGTTGCCGGCAGGCAAAGACAAATACGAGTACCCGCGTGTTGGGTGGTATTACTATCCCGGCGCCCCTGGACCCGTAGGCGTAGAAAGGGGACACGGATATTTCTGCTTTCTCGTGCAGGGACAAGCCTAGCACGCCCTCGTCGAGGCCGCGAACCACCTCGCCGTTCCCAACCACAAACTCGAAGGACTCTTTTCTCTCCCTCGTATCGTCGACCGTCTTCCAGTTTTTCTTCCCCTTGATTTTCTCCTCCGCGGTGAGGTCGACGTAGCGCAGGGTGTAGTGTATTCGGATGGTGTCCTATCAAGCAAAAAAACACCATCACAATCACATCTAGGAGGTTTTGCATCAGAAATTTCTCTCGCATGACAAATTTTTGTTGTATTGCAAAAACACAAAGGGAAATCATCAATAAGTCTTGACTGTGATGCATTTTTGCGCATGACAAAAAATTTTGTATTGCAAAAATGTGCAAGAGTGATTGTGATGGTGTTTTTTTCTTGAATATGTCCCCCTTTTCCACGATGCAGTCCGGGTCCTTGTCCCGGCCTCGAACAATCTTGGTGACCACGATGTTGTCCAGCACTTCCTCCTATCAAATGCAGATATGTCTCGGTCTGGAAGATTTCTAGATTTGTCATGCTAAACAGAAGTGCGACACACTTTGCCTCCCCCTGTGCAAACGGCCGCAGATGGCTGTCACGCAGGGAAGGTGGGTCAGGCGGACACCGAAGTGCCATCGCCATCATCTCCCGGCCACTATACCAACTCGCCAACTATACCAACTTTTTTGCCTCACTTTCGCCAACAACGCCAACGATTCCTACTCGCGACACATATAGAAAGCACAACCAGGACACCAGCAACAAGGATACTGGACCCTGCAGCACGGCTTTCATGTTAATCTATGGATAAATCACATACGCCAAAAACATAGAAGAGAGTCAGAGGCGCTGTTTAGCTTCATCCAATGATAGGCGAGAAGCGGGCGTCGATGTGAAGAGCCCAGGCGGAGCTCTGGCGTGTCCTAGCAGCCGGTCTCTCCGCCGCGCCGGTCGTTCCTCCTACCACTTCGCTGGCTGCCGCCGCTGGGGCAAATACTTGGGGCCGAGGAATTTGCAGCAACACTTCTGGTCGTTGAGTGCCCCTACACATCTGGTCGTTGCGTGCTACGGGAGTAGGCCACACGTTGGGCCTACTGCTGAAAACTCCTCTAGCCCTGCCGCATTTGAGGAGACTCCTGCCGTTCCTTTCCACTCTGTGGCTCGCGATCCGTGCGCGCCTTCCGGCTGGCTTAAATGAATAGGCGCGCGGCTGCTCCAGCCCGCTGCCCCGGAGGTCATGATTTCGGAGTTGGTGTTTGGCGCTTCTATGTAGAAGCTAGCTCCTGCTACGAGGACGAAATTGAAAGTAAACAAGGACAAAGAAGATGGAGATACAGAAAGAAAAGAGAAGGAAACGGGTTCTAGATTTGTCATGCATATTTCCCATGACCCATGATGTCTGTGATGCATGCCGTGGCATTACAGATTTTTAGAGCGCTTTGTGATACCTCTACAGCATAAGAAATGCCCTCTCCGCGTGGCACAAACTGGAGTCCCCTTGCTGGTCATGCAATACAAATTCTTTCAGAATCCAGAGACAGCATCACAAGTTTAGAATGTTCCAGACCCAGACACTTTTGCAATTCATACCTCCTCCTCACTGGAGACATCGAAATCATCCACGACGAAGTCTTTGTAATTAGCCATTTTTGTTGACGTGCAAAAAACCTGATAGGATGAAGAACAAAAGTACTAGAAACGCAAACTGTATTCTCAATCTCAAGCAACTTCAACTACTACACTCTCTTCGGGCGGCACTCGAAACATCAAGTGCGTGGTTAACACCAAACGATAACGAGCAAGCTAGCTACCAGTACCACACTATCGAGTTGGTGATTCGGAAATTGGAAAATAGTTCACCTGCGCACGAAACAAAGCACAGTTGCCGAACAGCATCGTTGAGGAGGTAAGAGTTGGCATTTTTATTTTTGCGCTGTGAACGATACAAGCTGTTAACTGCGATTCTTTCTCTTCTACTTGGTAGAGTAAAACCTCACTGGTACTCGGTCGGCGCTTCAAAAAAACATAAGGTAGTCACTTTGAATGTCGAGTCTCATATAATCCGAGCACACTCCTAGTTTTGTTCTTATGCACTTATTGTCAGTCACGGATAGGCGATGCGGCTCAACAGGGCGAAAACTGAGATCTAACCAAGCACTCTCATCTCGTCTTCCGGGCTGTCTGTGGGCTTCGAAGTGGTAGAGGGCAGCACTTACTCTACTTTATTGCGAACAGTTCTGCAGATAAGGGACTCTCCTGTGCATCATGGCTTTTGCTCCATCCAGCACTATGCCATGCAGTAGGCCGCAGCCGACTTCTTTTTTATCTTCGCAGCAAGTTTCATGCTCAGCCGATCCCTTGCGTTGCCACCCCGTGCTCGGCCGGTCGCGCCGGCGCGGCACGTCTTCCGTTCTTGTCTTTCTTGTCAGCAGGAACTTGCAACTACCTGGTCCGCAGATCATGCTGAGGCGGTCGGGGTAAGTTGTTTTGAAGCGAAGACTTTTGCACACAATCCACGACCCCACGTCACCAGAACCGCGATTGTATTCCTCACTGGTGGTTGCCGGGACTTTGTGCCAAGAAGTTCTTACCGTCAGTGCGCCATGAACAACCGCGTTGGTCACTACAACAAGCTTGCCCTCAGTAACTAAGCGAGAGTCCCCCACCGCCGTCGCCTCCACCGAGGTACACGCCGATGAAGAAACTTATTGTGCCCGCGACCGCGCCCTGGAACAGCATCCAGCAGCCGCCGCTCCAGGGACTCGACTCCGCGATCTTGTTCTTCCAGTAGCCCAGCAGAAACAAGGTCGCGAGACTTGCGACGCAGCTGATGAGGAAGCCGTAGTTTTGTACGGTAGCATTGCCGAACAGGAGCTCGACGAGCAAGTACGTCCCCACCGGGACGAGGCCGAACACCACAAAGGCGACAAACATGGCGAGTGCCGATTTCCAGCACCCGTCCTCATCCGCGTCGGGGGGAAGGATGCCGATTTCATGGAGCAGCATGTGCTCCACCCAAAATTTCGGGTACTTGGACAGCGTGAAAGCCACTTTCTGGGCGTCCTCAATGTTCAGCCCGTGCTGCATGTAGATCTGAATCATCTCCGCGATCTCGCCTGAAAGGATTTTAAATGCATTCTTTGTGAAAAAGAAAAGATGTTTGGACGCATCGAACATGTAAGTACCCATCATAGGGCCAAGAAAGCAAAGAAAGGTTGACGAAATCCACATCCAACTACCACGCTTCGTACACGAACAGTATGTAAAATACATACCTTCGGGAAAGTTCTCCACTTCCCACTTTTCCCGGTTCAACTCGCGCAACGCAATTTGCCGCTCTGCTTTGCTGGAAACGTACTCGCCAAACGCCATGGAGAACGCACCGGCAAACACCTGCGCGAGCCCAAGTGCGACTAAATGGGAGACGGAGAGGTTGACGCCAACGGCGCCGGCCAGAAACGCAAAGCTGGTGCTGATCCCGTCGAGACCGCCGAACACGGCTGGCCTCACGTATTCGCCCTCTTCACTGTACAAATTCGATATTCATATTGATGTTTAAGAGTTGTATGTCTATGAGTAGTATACATGATAGTTGCACTCAGTTGATGAAACCCGCAGCGCCCGTTGGGGAAGATGCAGTCGCAAAGACAAGATGGACTTTGGTAATATGCGAAATCAAGAAAAAACGAAAGCTTCTTGCGATCTACAAATTCACCGAATACAGTGTTTTCTCGTCGTGCGGCGGCGGCAGCGTTCCGTTCCTTATGTGGTCCGCCAGCTTTTGGTGCACCGCGGTGCTCGTTTCCTTGTCGTTCGCCTCAAAGGCCAACCTTGCTCCGCGCAGCCGCTCCGTAGTCAGCAGCGCTTCGGCCAGAGGGCCACTGGGAACGCCGGGCTGCAGGGACCGGTGGGGTCCGCTGCTCGTGCGGTCGATCCGCGCGCTCGGCCTCAGTATGGGGCTCACGTTCGCCGAGGAGTGGCGGCTGCGGCTTTGCGTAGAGGAGGTGGAGGACACCGGCTGCGCGCCGCCGGGGAAGAGGTACTTCGTGTTCCCACCGGAGCTTCGAGGCTCCGGAGGCGGGCCGCCGGGCAAGCTAGTGTAACCGCCCGACATGTGCAGCGCGGGAGGCTTGGTCGCGCTAGCTGGAAGGGCAGTCAACGAAATCCGACCCCGGGAGGGCGAGTTGCGAGAGGAGGTCATGCGAGTTGTTGGGTAGTGGAAAATAAATATGACGCAATTTTTTAGCTTTGATCTCGTTAGAAGTCCAATGACTTCGCCGCGCAAATGAACCGGTGGTAAAAGGGTTCGCCTCAAAGTCGCTTTTTTGTTTTTCTATGGGACACGATTTGCGATTTGGCTTGCTACCGTGGCGCATTATCGCTAATTGTGATGTTTATCATCAAAATTTTTCCTGTTATAATCGCACAATGCCTTTCCACTGGTACACGTAAAAAGAGATAAACGAACTTTGTTTTTCCTTCGACTTCTTCCTCGCACTCGCGTGTATCAGGAACTAACTTCTACCTGCTCAGTATTTGGCTCTGGTTGATCATCGGGCACGTCAGGAAGCCGCTGGAGATAAATCTTCGTCAAGAAGTTAATTGCTGTGTGCTAAAACCTGGCCCAAAAGTCAGACCTTATCCATCTCCATCTGGATACGATCCTCGTTCACCACAATTTCATGCTGATCAACTCTCCAAGATCGTCCTGAGCCTGATTTTCATAACTACAGCACTCCGTCTGAAATAAGCTGCCAGAAGTAGACACTGTGCTGCCATAGAACTCCGATTCGCGACCGACGAGTTTCAACAGTGACCGCGACCTGTGAGAGGCAACCTGCACCTAGTGTGCGACAGCGACATACAGGCTTCCTACTTACGTTATTTCCTTGTCGTTAGATGTCGTCTTGCTCGGTTGTACAGTATGTTCATCGTGCTCAGGGGAGGGCCGTACGTGGGCACACAGCTCCATGATCGGCACAAAATTTTAGGAAAAACGGCATGTCTGTTGTCGCGTGCGGGTAGTTAGTTCTACAAGCGGAGCCTTGAGCTCCTAGGATGTTGGCTGTGATCATCATTCACGGGAAGGCACGTATGCGATCGAAAAGGAAATGCGTGGCGGCACTAAAAACTTGCGAAAAATTGCTCCGGGGGTGAGGATGAAACGTCTTTATTATCTACAGTGTCTTTTCCACTCGCCACTGCGATTGTGGAGACGAGAGTTCCTGTGTATGTAATTTAGAAGTATTTTGTCGTGTCGTCGCTGATATGATGCGGGTGAGAAGGAGCCGATCTATCACTCCTTCTGGGAAATTACCATATCCTTACGCGTACATTTTGTCGATGGTGTCCTTGTAAAAAGTCACAATCTGTGGTCGCTTCAACTTCAACTGCGCTGTCAGCAGTTCGTTGGTATCCGGGGTCCACACGTCTTCGCACAGATGGATTTTCTGCGGATACTCAAAGGCCACCATCTTGGCGCCCTTGCAGTGCGCGTTCACCAGGTCTTTGACTGCCTTGTTCACCTGTGTAATTATCCCGTGCAGTGATTCCTCGCGGTGCATTTTGATCCCAAGTGATTAAACTCATCTCAACATTTTCAGCATCAACCAGATGAACAGTGGATGTAATAGAATCTCCCAAAAACTACATGACCCAAACTAAGTAACAGCAAAAAGAAGCCCGCCATCAAGTTGCATTAAGTACCTTGTCGTCTTTGCACAAGTCTGCCAGCGATTTCCCTGCTGCCCCCGTGACGCCGGCTTCTTCCGCGACTGCCTTCAGGGCCTTCTCGTTTGGTACGATGAATGCGACGGGGAAAGCGCCGCCGGTTTTTCCGTACATCATGCAGTTATCCACGAACTGGAGCAGCTTTAGTATGTTTTCAATCTTTGACAGCGCGACGTACTCGCCCTGCGGTCCCTTCCAGAGATCCTTCTTGCGGTCGATGATCTGCACCACACCGTTGCGATTGATTTGCCCAATGTCCCCGGTGCGGAACCAGCGCACACCGTTACCGTCGGTGAAAAAATCCTCCTTATTCTTCTTGTCCAACTCCGGGTCCGGATTGGCCGGATCCTGGTAGTACCCGAGCGTGACTAACGGACCACCGATCAAAATCTCGCCGCGCGGCATACCTCAAAAGTTTTCGCATTTTTAGTTGCGTGTACGTCTACATGATACCCGCAAGTGGATATTAAAAACTGGGATGTAGAAGCGCGTCGAATGTCAACAACTACTCCAAACAAGGAAAAGCGCACAAGCTTACTATGCACAGGACATCAAGCATACTTGTACCAATTTTCTTGTTGAAGACGTCACTATTCAGGTAGTTGCCATCGGGCCAGTCGTGGAGGCGGAGCATGCAGGACTCGGTTGGTGGCCCGCAAACACCAAAGTCATAATCGGCCCATTCGCCGACCACTGCGATCGCCATCGTCTCTGTCAGCCCGTACCTGTGGAGTTTTTTTCGAAAGAAAACTTGTGCTTAGCCACTTAAGCGAGCGCGGTGTCCGATCGTAGTACCTTCCAAAGATCGTTCGTGCATAATTTGCGAAAAACTAAAACTCTCGTAGTCGTGTTTTCATCAGCAAAATGACACTCGAGATGAATCGAAGAAGTGTCGTACTTACCCTATCCTTATCGGGCAGCAGAAGATGGTTTGCAGTGCCCGATGGAGGTCCGCCGCCAAAGGTGCGGAGCCACTTGCCATTGCTTTCACCCGGCCGCCGAGCAGTTGCTGCGGTTTCGAGAAGACGATGGCGTTTGCGATTTTGCTGGCTCCGATCCCCTCGCCGGATTTGATGCTCCTTTCGCCCTGCTCCAGCGCGTAGTTGAAGAGCCACTTGATGAGCGCTTTCTCGTTGACGCCCTCCATAATCTTGCTGTACACCTTTTCCAGCACGGCCGGCGGCAAAACCATCAGCGTCGGCTGCGCCAGCTGCGCGTCGCCCATAGATTCGGGAACCTTTAGCTTCACGCCCGACGGGGTTAGCGTGTGCGGGGAGCCGTAAGCGAGGGCCACGCCGCCGTGCACGCACACGACTTCCGTCGCCAACTCCATGATGTGCGCCATCGGAAGGCACGCCATAAAGACGTTGTCGGGCAGGTCCGGGTTCTTGCTTTTCGACTTCTTCTTCTTCTCGCCCTCCTTGGGTTGCACAATGCTCAAGGTCCGGCTCGCGCTCACAATGCACGCGACAAAATTCCCGTGCGACATTTGCACCCCCTTGGGCGCGCCGGTCGTACCTAAGCAGGAGGTGTGGCGATTTGAGAATTTTTTGCAGTCTGAATAGAGTGTCACCTCGGTATAGTTTTTTTCCTGGCCAAGGACTGCAGAGGACACTTCTCATATGATGTACATGTGTTTATTCCGCCCTGGTACGTCAAGACAATTGAAGTAAACCTTGATTTTTATCCAAGAAGAGTACTTCTAGTTGTCGGTGTTTTATACCTGATGTGTACATAATGACCGCGAGGTCATCTGGGCCGGGCTTGAAGTAGTCATCGGGCTTGCCCTTGATGATTTCGGCGCCCAGACCCATGCACTCCGTGACCGAAATCACCTTCACCTTTTTCAGCTTCGCCAGCAGCTTTTCGTCCATGTTGTCCCCCATGGTGACCACGTACTTTAAACTGGGCAGTTTGTCCACAATGTTCACAAGCACCTTCAGCAACTTGGCATCGCAGATCACGACCTGGATAATTTTCAACGAACAAGCAGATAATTACCATCGAAAGAAAACGGAATCATTCGTTTTTTATGCACTTACTTCCTCTATCATGATGCCAGGCGCGCTGCTAGTACAACAACATCTTCACTGGAATATTTCTTTAGCTGAGAGCAACTAGGATGAACTCCTGAAGCCGTTTTTTTACCTCAGCCTTTGTTTGATTCATGGCGAACTGGGCTCCGTCTTCGCCGAGCGTAGCGTAGATGGTAACGATCGGCAGCCCGCGACTTAACGACCCAAGCGCGCACGCGAGCCAGTCGATCTGGGTCTCGGCGTAAATCACCACTTTGCTGCGATCAAAGGATTTTTTGCTCTGGTTTCGCTGCCCAATCTTGTCGCAAAACTCGTCAAAGCCGGCGGCGAAAGAGAAAACCTATAAAGGTATTTATACTTTGTCTCAAATAAACCTCATCCAAAACCACAACCACTGCAGGTCTTCTTCCATGATCCTATGCTTCGGACTAAAAGTCCAAGCTTGATGAAAATGGAAAGGAAAAATGTGACGAGTTTCATCTGAATTAGTTTCCGCATAAAATTTTCCCGCTAAACTGGATATATTAATGCTTGTCCTTAGTACCTTATGCTTGTATTCGTCGTACGTGAGCCAGGTGTACTTGTTCTCCAGCTCCAACTTTTCAAATTCCTTGCCACCCGGGGTGTCTGCGACCATGGTATGCATTGCAAATATGTCTGGGTCTGGAAGGGTGGTGGAACTTGTGATCCTGTCTGCGGATTCTAAAAATATGTGTGTTGCATGAGCAGCTAGAGGAGTCCAGTTCTTGGCCTGCGGAGAGGGCATTCTTCCTGCGTGATAAGCATTACTTAAGCACCCCTCAAAAAACCTGTGATGCTAAGACCTGCGTCACAGACCCCACAGGTCACGCAACACGTGCATGACAAACCACGACTCTTCCAGACCCAGACATATTTGCAATCCATACATGTGCGTTTTGATCAACTTCCGGTACCCCGCGCACTTGTCCTTTCCGCCCCGCTTGCAGCCACTGACAAACACCTCCACCACCGACTTTTCCCCGGTTGGCAGGGTCTTCTTGATGGCAAACGTCCCATCCGCCTTGCGATTCTGGGCGTGGTAGAGAATGGGCCCGTACCCCTCCGGCTTGTTGTTCGTTTTCTCGTCGAACAGGCCCCAAGGCGGCGGGCTCTGGGGCATGTCCTCCACGGGGAGGGAGGCGCTCACGCCCATTTTGTCGCGAACAAATAAATTTAGATTTACTCAAGTAAAAGAAAATTACTTCCACAGGAGCACAGTAATACTTCGCTAGTATCTGGATCTCAATAGAAGAAAAAAGGCCAAAGATTTCCTTTCCGTCAGAAGCTCACGGTTCAAATTGTTATAGCCTAACCGCAGAAAGTTCTAATTTGAGAAAAGTTTGATGCTCCAAATTTTACTTAATACCGCAGACCGCCACCGAGAGCGGTCGGCTCTCTGTTTGTGAAATGATACGCCGTCGACATGTTCAGAAAGTGAAAACGCTTCTTGCCGAATCATATTAAAATACACGTTTACATCCATGATTTTCACGCAGCCGCGAATACTTAGTCGCGTCCCGTGCAACGCCGCGTCTCGGAGATCTACTGCTAGTGCTGCTGCTGTTTCTATGAGTTTGACTACTCCAAGCTGATGATCATTGACTTACATTTACACTGGTTTTTGTTGCACCGATGAACATTAAAAAGTCCGACTTGCGATCAGGTTGAGTGGCGGCAACACGGACCGAAACCAGATACATGCTTGACAGACCACGTTTTCTCTTCTTGAACACAGCATACTTTTCGTTGTAGCAAATAAACGTGCTCTCTTCTGATTAATGTCAGACTTGTCAGTCCTGTTGCGTTCTTCCAACCAAAACGAAAACTCGCATGACCATATCTCCAGAAAAATACTGCATGCTTCGAGGCCTGCAAAAACGGCGGATCGCCTTCCCGAACTATCAGAGTCAAAGACCTCCGCGCTAAGTTTCACACCAGCACCCTTTGACCGAAAGTACAACTAGAGATATTAGATTGCCACGAATCCAGCTTCATCCCTTTTTTCTTTTTCTCAAAACGAGCATCATATACTTCCCCTGTTCTTTCAAAGGAATCTTCTCGAGAAATTTCCACTGCGCCCCTAGTTGCTGGAGTTTCCAGATGGTCAACGTGGACCCGGCCAGGCCAAGAAACAGCCCGCCCTCCTTGAGGACGGTCCAGCATTGCTCCATGCAGGTTCGAAACCGCTCGTCGCCCCCGCGGCCGCACAAAAGACTGTCTAGCACGCCCTTATCCACGACCACATCGACGGAGCTTTCCGGAAGTTGGACCCGCGTGCCGAACTTTTCCTCCACTTCCTCCGGACTCGGTGCCGCTTGCTCTCCTCCTGTCTTCGCCGCCATTGCGCCGGCGGTGACCGCTCGGTGTGCACCAGCTCCTCTTGGCGCGTCGCCAAACAGCGCGTCGACGTTGGCTGGGGAAGCAGAAGATGAAACCATGTCTAAGACGTCCATCAAGGCAAATTGGTGCTGCGGAAACGCTTTCTGCATGGCTTTCAGGCACACGGGCGCGATGTCCGTGTTCAAAGTGCAAACATAGCCCCCCTGCTTGACCATCTGGATGCCGAACAAGCTCAAGCCGCAGCCGATGTGGAGCACCTTCCAGTGGTAATTTTCCCCCAGGTACTTCCGGATCCCGTTCGCCGCGTGATGATACTTCACGTTGTAGAACTCTTCGGAGCTGCAGCTACACGCCACCGCTTGCTGTTGCAAGACGTGGGGAGCTGTAGTTTTTTCTCCCCCTCCGCGGGACGGCGATACGGAGGAGGAATTCGCCCGGCTGCCGGTCTTGTTCGGACTTCTACTGCTGGTGGGCGACGTCGGCGCTGTGGTCACAGCCGTCTTTGGTGTGATTTGCGTCGAAGCTGCAGGATCTCTAGTAGAAGTACTACTAGTTAACAATCCATCTACCATAATTGTCCCTTCGCCGCCCTTGCTATCGCTCTTTGGCGGGGACGATTGTTGTATATGCGATAATTGTGCTGATGTTGACGATGGTCCACCTCCTGTCTGTTTACTCTTCGTGGTCGGAAGTTTCAGCGCCGGAGTACTCCTCTCGCGCAAAAGCCACTCGAATCGGTTGTCCCAGTAACTCATCGTAGCGTACTTGCTAGGGTCCGTGTTACTGTTGTATCGTTTGGTCCCCAGAAGCGACTCCTCAACGGCGATAGGTTTGTTCGATGGCGAGGCTGAAAGGCTACTTCCTTTATTTCCACCGCTCAGACTTGTTGCATACGTGATGGTGTTGACCATCATTCCTGCAGCAGCGGGCATCGGTGTACTAGTCCCTCCCGTGGTTGTAGAGGATCCTCCGGTAGTTGCTACACCCGAAGTAGAGCCACCTCCTCCGCCTACACCCACAGACCGGGCGCGCCCCACGGCCCGCGACCGACCGGAAGACGCGCTCAAGGATCGGCCGCGGTTCATACGCTCGACGTGGTCGTCCAGCGTGCGGCTTTGGATGGTTTTCCGTGCCACGGATGCAAACAACGCGGCACCGCTCGTTTTACTTAGTTGCTCCGTGGCTGTGGTGGAGCCTGCTCGGAGATTTTGGTCCCGTATCACTTGCTGCACCACGGGCGCGAGCGAGAGCGACCGGCGACGGCCCGCTGCGCCGGACGGGGTGGCGGGCTTCGACTGAGCTCTCGCAGGGCCGGCATGAAGTGCCATTTTCTTATTTTCTGTCCTTGTCGTTGCCACTGTGACTGTCTCCTTCTCCTCGGGAGCGCTTTGCTTGAGTTCAGCTTTGGCGTCCTCTGGAGCCTTACTGGTGCCTTGCAGCTGCGTCATGCCTTGTTCTGTAGTGGTGAGTCTTAGGGTACTTACGCGAGATTATGCAAATTTCCAGGACCACGCACAGTAAGCTAAGAGCCAATGACTTCTCGATAAAAAGCCCCTACTCTTATAATCATGGCAAACCAGGACGGGAACTATCAGAACATGACCGGGCGAAAGAATGTCATGAAGAAGGTTATGGGCATCAAGCATGGAATTTTAGCACAAGGCACCTGATTGAAAGTACTTAGCAAGAGGCTATCTGCACGAAGGCACGTATCCGCAAACTGCATCCGATTGTACTTAGGTGGGTATGGACGAAACGAAGACGGGTGGAAGGAACGAAATGACCCGACGCAACATAAAAGCACGAGTTCTTGGGGTTCTGAGCACGACCAGACGTAGCACGAAGCGAAACGCACAGACCGAAATTTTGTGAAATGAGCTGAAGTACCGCTAATGTAAGATTTTGGAAAGCTGCAGTACAGGACGATTTTGCTAAAGCGCAAGCACCGAAGGAAAGTGATGAAAGTAGTTCTCCGTTGCAACCGAAGAGCATACCTTCTGAATCCGCGTACGACAGCAGCTGATTAAGTGTAAGACACTGTTTGTAGTTGAACAACGAATAAAACCAAACTGTTTTTTCTCTTTGAGAAGTTCGCCCTGCTCGTTTGAAGATGACGAGGTACTGACAACATACTTAATTCCTGCCTGGAGTTCTTACTCCATTGTGCTTTTGGAAACTTCAATCTGCCATTGATGTCTTAGAAACAAGTAGTGACGTCCGGTACAAGTAAAAGAATGCTTTGTGATGTAGAAAGAAAACTATAACGTAACTAGTATTGTACACTTCATTTTTTAGAAAAAAATCAATGCAAACGAATCAGGAAAGACCAGCAGCATGTTTCATCTACTGCCTATCTGTCTGGATTTTTTGTCTCGGATACGACGAATCGCGGTCGACTTCACCTTCGGAAGCACTAGATTGTCGTCTTGATCTTGCTCCAGTGTCGCAATGAAATTTTTTTCCTTCCCGCTCAACATACCAGCACACAGTTTTTGTCGCCGATGATTTTCAGCCTGATGCAACTCCATCCCCTTCTGCAAAGCACGAGCCAGACAAAGTGGATCGAATACTTATTAACGCGAATCCGTGTCCAGCTGCTCCTGCGATGCTTCTACAAAATTATCGTGTAAGATGTTGACATCTCGTGGGGATGTTGAACAACAATACCGCAGTGGGATGTTGAGCTTTTGAGAAAAAAACTTCACATTTCCATAACTGAAATCGCGCCGTCGTCCCCTGAAGATTTCCGCATGTAATTCTGCAACTCCTTCAGAGTCACTCGCGGTGCAGGTGGGGCTGCCTCTTGCATCGCCGTCTCGCTAAGCCTTATGGTGGCACTGGATCGTAAAAAATCCTTCTCACTCCCGGGATCGGGACTTATTGCTGGCTCCTGCTCCACGTTGCTACCTAAATCTATGCCTGTTCTGCCCGCTGGTGCCGGCGTCGCCGGGCTTTTGCCCAGAACGCCTGGCATTCTGTCGTCATTTTCAAACTCCAAATCTCTGCGCCTCGCGGACGTCGGGTTTTTTCCGCTTTGCTGGTCTGCTTTTTCCTGAGTTGTCTCGTACACTTCTTCTTCGTCTTGGCGAGCGACCGCCGCCTGCTCCACTTTAGTGCTGCTACCCGCGTTTTCTCCTTTCTCTTCAAATGCCGTTCTTTCCGGGGTCGGAACATTAGAAAAACCGACGTCGGTCGACGGAACGAAGTCATCCGAGGCTGCGCTGGCCGCAGCGGCCGAGGCGAAATTTGTACTGCCATTGTTCAAAGCACCAGAGGACGATGACGAAGACTGGTGGGTCGCCAGTGAGAAACTACCCTGGAGGTGGGTGCGACTCTTCGGCTTTGCTGCTAACGTTTCCTTGGTAGCCACGCGTTGCTGCTTCATGCGAGCTTTGATCATTTCCAATTGCGACGCTGAAGTCGGCGGTGGCTGTGGAGCCTTCGCGGGTCGTGGGCTCGCAAGAGGTTCTTCTTCTCGACTGGGTATGTCATCATCTCCGGCGGAGGTCGTTGTGCCCGGGACTGTTGGACTCGCGGCCCTTGAACTTGATTTATGCCGCTCTAGTAGGTTGACAGAGTACTGAAGAAACTGCAGCGCCCTCGCACTGCTCGGAAGGGCGGCTGGTGGCAGCGGCCTAGCGCTACTGGGCCCGGCACCGGGCGGAAGGAGCCGAGCGCTACTGGGTCCGCCGGCACCTCCTCCCTGTGGAACTTCTGCCCTGGCGCTGCTTGGGACTACACCAAGCGTCCCCGGTGCGCCGCCCGGGGTACTTCTACTGCCGGGAGGTGCGTCTGCACCAGCTCCGGGTGGAGGACTTGGATCCTCTGTGGATGCTGGCTCCGTTTGGATCAACGGCTTCGCCTCGCCTTGCTTGGGCTTCACACAGCCGATATCCTCCAGCATGTCGCGCACCACCTCGAACGGGTGTGTCAACACTTTCTTCAGCGAGTCCGTCAATTTGATCTCGGGCCTCTTTTTCAACAAAATCGCCCGGTCGTCGTCCTGTTCTTTCTGTAAGATGACCATTTCATCCTCCATGTCGTGCTTTAGGAGATCTATCTCTTTCTCCATTTCTGCAATCGTTTTTTTCTGGGAATGAAGACTCCGCTGGTACGCCGCTCGCCGGGCGGCGGTGGTGCGTTTTCTCGATTTCTGCGCCGCCCGATTCGACGTCGCGTCGCGAGTTCCTACAGCGTCGTCCGAGAACCGCACCGCCGTGGGGGAGCTGCGGGTGCCCGCGTCCATTTCCTCCGAGATCCGCACCGCGCCCGGCGCGCTACCATCCGCCAGAATTTTTCTCATGGACAGCCAGTCAGCAGCATCGCCGGTAACATCAGCCAGGATGTCGCCCTTCTCGTCCCGAATGGTCACAGACACCTTCTGCGGTTCATTATCCGGAACCGAGCCACTGGCCCGCTGGTGCAGCTGGGCGGCCTGGAGAAGGCCGTGCAAGAACGGATGCTGGCGGTCGTCCAGTAATGCTTCTCGGTCATCCGCCCAAGCACGGGTGTACCCCCTGGTAAATCGCCCATCGTCCTCGGTTGCCGTGGAGCCCCCGCCGGTTGCGCGCCAGCGGTCGGTCCCGGTGCCGGAGCCCTCGGTCGTAGTGCCGGAGCCCATGGCCGCTGTGCCGGATCCCTCGGCCGCGGTGCCGGTGCGTGTCGGATACGAACTTGCACGCGACGCGCGCGCGGCCTGCAGCGATTTCCGCGAGGTAGGCGCCGCCTTCGGTGCCGGGGCCATTCGCCGCGGGGAACTGATTTCGCCGTCGGACGAGGCCCGCATTTGGGGCATCTGCAGTGGTCCCCGCCGACCTCGGGCCGAAATAATTTCCGGTGCGTCGGAATTGCGCGGCATTTTCCCTTTCTTGCCCTTGCTCTTCCGCGAGGCCGGGGACGAAGCCGGTTTTGGCATGGACGGACGGCTGAACGGTAGGCCCGGCCTGCCCGGACGGGCGAAAGCTTTCCCCATGCCTTCCGACTCGCGTCCTTCCAACTCCACCTGCGCAGACGGGAGCCAGAAGAACGGTTCTTCGACATCGCTACCGCCCGGCGCCAGGAGCGGTCCAGCACCGTCTACTTCCCCGTCATACACGGTGGTGGTGTGGCGTAGGCGCTCTATCTGGGATTCGGTCCTGCTGCCACTCGTCGTGTACGAATACTTCGTCTCCATGGAGCGCAACGCTAGCTCTTCATTCTCGTCGTCCGTCAGCGCTTCCCCGGACACATGGCCCGCGTGGGCCATGAGCGCCAGCTTCTGTGCGTCCACCACCTGGGCCTTCCGCGCCATGTGGGTCTCCAGCTCGGTGATGCGCGCGTCGGCCACGCGCCCCTGGTGGTAGTACAGGAAGACGCACGTGCAGAGCAGCAGAATGCCCGCGAGACCGCAGCCCAGGATCACGAACTTCTGCGTCTCCTGTTCCTCGACCGCCTCCTCATCCGTCACGACGAGCGGGGGCCCCGTCGTTGTGGTCGGGATGGGACCGATGATAATTGGGTCCTTCTCGCTGCCCGGCAGCCTGAGCGTCACCGTCGAGTACTCGACGCGGTCTTGCGAAGAAGATGTCGTCGTGGTCACTGACGTTACCGTCGTCACGGCGGCTGTGCTGGTGGAGATGGGCACAACTATGGGATCTATCATTGTCGTTGTCGTTGTTACCGTTGATGTCGATGTTGTACTGCTACTGGTTGTCGAAGTTGTTGTGCTAGTCGTCGTCGACGACGTGAATGTAGTCGTCACTGTGCTCGTCGTCGTCGTCGTTGTGGTCGTCGTCGCGCCCGGCGCCAGCGTCGTCGTCGTCGCGGCCGGGTCTAGCGTTGTCGTAGTGGTCGTCGACGTGGTCGTCGTGCCTGTGGTGGTTGTGCTTGTCGTGGTTGTGACGGTCGTGGTAACTGTGGTGGTCGTCACTGTCGTCGTTGAGCTGGTCGTGCTCGTCGACGTCGTGATCGTCGTCGTCACCGTGGTAGTGGCGCCTGGCACGTAAATCGTAGTGGTCGTCGTGGTCGTCAACGTCGAGGTGGTGGTGGTGGTGGTCGTGGTCGTTGGTAGCGCGCCCATCAAGCAACTTTGGGTCTCGGTGTCCAGCAAGTCGTCCAGCGCCCGCTGAAACTTGTTCGTGATCGGCCGCGACGTTTTCGGACTGTTCCAGTTCGCCGGCGTGAGGGAATTCCGGAGCGCCTGCGCCACCGCGGGAACCGACGCGGGCTGGAGGCCGAGCACGACCGCGGGGAAGGTCACATTGTAGACGGCGTACGCGGTCGGGTCGGCCGCGCCGGGACACTCCGGGTCGGCCCGCAGCTGGTACCGGTTGGCCGGCACGAACTCCGGCGAGTACACGTCAAACGCCGGCACCAGCACCGCGTAGTTATCCACCAAGTACGCAAACAACGCGCCCAGCAGCACCGGCGCCACCTCCGTCCGCAAGCACGCCGCGTCGCAACCAACCAGAATCAGCTCCTGCCAGAAATCGAACTGGTACCCGACCAACACGATCGTCGTGGTCGACGTGGTCGTCGACGTGGTGGTGGACGTGGTTGTTGTCGTGGTGCTCACCGTGGTCGTGATGGTGGAGGTCGTCGTGGTCGACGTCGTCACGGTGGTCGTCGATGTCGTGGTGCTCGTCACGGTGAAGGTCGTCGTGGTACTGGTCGTCGTCGTGACCGTCGTGGTACTGGTGGTACTCGACGTGGACGTCGTCGTGCTCGTTGCCGTCGTGGTGGTCGTGGTCGTCGTCGTTTCCGTGCTCGTCGTCGTGAGCGTTGTGGTGCTAGTGGTCGTCGAGGTGGTGGTCGTGGTGGTCGTCGCGGTCGTGGACGTTGTCGTGGTGGACGTCGTCGTGGTCGTGCTGGTTTCCGTGAAGGTTGTCGTGGTCGTCGTGGTGCTGGTACTGGTCTCCAGGGTCGTCGTGGTCACGGTCATCGTCGTTGTGGACGTCGTGGTCGTGGTACTGGTGGACGTCACCGTGGTGGTCGAGGTGGTGGTCGTGGTCGTGGTCGACGTGGTGGTGGTAGTCGAGGTCACCGTCGTGCTGGTCGTCGTCGTGGTCGACGTCACGGTCGTCGTTACGGTCACGGTGGTGCTCGTGGTGGTGGTGGTGGACGTAACCGTGGTGGTGTCGGTCGTCGTGATCGTTGTGGTGGAAGTGGTCGTCGACGTGGTCGTCGTGGTGGACGTTTCGGTGGTGGTGCTGGTCGTGGAGGTAGTGGCCGTGGTCGTCGACGTGGTGGTCGTGGTGGCCGTCGTCGTGGTGGAAGTCGTCGTGGACGTGGTCGTGGTTGTGTAGGTCACCGTCGTGGTCGTCACCGTCGTGGTGGTCGTGGTGGTGGTGGTGGGCAGTGCCACAAACCGCTCCGGGTCGTACGGGACCAGGTTCCCGTCCACCATCCGCAACCCGGGGCCCGCCGCCCCCGCCGCCCCCTGGCCCTCCTGCGCCGCGTAAAAGTTGCCGTACAGCGCCGCCTCCAGGTACGGCCGCATGCGGATCCGCCCGCCCTTCAGCGCCAGGTCCTCCTCGAACGCGTACGCGATCGCGTCGTGGATTATCAGCGCGTTCTCGTACGTGTCAACGCCCACGAGCTGAATGCGGAAGGAGTGGAACTTGGCGAGGGGATATCAAACGCAAAATTCGATCGATGTTTCTGCGATCTACGGATCACTCATGAGGTAATACTTTGTGATGCGCAACAGCTCGTAGGCGCCTTGGAGACTATTGGCAAAGAAGTGCTGTCACGGAGGACGAGATCAGTTCTTTTACACTTTACATGATGGTTGGGCCCTTCTTTGGAAAAATATTTGACCCGAGCTACTTCCGGTGCATGCAGGATGTATAACGTCGTACAAAAATGTAAGTAAGGCATTTCTACTTCGCACAGAAACCACATCAAATTTTGCATTTCATAACGTTTCCCCGTCTGCTTTAGGACCGGGTGGCACACAGATGCTTTCCGGGCTAAGAGCGAACATACCGTATTCGGTGGCGTCCAGGAAACCGTCTTGAGTCGCATCGATGCAGGTAAACAGTTTCTGCGCAAACGCCATGCGTTCGTTACTTAGATCACCGCCGAAATACTCCGCCTTTTGGAACTCACTCAGCTCAATTCTTGTGGCCGGGTTTGATATGGGGCCGCTTACAAGTCCGATATCCGAGGAGGGGTTTGAGGTTCCGATATCCGCGTAGGTCGGCAATGTGGTCGGCAGCTGCGCAAGCAAGTTCGTGAGCGACACCGTGTAGGTTAGGCTGACCACATCCCAGGTGTGCTTGCAGTCACAGAACTATACTCAAGCAAACCGCGCGAGTCGGTCCTGTGATAAGAACGTACCTCGTTAAATGCATCTTCGTCCACCTCTGCTTGACAGCGGCAGAGGATTCCGTCCTCGGAGCCTTTGATATTCAGTGGCTGTGCAAAGATTATTTTGTGCGAATATGTCGACTACCGCATGACAAAATTCTTCAACTTCCATGGTACGCCTATAAGGCAAAAACAAGGAAAACGACCGTGCAAGAAGAAAGTGTGGACCACCACTTCTGGATCGTCTTTCCACAAGTGCAACAATGACCAGGGTAATTATATCTATTTGTCATCACTGAGACCGCGCAGCGCGCTTCTTCTCCAACTTGCATAACAAACTGTAATCCACTGGTCGCCCGGTCGAGGACGTCGCTGCGGGCGTCGTGCCCACCAGGCCACACTTCGCCGCGTAAGAGGACCCCATGTCCGGGTCCGGCCACACTTGGTACTGCCCGTGGGTGAGAAAGGGGCCCGCGAACAGCGGGTTGAACGGCTGCTCCGACCCGTAAATCGGGTCCCGGCGGAAAAAGTTGTACATGGCCAAGGCGATCGCGCGCCCGAGGTTTTGCCCCGCGACGAGGCCGAGGTAGTCGTCCGTGCAGCCGGCCACGGCGAGCAGCAGCTGTAGCCGGAACCGGACGCCGAACGGGTTGTCCGCCTGCTTCGACAGCACAAACGTGCCGGTGGGGTCGTAGGTTTGCATCTGCAGCAGCCCCGCGGACGGAAAGGGCTGCACCGTCAGCGTCCGCTGAAAGGCCGTCGGATCCCCCAGCTGCTGGTAGATCACGACCGGGGCCTGGAAACAGCACGGCTTCGGCACCCGCTCGCCGGCGGCGTCCACAATCATGTATTTCCCGTCGGGCACGAAAAGGCGGGGCTCCCCGTCCGCGACCGTCGCATTCGTTGTCCACTTTTCCAGTGCGCGCGCAACCACGTACTCCAGGTGCTTGTTTTCGCGTGCCTGGCTGTCGGCGTCCAAACTCGGCGCACCAGGTGCCAAGTAGTCCACCGCCCCGGCAAACTCGAGCGCGGCTTTCACTTCCTCGGCCCCCGCCGCGGTGGGAAAGCCGGCAATCTCCACGTAGAAGTCGCTGTACGGAGTAGACCCGCCTTGCAAAGCCTGGGCGCACTTCGTATCGAGGACGCGGTACTGGTTGAAGTGCGGCAGGAACGGGTGCGTCAGCTTACTGCGCAGCACCGTGTCTACGTAGCTCTTCAGCGCCAACAGCAGTGGCACGCCCACCTTCCGCTTCAAATACAGGTTTTGCCCGGTGCCGCCCAGGTCAAAGACGCGGTTGTCGTCGCAGTTTCGGACCGCGTGGTCCGGGTGAAACACGAGTTTCAAACCGATGTGCACCGCCAGCGTGTACAGCTTGCCCACCGGGTCCAGCGGCGCGCCCGCGTCGCTCGTGGCGCTCACCACCGTGTCCATCGCCTGCCACTCCGCCGTCGGGTTGTGCGCCGCGTACAGGACCGCGTACGTGTCCGGGGCGGGAATGAGCGCGGTCGCGCCCACGGCGGGCTGGATGTCGGAAAAGGTCGCGTACGCCACCACCGCGGGGTACCGGTAGCCGGGGTGGTTCCGCAGGTAGCCGCCGTGCCACTTCCAGATCGTGTAGTTCCGCGTGGGCTCCACGTACATCACGGTCGCGGCGCGGCCCCCGGAGCCGCCGCCGCGGTTCCAGACGTTGGCGCGGATTTCCGCCGTCGTGGCGTCCGCCGTTTTGCCGACCCCGACCACGAGGTAGTCGTCAAACGTCTGCACCAGGTGCCGCCAGGGGGATTCCTTCACCAGCCAGGAGTTTTGCGCGAGCCAGGTGTCGGGCAGCGCGTCGTCCCGCCACTCCACGATCTCCTGCAGCGCGAGCGCCAGCTCTTCCGCGCTCTTCTGGCGCCAGAACGGACCAATCTCGAACCGGAAGGGACCCTGGGGCGCCATGATTTGGTCCACGCGGCGGTGAAACCGGCGGCACGGCGCAAGCATGGAGGTGACCTGGATGTGGCTGCGCGTCAACGAGTTTAGCAAGCGTGTGCTCAGCGGCCAACTTGGAGCCCACCGCTTGCTTTCCGGGGACAGCGTGTCGTACACCAGGCGGCTGCCCTGCGGGATTTGCGGGCTCGGCGACCCATACATGAGCAGAAACTGGTACAAAGCCTCGGACAGCCGGGGGCCCAGCGTGTCCACGAACCACTGCTTGCCGCCCTCGGCGTCCGGGCTGTCCAACGGCGGGCACTTCGCGTCGGCCACCCCGAAGTCGATCCGGATCTCCAGCTCGACGCGGTACTGCGAGTAGCTACTGCCGGGCTTGTTCGCTACTAACATTTGCGCAAAGTCCTTCTTGGAGTCGGCCCGAGCGCCGGCCTGCGCCTCCCGGAACTTTGCCTGCACCAAGTTCGGGGCGTAGTAGCTGGCTCCGAGGCCAAGGGGAACCATCCGGCCCCACCGGGTCCGCCCCCCGTTGAGAGGGTCGCCCGCGTAGTAGCTGGACCGAAAGCCGAGGCAGAACATCTCCCACCAATTTTGGTTCGCGGCCGGGATGCCGCCCGGGTAAGGGGCCCGCACGCCGAGATCGACCTTGTTGTCGGCTTTGGCCTGCTGCCACGGCAGCGATTCGTCTAGCCCGGCGGTCAGGTGCCGCCACACCATGAACACCCCGGTCCGGGTGACGGGCACGTTTCTGGCGGACACATCCCCTATGGCCATGTCGTACACTCTCCGCTGCCACAGCGAGTGCCAAAATAGCCGCTGCATCTGCTCCACGGCTGCGAGGTCCGGCACGCCCGTGATCTGCAGGTAGAAATACATCTCTTCCTGATTGGCGTCGGACTGGGGGCAGCTCGCGCCAATCACATTGACCTGGTCCGGAGAGAGCAGCCATCGCTGCTTCATACTGGGCTTCCAGTTGATCTCCGCGTCATTGGTAAAGTAGTCGTACCAGCCTTTCGCCAGCCCCGGTCCCATGGTTGCGTTCAATGCAAAGTGGTTTTTGAAGTTCCGACCCGGTGGCGTTACCGCCCCGCCAGCAGCAATCGCGCCCAGGGCCACAAGATCCAGAGGCGGGTCCTCGGCGTCATCGACCATGTCAATGGTACCGCCGCCGCAAATGCCACTCACATCGCTGACTTGGTAGTCGAACTGCATCAAGAACTTGAAGCCTGGGTCCGTGAACGCGGCCTGCGGCACCGCCAGCGCGGGCTGCTGCGGGCTCGTGGCGGAGAGCGCGATCTCGCTGCTCGAGTTTTGAAAGTTGGTCTTCGCGTACCACGGCAGCAGAACGTCGTCTCGCGGCGTCCGCTCGACAAGGACCTTGCACTTCTCTTTTTGCTGCTCCGCGGTGGACGGCGCGGCGAAGTTCGCGGCGGACACGACGCCCGGTCGCGCCTGCGTGCAACTGACGTAGACGGCAATGTTGGTGCTGTTCTCCAGCCAGAGGTTACCGTCGCCCGAACCCGGCACGGACATGTTGAAGCCGACCTGCGAAAAACCGGGCGCGGTGAACGACGCGTCGGGCGTTGTGGTCGACCCCAACGACACGCCGAACGGTGTATCGTCCGTGAACTGAATTTGCAGCGTCTGTACATCACTGAGGGAATTGGAAGCTGTGGTCGAAAAACCCTCTCGGGCGGTGGTGTACAACCCGGGCTTGGCGTGACCCGCCCACGCGGACGAGGCGGACGACACCGTTTGGAACTGCAGGTCGCGGATCCACTCGTTTTCGATCTGCTTCTGCTCCTCCTCGACCAGGTAGTCCGGCTGGTAGAAGTCCCGCGCTTGCGTGCGGTCCGGGAGCGACCCGAGTTCCTTCATGTTCCGCGGCACCAGCCGCTTGGACAGGCGCCACTGCATCGCGGCCTCCATGAATTCGTCTCCCTGCCGCCCCGTGCTACCGGACGGCGGCATCGAGGCGGAAAACCGGCCGAAATTCGCCATCAGGTGATCCAGGTCCGGATGCTTCTTCAAGCAAGACGAGTCGCACACCTGGCCGTTGACGAGGAAACCGGCGGTCAGGCCGCCCTTGCGCACGTGGCCGAAGGGCTGCGCCCCGGTTCCCCAGTGGTGCCGCAAGTTCAGCGTCGCGAGCGTCTCCACGCAGTCGCCGGGGTACTCTCCCTCGACAACGCTGTTGGTCACGTTCCGGCACACCCGCACGCGCGCAAAGTAGCCGGGGTGTGGCGCCGTGGACTGGTAGGCCTTCTGGTCCGCGTCGGTCGCTGGATAGCTGCCGCCAACCGCCGCGTCCACCGGAATGACGCCCGGGGGCGGCATGGGCGTTGGCACGGGCACGAGCTGCTCCGCACCCACAATCTCCTGGAAGATGTCGCGCAGTTCGCGTTCCAAGCCCTGCGTGCTGTTCACGGGGTCTTTGTCGTACCGCTCCAGCCCCGAAGAGAATACGCGTCGCCAAACCCCCGGCCGCGGACCGCAGTCTGTGCAGTCGGTCCCACGCGGGCAGGTGAACCGCAAACTGCCGAGTGCGGGCTTTACCGACGTAAAATGACCCGCCTGCGTGGCCGTGGGCGCTCCCGCGACGTGTTCCGCGGTCTCCTCCTCGCAGATGCCGTTCTGCGCCGTGGGGCAGGTGTCACTGCACCCGGGCAGCTCCCCGAAGCACTGCGACTGGACGCCCGCGGTGAAAGGGGGCGCCCCCTGTCGGTGGTCCGTGTTCTCCCCGCACATTCCGTACGTGAGCACGGCGCCCGTTTGCGGCGTCATTCGCGCCTCGTTCACGACGAACGCGGGGTGCTCGCTACCGCTCGTCAAGCCGAGGCGCAGCGCCTCGTGGCAGTGCAGCGGGTAGCTCGGGCCGTCCCACTTCCCCGTGCGGCGGTACAGAATGCTCGCGTCGTGCTCGTAGTGGCCCCCGAGACCCATGACCCCGTTGGTCCGAAACGTGTTCTGCGTCGGCGTGTTCTCGCAAAACCCGTGCGCCTCGCGGCAGTAGGGATAGTCCTTGTGGAAGCAGACCCGGTTGTGGTAGGCGGGCCCGCACCGGGGCCGGTCGCCGCCCGTGGACGCATCCGGGACCGCGGGCTCGGGACAAGCGAACGGACCGATTTCCTTCAAATACAGATCCTCCAGCTGCGTCCAGGCCGAGCACACCGGGGTGCCGAACCCGAAGCTCCACGTGTCGTTCGCGGATTGCAGCACCGTAGCGACGTCGTCCTTGGTGCTTTTGATTCGGTGCGCGAACACGGTCGGGACCACCAGCTTGTACGGCCGTGCGATGCTAAGTGTTGGGAGCGTGTTGGATAGATAAAACCCCTGGCACCGGTCGTCTTTGTCGCATTGGTCGCGCACGAAACGCAGCGCGTCCGGGTACTGCGACACCGGGGTGTCGGCCGCGGCGGAAACCGCGGTCGGATGCTCTCCGCAGGCACCGGCCGCGGTGCTCGGCCCGCGCACGTACCGCCCGTCGTATTTGCTGTTCGACACATCCCGACCGGTGCTGTCCTGGCAGCCGCCGACGCTGCCCATCAGGTTGGCGCGGTACCCATCCAAGTGGTACACCGGCTGCGCATCGCGCCACGCGAGCGCGTCCGTGGCCGCGAGGAACGCGAGGTCGTCCATTTTCTGTTCTGCGGCTTGGGCCGTTTTCTGGCAGGAGCCCCCCTGCTTGGACGCGGTTATGGCGTGGTGGCACCGCTTCCGGTCCGCGCTGCAGCGAACCCCGAAGTACAGAGTTCCTTCGCTGGAAGTGCCAGACCTCGTCCGACACTCGCTGCAACTGGAGCTACCACTGCACGCGGCGGTGAGGATAGGAATCGTGGTGCTTCTAGAGCGGTAGCGGTGGCAATTCTGGTGATTCACGCTGTACTCGCGGAGGCACATCTTGAATTCCTCCAGATGCGTGTACGAGATGTGCATATCCTCGGAACGGTCCACCACGTTTACCTGGCGGTAGGTAAAGTCCTTCATGAACTTGCAGGGGTTGCTTTGGCAGGAGGGCAATGACAAGCTCCGCCTCTTCTCAGGTGCTTCGCTGGCTGCGTGGTGCTGCAGTTCAATTGTTCCGGAAGTTGTTTCAACATCTTCGCGTAGCATATAATTATTCCAAGTATTATTACTTGTGGTCGCTCGGAGCTGTACATCAAGACCTTCTTGCGGCAGCTCTCCGGCTGCGGCATTCGCACCAAGGCGTAGAAGAAGATGCGCGTGAAAGAAAAAGCTGCATGCGTGCCACAACAGTGAAGGGTGAGCCGGAACCCGCCGGCGCCTCTGGGCTTTCCAATTCTTCATGTTCATGCAAAGTACGGTGATCATGCTACTAGCGGTAATGTCAATAGTGCTCGAGTATGAATTCAGAAATGAGGGAAAATATCATGGAGTCTAGGGGTCATGCTTACATACCATGCTTGCATAAGTACTCAACCGACCCCCCCTCTATGGCCGCCAGGAGGAAATAAAATATTGTGGTGCATCATGGGTCAAATACGAATTATTCAAATGATACAGGTTAAAGAGTGTGTTTCTTGAATGAGTTGGTGGCCAGCACCTGTGTGTAGAAGTCAAAAATTGAGCGGTCAAAAATAACGAACTAACATGGCTGCTAAACGAAGAGAATCAAAACAGGCACCGACACACGTTTACGAGGAAACACCGACGGGCAGACTTCAGCTTTCACGCGGCTGTCACCGAAAGTGATATTCACGACACTGTGTGATAAGTAGCACGAAATGAAGAACCGAGCAGACACCAGCTGGTGCTTTCTTGCGAAACCAAAACCGAGTAGAAGTTTTGTACATTTCGGGAAAGATGACCGAAAGCATTTACAGGAGCACACCGATAATTTTTCGCGTTCTTATTCCAAAGAAGCCGAATGAGCTGTGCAAACGCTCGAATTCCGTGCTGACAAGGAAGATCATGATTACGTTTCCGCAAAGCAGTACCGATACGTTCAGAAAGACCGATCCACATGCACAACGAAGATTGCAGCAGGAAAAAACAACGAGTAGAGCGTTGCTCCCCTTGCTCATCAAAAAGACACAGCTACTGCTTGCATCAGTTGTGGTCGACAACTTGTCGCTCGAGATGCATATGAGCACGACCTCTGAGTTTACACTACTGTGCTGATACTTTTTTCAAGAAGACAAGATGCAAACATATCAAAATCATATCAAGAAGATGAAACTTGTTCTTTCTGTATGGTTTCATTGAAACTGAAACATCATAAAACCGAAACTGGGGTTGCAATAAACTGGGATGATTCGAAGCAATACTGGGCAAAACTGCTTCAAGACAATAACTCTAGCTCCGTGTGCTGCAGCTTTTCCAGGCACTGGGCGAGGTCCTCTCGCAACTGCTCGCATCCCGGAACGTCAGCGCGCCCGCTCGCACACGCCTTGCTGCCGGACTTTGACGCGGACCTTTTGGTTCCGAAAAAACCGCATTCGAGAGGGCAAACGCCTCGTCCACTATAAAAGCCGCAGCACCCGAGTGCGCTAAGGAGCATGTAGCTCATGCGATTCGTAAATATGAAATCTTTATCACTATTCAAACTGTACAATGTCAGAGTCATTTTAGTGCTTACCTCTCCGACGCCTCCTCGTCCTTGGCAGTGCTGCTCTTCAGCAGCTCGACGCAGCTGCGCTCTTCTCGGGTCCACGACTCGGGTCGTGCGTAGAAAAGCTTTTTGGAATTGGTCACCACGCCCAGAAAGTGCTTGTTTTTTTCCGGAAACGCCAAGGCGTCATCCACTTCCTGGGCTCGTTTCATACTGCCCTTCTCGTGCGCGGCCTTGTACAGTCTCTGCGAGAAGTGCGACTGGAGCAGCGTTGGCCGCTGCTCCTGATTGTTGTGCCCCGTAGCCGCGGTCGTGGCCGGTCGGTCAGCGTGTTCCGTCAACCAAAATCGGTCATCTCCGAGGTTGCCGGCGGTGGAAGACTGGTCGTTGCTGGAGCACGTTCGGTGCTTGCTCTCCGAGCGTATCATCGCGTTCACGAAGAGACCTTGTGCGTTGGTCACCGTCAGAGGCGACGTGGTTGTGGAGACCGGTAATGGGTTGATGTTCTGCCTTCTGTTGTTACCCGAACTACGAGAAGTTGCAGCCCCCATCTTGCTCTTATCGCAGCTGCCGCGGTTGGTCGCCAGGTCCTTCAGCAGCCGGCGGCCCTGTGTCCGCGCGTACAGGTTGGCGAGCCGCGTAGTCGGAAGTTGCTTGCGCGTGCGGGCCTGCGCGCGAACCGGGTCGGGCGCCAGGGTGGTGCCCGCCTCTTCCAGCGTCGGAAACACCAGGTTGCCGTCTTCGTCCCGGTAGAAAGTGGCCACTTGCCCCGCTACGGCACCGGCGAGACCGAGCGGGCTTGGTTGCCGAACCGCCGGGAGCGGCGGGGAAACCTTGTTTGAGGAAGAAAGATTAGCGTAATTTCCACTGCTGTCTGTCGATCCGCGCAAAGTTTCAGCAAAGTTTGAACAACTGTTGCTCAACGCGTCTGGAGGTTCCTCTACACTCGAGTCAGCGTAAGTGCGGAAACGCGGCGCCGGGACTCCGGCTGGAAAATTTTGTAGCATCTTGCTGGTTCCGAGGGAAGTACTGCGGTTATTTTGTCGGCCGTGGTTCAATGACAGGTCGGTGTTGATGGTCAGAGATTTCGGACTCTGGAAGCACAGCGGATGGCACTTTCGCTTGTCAAAGTGCCGAAGGAAGTCTTGTGTCAATCCAAACAGCATTTGGTCTTCCAGATAGTTTCGTGGCTCTGCAGTAGCGCCGCCTGCGACGGCCGGTGGCTCCGCCGGCGGAGCAGAATCAGTTGCGCCCGGTCGTTTATCTGGCGACTCGCCAACGGTAGCGGGTCGGTAGCGTCCGGGAAGGAGGTTCGGCCGGCTGAAGCCTGTGCGCTCCGGGCGCGGTCGCTTTTCCGCGGGTCTTCCTCTGGGTTGAAGCTGCCACATGATTTCTCACGCGAACAACTTGAGTTCTGCTCGACGAGCGGGCTGCAAAGAGCTCCGATAGCACGACAAGAGTGCAGACAAAATAACTCGCACAACATAGCTAAACTTATTCAGCAACAGAAACAAACAATATATCCGTCTCGCAAACTTTAGATGCCCAAAGAAAAAACGGAGGAAGTTCGTGCGGGAACACGACACAGGTTGATTAGCAGCTCTTTCGCGACGTTTCTGGATTTAGTTTGGCTAATTTTTGCCTATTTCCTAAAGCATTTCTGAATTGCTGACTGCCTTCGCGATGTTTTCGGATTTACTTGGTGTCAATCACGTCCAGGTTTCCACTCACATTTGGTCAAGACACCTTTGAGTCGCTACCAGTTGAAGCCTATCGCGTCAAAAAATTTTGTCCACCCAGTTCGGGCTCCGAGTGGATAGTGTTCCGGTCCATGATGACCCATTGATTTTGATTGACGGGAAAAAACGTCGCTGCCCCATCCTGGTCCGCATAAACTCAACTTCCAAAAAGCACTCAAGTGTCCGAACCATCTTTCCTGGCACTACGGCAGCCGAAGAGAAGCGCTTTTCTGTGCGGGCCGCTGTTCCTCCCGGTTGTCGCATCCGCAACCCCAGGCCGCTCGAGTCTTTGGGGATACTACTTACCTTGACACGTTGCTCCATTTGCTTGCGCTGCTGCAGAAACTTGGGGAGGTGCTTGCAGTTGTGCTCGCTGTCCGTGCCAAGTGTCCACGTGGTGAATTTTCGAATGGAGGAACCGCGCACATTTGCCGACCCCCCGGAGCGCAAATCTCAAGAGGGGCGCTTGCCTTTGCGCGCATGCAACGTTGCGCGAGGCAGTTGCGGCCTTGCCACCGGTGCCACTGTTTCTCGTGTCATGGTTTGGTGTGCTGCCCAGCGCGGCGAACACGGCGAAGGACTGCGGACACCGCTCGCAAAACAATAACGACGATCACATTGCGGCTATATCGGGGCGCGCGCCGATGAAACAAACTCGCGGGCGTGAATATCGGCAGGCAAGAATGACAATGCGGCTGCGCCTTCTCCACTAGCACTTGCAGCGATTCACAGGCACTGATGATAGTACGCCGAGACCAATCCCGGGCGCCCGCAAAGCCCGGTCGCGATCCCAGCGCACCGCCCCCCCGCGGGGTAGGGAGGGGGTGGGGAGGGGGTAGGGAGGGGGTAGGGAGGGGGTAGGGAGGGGGTAGGGAGGGGGTAGGGAGGGGGTAGGGAGGGGGTAGGGAGGGGGTAGGGAGGGGGTAGGGAGGGGGTAGGGAGGGGGTAGGGAGGGGGTAGGGAGGGGGTAGGGAGGGGGTAGGGAGGGGGTAGGGAGGGGGTAGGGAGGGGGTAGGGAGGGGGTAGGGAGGGGGTAGGGAGGGGGTAGGGAGGGGGTAGGGAGGGGGTAGGGAGGGGGTAGGGAGGGGGTAGGGAGGGGGTAGGGAGGGGGTAGGGAGGGGGTAGGGAGGGGGTAGGGAGGGGGTAGGGAGGGGGNGGGGGGGGGTAGGAAGAGGAAATGCGGTAGGAAGAAGCCTGGCGAGGGAGGAAATGGTCTGAGGTCCGCAGTGTTCTTCTGTGGCATGTCAATAGCGCAGTCATAGGCAAAGAATAGCGCGCGCGCTTTATTTTATGCACAAATTTACAGGTAGAGTATATACATACTCCACGAATTTTTGTATTTTTCAAAAATTGAAAAATTTTCAAAAGTTAAAAAAATGCTTAATATTACAAAAGAATGCACAGAGAAACTAAGACGAGGGGCCCACGATGCATTTTTCTTGTCATTGTCATTATTTTTTTCAGAAAATACATTGTATATTCATAATTTCTGGCGGAATTGAAAAGGCTAAAAATTTCGACTTTGTGAAAATTTTCGGGAAGCTGTGGAATTGCAAGGAATTTACTTGTAAAATTGCAAGCCTTCCAATGCGTTTTATGTTTTCAAACAATTAGCATTGTAGTGATATACTACAAGTAGGCATATGTGAACACTTTGAAAATTTTTGAAAATATCTATTTTAACAATTTTCATTTTTACCTTAATACAAAACGCCAAGAGATCACCTATGTAGATAGCGCATTACATATATGCTCACTAGCATTAGTGTGCTACTTTAAAACTTAAGCTTCTAGCTTTTTTCTTTTTTCGAAAAATTTTGACTGTGCGAATATGGGGCCTTTTCAAGTTTGGCCGCAAGGCGGCCCTATCCGGCTCGCTTTAATTAGTGCAGGTCTGAAATAAAGTTGCTGACAGCCGGAGTTGTCGTTTGCAAACCTGACAAGGCAAAAACTTGCCATATTCGGACCGGTGAAACCTGTGCGAATATGGGGCCTTTTCAAGTTTGGCCGCAGGGCGGCCCTATCCGGCTCACTTTAATTAGTGCAGCTTTGAAATAAAGTCGCTGACAGCCGGAGTTGTCGTTTGCAAACCTGACAAGGCCAAAACTTGCCATATTCGGACAGGTGAAACAGGTGAAACCTGTGCGAATATGGGGCCTTTTCAAGTTTGGCCGCAGGGCGGCCCTATCCGGCTCGCTTTAATTAGTGCAGCTTTGAAATAAAGTTGCTGACAGCCGGGGTTGTCGTTTGCAAACCTGACAAGGCCAAGACTTGCCATATTCGGACAGGTGAAACCTGTGCGAATATGGGGCCTTTTCAAGTTTGGCCGCAAGGCGGCCCTATCCGGCTCGCTTTAATTAGTGCAGCTTTGGAATAAAGTTGCTGACAGCCGGAGTTGTCGTTTGCAAACCTGACAAGGCCAAAACTTGCCATATTCGGACAGGTGAAACAGGTGAAGCCTGTGCGAATATGGGGCCTTTTCAAGTTTGGCCGCAAGGCGGCCCTATCCGGCTCGCTTTAAATAGTGCAGCTTTGAAATAAAGTTGCTGACAGCCGGAGTTGTCGTTTGCAAACCTGACAAGGCCAAAACTTGCCATATTCGGACAGGTGAAACCTGTGCGAATGTGGGGCCTTTTCAAGTTTGGCCGCAAGGCGGCCCTATCCGGCTTGCTTTAATTAGTGCAGCTTTGAAATAAAGTTGCTGACAGCCGGAGTTGTCGTTTGCAAACCTGACAAGGCCAAAACTTGCCATATTCGGACAGTGAAACTTTTGAAAAAAATAAAAACACTTGACGCATGTCTAGTGTTTTAGTATGTGATGGAGTGTCTATGCAGAAAAGTAATCATATGGCTGCACCTTGGGCCATTTCAGTTCACAAAATCCGCCAAGGCAGCCACTTGGAAATTTTTGGGGTATATGATGCCCCCTCCATGTCCCCTTCCCACCCCTGCCATACCCCCCCTCCTCTCCCTAGCCCTTCCCTGGTCCCTCCGTAGCCCCTCCCTAGCCCCTTCCTAGCCCCTCCCTAGCCTCTCCCTAGCCTCTCCCTAGCCTCTCCCTAGTCCCTTCCTAGCCCCCCCCCAGCCCCTCCCTAGCCTTTCCCTTTTCCTTTCCCCTCCCTGCCCTGTCCCGAGCCCGTCCCGACCCCCTCCCTACAGACTTCCGGAGGCGCCTGGGATGCGCTTGCTAGGCCCCAGTGGCCGCGCATTCTAAGCCCCTGGAGTTGCAGGCCCGGGCGGACTCCTGGTCTCGCATGCTCGAAAGCCCCTGCAGACGCGGGTTTCGCATGCTCCCACGATCGATTCAGGCAGGGTAATCGGACCTGGAGGGCTCCTTGGAACAGCGGAAATAGGCCCCGGGCGGCGGGGTATTGCGTGCTCGGGGACGAAGTGTGGCCGGGGGGCACACAGCCGGCCAGGCTTTGTTTGTTTCGCGGGGGCCACGGGAGCCGGCGGCGGCCGGTCTTGGCAGTGCTAACCGTCGGGAATGGCGGCCGGGCTTGCGGCTCTAAAGAGCGGGGCCAGGGCGCCCGGAACCGGGCGGGGGGCTCCGGCAACCGGGTCTGCAGCTCCTCTTGCCGTAATTTTGCTCAGTCGCGCGATCCAGGATGTCCTCCAGCTAAGGCCAGCATCAGCGATGCGCTATTTCCCACTGGAGTCCGGAGCGTGGCCATCATGGCCGGGGTGCGCAAGCGCAGCCAATTTTTGGGATTGCCGAAAATTGAACCACCGGCCCAGAGAGCGGATCTAATCGGGCCCAGCCGGTTACTTAAGAGAGGCGGCAGAAGAACATACTGGGCGCGCTGCTGTGTTGCCGTTTGACGGAAACATAGGCCGAGCCATCGGCGGCGATCGCGCCATTAGATTTGGGCACTTGCTCGCTCCTGCCGGCTCAAAAGCCTCACTATCCCAACGAACCGCAGGGGCCCGCGTTCAAGTTCGGGCCCCGCGCGCCGGGGGCTCCAAAGATCAAGGTTTCTGCGCGTTGAAGTTTCCCGGCGCCCGCCCAGTTGAGGCGCTGAATCTTGGCCGCGGTCGCCGGCCGCAAGGCAAAAGCATTTTAGAAGCGAATAGATCTCGTAGGTGCAGTTCCATAATGAGGGTCCTTCGAAATAGTCGCGCGATGATCACTGAGAGGCCAGTAACCTTGGGGAGATCCCGACTGCATTTTTTTGGAGCGATCTTGCGGCCATGCCCAGAAATGTTGTTCCGACTATGTAAAAACGAGCACCGGCAGCACGGCCGAATCAAAATTAATAATTAGTTAGTTCGCATTCAATACTGCAGCGGCCTCAGAAAGAACAGCCTCAAAGTTAAACGTGACCCGCATTGAGTATATCGAATGTCTTTTCCGAGCCGAGCCCTGGCCTCCAAAGTAACAGCGCCCCGCGTCGCGGCGATATCAGCAGCGCGGACCCGCCCCGGAAGTGCCGCGGTGTGCGGGATCTCGCCCAAGAAGAGCGTGGCATCTAGTTCCGGTCGGCGAAGCACGACTTTTGTCAGTGTTTCGTCTTTTGTGGCTCCCGCTTCGACGAGCAAAAAACAACAACGAGCCATGGGAAATTTGTGGTCTTCGCCGGCCGCCACTGCGCAGGTGCGCCTGGAACACACCGGGGCTGCGCTAGATGGAGGCAGCACCACGGGGCCAGCAAAAGAAAGTATCGATGTGCACGGTCCGCTTGGGCAGGGCATGCGGCAGAAGCTCATTGAGGAGTTGTCCCCTATATTCTACCTGGAAATGGAGGATGAATCGCATGAGCATCGCGGGCACGCAGGCGTGCGAGACGCAACTACGGCCGAAACGCACTTCCGAGTCGTCGTAGTGAGCGACAAGTTTGAGGGTATTTCGCGGGTTCAACGCCAACAGCGCGTGTACGGCATACTGAAGGAAGAGTTTCAAACGCAAGGCCTTCATGCGCTGTCACTCAAATGCCTCACAACATCAGAATACGAAAAATTATAATGCGACCAAGGTTCCTATGTATTACTTACTCCCTCCGCAACTATGCCTTTTGCTTTTCTGATGGAAAGGTGGCGGTTGAAGTGTGCAAATCAATGAATCAATTGGCCGACCACGAGAGGCTGCACGGAAAAAAAGGAAACTCGGTTCGTGTGTTTGTTTATCGTATATTTGTCATTTTTTCCGAAAGAAAAGCACTCCTCTTCGGTTTATTTCCCTTTTGACGATTTTTGTCTGTCGAGCTGTGGATGCAAAGTGGATACTATTTCTTGCACGAGCGAATGGTCGTTATGCTCAAACTCGAGGTATAATTAATCGTTGGCACGATTTTTGAGGGTCAAGAATTTTCTCAAATTGGATCTCTACTTCGTGGAACAGGAGTAACCCCCTTGATGTTGATCTTGAGCCCTTGTTAGTTAGAAGAGTCAAGACCTAGTACCCAATCTCTTAGGAATATGCGCGTTTAATAGGACGCAGCAGACATGTTTAACCCATCCACAACGAGCTCAAAACACACTCATAATGGTATTGAAATTCCCAAGTTAAAAGTCTGAAGTTGCTCCAGAAATTCGCAGTAAAAACAACTTTTTTCCCTCCTATTTGTCCTCCACCCTCTCGACACCATGCGGGGCGGCTTCGGCGCCTCCGGGCAGCAGCAGTCGCAAGACTGCGCGTTTGAGGCCGGAAAAGTGAACGGCACGCCGATCCGCGTGAGTTACTTTCTCGTGATCATGTTTGGCTACCAAATTCTGCAGGCCTTGCAGCAGCGCGCCCCCGTGTGGTGGCTCCCGGTCGCCTACGCCGCCGGAACGCAGCTGATCCTGCTCGCCACCATCCTGTGCCACGAGTTCGGCCACGGCACGATGGCGAAGTACCTCGGGGGCCAGATTTCGCAGATCCTGCTCTGGCCGTTCGGCGGCATCTGCTTCAGCACCCGCCCGGGCAACGTGTACGACGGGCGGACGAAGATCAAAAACGAGATGAAGATCGTGTGCGCGGGTCCGGCCACCCACTTCTTCCAGGCCCCGTTTTGGGTGCTGCTGCTCCAGTTCCAAGCCTTCGCGTACGACCTGGACCTGCTCCCGCTCGGCTTCAAGGACCGGAGCGAGCTGTGGCAGCTCCTGATCCCCTTCGCGCCCCAACCGCCGGTCCCCTTCGAACAGCTGCCGAACCTGTTCGCGGGCCTGGGGTGGATGCTGTGCGTGTGGGCGGCCACGACCAACGTGTTTCTGTTTCTCTTCAACGTGCTGTTCCCGATGTACCCGATGGACAGCGCGCAGATGCTGGTCTGTGGGTTGCAGCTCTGCGGCGGCACGGCGCAGACCGCAGCCAAGACGCTGGTGTTCGTCTCGGTGCCGATGAGTGTGTTGCTGTTGATCTATGCGTGGTCGAACCGGAACGCGGGGATGATGCCCGCGATCAGTGGGTACCTGGCCATCATGTGCCTATCAAATGCAAAAGTGTCTGGGTCTGGAAACTTGTGATGCTAAAATGTGCATGATGAAAACACTTCCGAATGCAGTCCGGCATGACAACTTCCAAAAACGCTTTCTCATAGGCAATCCGCATGAGAAACTGCGTTTTTGCATGACAAAAGAGGCTGCGACTTCTGTTGGTTATGCAATACAGATTTTCTAGGTATGGAAAGCTAGCATTACTTCCAGACCCAGACACTTTTACAATCCATAGTGCCTGATCGAAGCCTATAACATCTGGCAGCTGTACGAGAAGCGGCAGTTGCACACGCACCGACTCTTCGAGCTGGCCCGGTCGGGCACGTATTTTGATCCCGTGCAGAACGCGCGGAGGATCAACGTGTCGGGCCTAGACGACGACCTGAACGCAGGCGGAGATGGCCGAAATCGCGGCTTCTTGTCGGGCAGAAATAACAACGATTACGTCCTGTTTGAAGGACAGGGAACGCGATTAGGCGGAGAGAATGACGATGTGGTGGTGCCCATAGCCGCACCAACAGGTACGCCCATGCCAAACCCTTTTCAAGCGCCTGGCAGCGGAGGTGCAGTAATACAACAACCTGCAGGTGGTGCTCCGTCGCCTGCTGTTGCGCAGCAGCAAGTTGTAAGAACCACTGCAGCGCCAGCACAACAGGATACTGGGAACCGAGCGGCCGGACTTTTCCCCGCGGTAATTTCCACACCCGCACCAGGAGCGGCACCCCCCTCCGGCGCCGCTGCTCCGATGCAACCGCCCACAGTGCAGCGAATGAGCAACAGCAGAGTTTCGCGAGCTTTTGGTACTTCCGAAGATAGGAACGCGAACAACGGGGTGAGTCACCCGTCAGACGGGACCTCTCCCCCGGTTCACAAGTCCCCGAGCGGCGAATTTCTGATACCCAATCCGGAAATAGCAAGGTCGCTGCAACCGTCATCTTCGGAAGGGCCAAGAACAGTAAATCTTCAAGACCAACCTCCTACCTCTTCTCCCGCGACCGGGTTAATACCTCCCACCTCGGCGGACCGGCAAGCGTTTCTGGCGAGGATGGAGAGGCAGCGCCAGGAGCAAGCGATGAGTGTGCGGGAGCTGGCTGAGGCGCGTGATGGAGTTCCAAGCAACAACGCCCCGTCGCCGCCCCGTCGCAATGTGCAGAACCAAAAGCAGAACAACCGAAATCCGAGTGGCAGGTGAGAAACTTGCCGGGCTCGGTCTGGTTTGGGAGATTCCGTTCTTCAGATAGTATTCACAATCTTGATTATTCTTCCACTACCCACGCTAGGAATACAATAAGAAAGCGAAAAAACCCCCCGGATGAACCAACAGAGAAATCCCGACACAAATGCCCACCCAAAAACGAATACTCGACAGAATTCACGATGCATTTTTTACACCCGTTGTGTGTCATCTTGTCATGATCCTCATCGATTCATGAGCACCTGATGTGTGATGCAACATACTCTACTCGAGCGGCGTCAGAGGACTGTGTTCACTTTGCGGAGGCGTGGGTGCTTGCGTATCGCAGAACGTCGTGTCGACGTTTTCAAGACATGGGATCCTTTTTGCTGTGCGCCTCGACTGTCGGTTTACTCACGCGGAGCGCATCGGTTCTCGCACCGCGCTTAAAGATCATTTTTGTAACGCCGAGCTCTGTTCTTGGAAAAGTGCTGTCGCTCGATCGCCCTCCGATCTGAAAACGAAAAACTCCGTCAGGCCAGTATCCTACTTTACGCTTTTTCCCTTCTACCAGTTTCAACGACTTGATACTTCTGCGAACGCCAGCGCTGTACAATGTTTCGCCATCATTTTTGTTTCGGTAAGAGTAAAAGTGCTTAGACGTAGACCTACCCAAGTGAGTTTAATAAGAGTAAGTTCACCCCACCACATGCGACCCACGTTTCCCCCGCTGACCTAGTTCCACATAGAAATTAGTTTTAATGGAACCTCTTCGATTTCTGTGTCCCACTCCCACATGACCTCGATGCGTTCGTCTGCCATCGCTATCAGTTCAAACTGAAGAGCGTTTCGCTCCTCATCCATCCTGCGTCTGCAGGAGAGCAGCGGGGAGGAGAAGAAGAAGAAACAGGGGAGAAATCAGGGCCAATTATTACAATGAAGAATGCCCCCGCCCTCCAATTTGCAAAAGTTTGTCATGCAAAGTTTCCAAATGAAAGCTTTTTCTTTTTGTCTTGCATAAAAGGATTGCGACCCTTTCTGATGCACATTCTAGGTACGCAAGGTGCCTTGTGCATAACAGATCCGGCTGCTGTTGGGCCCCTTCGAAACACAAATTCGAGCTATTCAGCATGGAAAATTTGTGATGCTGAGATATGCAAGACGGGAAATGTTTCTATTGGAAAGGTTTGCAATACAAATGCTGCCAAGTGTCGGGTGGGGGCATTTTTCACTGTAATACCAATGAGCACGAGTTTCAAACTCGTGACGGAATACTTCGTATCAAATGCAAAAATGTCTGGGTCTGGAAGAATGCAACTTGTCATGCTAAATCTGAAGCATGCAAAAATCTGTGTTGCGTGACTACCAAAAGTCGTCCAGTTTTGACCAAGTCGGGAGGGAGTTTCTCATGCAGGATAGGCATGGGAGAGATCGCACAGAATCTGTCACGCAAGGTCCTGCATTCCAGACCTCATGGGTCATGGAGAAGCTGCATGACAAATCGCGCACTCTTCCAGACCCAGACACTTTTGCATTTGATACTTCGACCGCGCTTACGATTTAGAGAAAAGGCGCTTCAAAGGGAAAACCGTGGTCGAACGAAATGCACAGCGCAGGTTCATCTACAGCGCCGTGCAAGACTGGTATCTTATGATCTATGTATGCTTGGAGAAGCCATGATTCTAGGTTGATAAGGTGTAGAGGTGTAACTGAATAGGTCTAAGTTTATCGTCTTGCATGAAGACCGCCCGGTTATTCAATACGTAGTACGTCATCGCTTCTGCTACAGAATGTAGCAAAGACAATGCGTTAAATTCGTTCCACTTTCCCAGAAACTTAACCGAAAAATACCAGCGCGGAAGCGGACTTTCAGCAGCTCCAGAGAAAGTATCAGTTCGAGGAGCTGACGAAATTCCTAAAATGCGAATCCTACAAACGGGGTCTCCTCGCCACGTTGTACGACACGGTGCGCGGCTTTCTCGTTTTACTCGCGTTCCTCGGCGGATTGTTTCCGATCGGACTTCTGAGCTTCCTGAGCCGAATAGTGATCAACCCCATCCTCCGGTATGTTTTCCGCGTTTCCGAGCAACATATGCCCTGCTACAAAATTTTTGCGCCCCTGATCGGGGAGGCGCTGGCGAGCCTGACGGGGGCAGAAGTAGTCGTCAGCGGGGACGAACATCTGGCGCACGTAAAGAAGGAACCGGAAAGATACATAGGTACAAACATACGACGTTCGTCATGAGTAGTTGCGCGGAAACAAAGAACGTTAAGAGAGAAGTAAACAGTTGATGCGCGATTCAAAATCTGCATGCGATCGCCTCTTGTTCAACGTAACCAGTGACCGTCAAATAAACCTTCACAGGGATGTTTTCTCACGGCGCGAACCTCGACCCGTTTGTCGTGATGCAGGGCGTGGGCAGCAAGGTGTCTTTCCTGTGGACCTACAAGCATTCGCTGCTCTACCTGCCTGGCGGGTTGGTTCTCGGGTACGGCATATCAAATGTAAAAATGTCTGGGTCTGGAAGATTGCTACATTTGTCATGCATGTCTGACATGGCTCAAGAATATGTGATGCATGGGCACAAAGCTGTCCTCTTACCTGTCATGCAAAAACGCAGTTTTCCATGCGGAACACGCAACACATAGGAGCCCAAAAATTTGTTATGCTTGGCTCTGTATTGCAGTGGAACTCCCATTCACTTTTAGCTTTACAAATTTCCAGACCCTGACATTTTTACATTTGATACGGCATCGGACAGGAGGACGGTGCCATGAATCGTAGCAACCGGGAGAAGGCGATCCAGACGTGCGACCGCCTCGCGAAGTCTCCGCTGCCACCGATGGTAGCCCCGGAGGGGACGCGAAGTAAAACAGGATTGATCCTGCCGGAGCTGAAGAAGGGCGTTTTTTACGTCCAGAAGGACAGGAGTGCAAGGATTGTGCCGATCGTGGTCATTGGCAACTACGAACTGTGGCCACCCGGGAGGCCCATGCCGAAGATGGGAAGGTATGGCGTTGCCGTTGACGTGCAGTTCGCCTTCGTGCTATCGAGTAGAGAATAAAACTTTCATAAGGACCCAGTCCGCAATCTCGAGTGAAGAGCACAACTACGGTCAGAGCAGGAAAATATGTGTGACTTTTGTACTAACCTATCGGCCGCAACGCAACTACAATTTTTTCCAATTTTAACAGGGTCCAGATCTCCATCCTCCCTCCGATGGATGTTCCGGCTGACGAGGCGCAGGATGTCACCCGGGAGCGCGTCCGGCAAGCCTACATTAAGGAATCAGCAAGGGATTTTGGAGACTTGAACAGAGTCAGCACTCGATTCCTGCTGAAACACTTTCTGGTGTGGATACCCTTTTGGCTTTGCTCCCTGTACCTCATGTTCCTGGCGATCACGTCTGCATTAAGCCGCGTGCTCTGATGAAAGGGGAGAAGCAGAAAACGGAGCAGGGTTTTCCGTGCCGACACCCGGGCATGATTGTGAAACTGCATGGGACAGCACAAGCGAGGTCGTGCAGACTCGTCGTGTTTAATATCGGATCGCCTCCTACCTGACCGATCTAACGATTTTCGAAGAAAGAGGCTTGCGACAGGGTTTTGAGACACATGTATCGGGAATAGCAAAAAGCCCCTTTGGTTGTTGTGAGGGATGCCACGTGTTCATCAGCTTGTTGAAAAATCCTGTGCGCTCCCCGGGGGACGCAGAATGCACGTTTTAACTACACTTGCTTTTGCGTTTGCTTTAGACTGTTGCAGAGCGTAGTAAACTTAGCAAAAGGGTCAGTGAGCGATACTTACGCACGAAAAATGCAAATCCGGACACAACTTTGAGCGTTTCAAAAAGCAGCCACGGGCATTGACAGGCAATAGAAATAATTTCCAGTAGATACTTAAAATAGTCTCACTTTCTTCCATTATTCAATTCAATTTCGCAACTCTTTTGGCCTTCAGACGTTGTTGGTCAGATGCAAAAAGTGTCCAGCAGACACAGCAGCCGATGGTACTATAATATTACTTGCTCGCAAGAAAAACAAGCACCCCAAAAGAAGATGAACATACGAAGCTAGCACCAAGGTCTCTACCGGGGACCTGTTTCTACCTGCGGATCGGAGGATCTTGAAACCTTGCTTATTCCACCTCGCCCGCGAAGATGGACATGCTTTTCGACGGACCGGAGGAGATGGCGGTGGTTGGGGCGGGCGTGAAGAAAAAGTTCACCAACATATCGACCACGAACATCAAGGGCGGCGGCTTTCACTTCAACAAGCCGAGCTCGCCGTCGAAAAAAACAGCCGAGGAAGCAGATATTGCTATCCTGTTCAAAAGTATAGTACTTGCGCAGAAGTAGTTGTAAAACATTTGATGCACCAAATGCATAGAACATGACAAGTTTTGTAGCTTCTGGTAAATCAGATGCACCAAAGACATAGAACATGACAAGTCTTGTAGCTTCTGGTAACTCATCTGCATGGTAATATCGACGTTGCAGTTTTTGTGAATAAAAATGATGAAATGCAATGTATGCAAGTATTTGTCTTTTCCAATGCATAACTGCCGGAATGAACCACCAACTGACGGTGTACGGACGCAGCGCCTCGAATTCCCCCACGAGTTTGCGGAACAGTAGGAACGACCTGGGCATGAGCTCTGGCTTGGCCACCGCCAACAGCAACGCGGACAGCAAGGCGCAGCTGGACGAAAAGATGGCCAGTATGGAGCAGGATTTGCAAAAGTTACGCGTGGAGCTGCGGTCTCTGGCCGAGAAAAACGGCACCGATAAAGACGCACTTTATCAAAGGGAGAAATGCCCCCACTGCGGAAGTTGCAAAAATTTGCGATGCAAAGTTTCCAAATGGAAACTTTTTGTCTTGCGTGAAAGGACTATGAGTCTTCCTGATGCAGGATACAGGTAAGCAAGGCATCTCTTACAAGACAGGCCCGGCTGTTGCTGGGGTCTTCTGCAACACAAATTTTAGCTATTCAGCATTGAAAATTTGTGATGCTCAAACATGCAAGAGGAGGAATATTTCCATTGGAAAGCTTTGCAATACAAATGCTGCCAGGTCGTTATGGGGTGGGAGCATTTTACATTGTAATACACCGATGGCAGAGTACGGGGGTAGGTTGCGGGCCAGTTACGACAGCGTGCTGTCGCAGCTCGAGATCGAGTACGAGGGCCGGAAGGAAAGCGCCAAGCAGAAGTTGTACGACCAGCCAGCGAGCTCGGCAGGGTTCGGGAAAGGCAGGTCGGCGGGAAATCAGGTATTATAATCTACGGACCGTGCAGCTCGGCAGAAGATATATGAAACCTGGTCTGCGTATCTGATGAAAAGGCTAGGCCTTTTAGTGCTATTCTATTAATACCCAGAACAAAAATTTCAACCCTTTGATATTAGCAGACCGGTAAGTTGTAGATTCTTCTATCTCGTCTCTCAGGCACATCGGTTTCGGCTGCCCCCGGATGCCGCTACGGTAGATGCGCAGGACGAGATGCTCTTTCTCCTGAAAAGATGTTTCCAGCGCCAGGCCAGCACACCGGGCGGTTTGGAGAAAGACATATTTGCAACGGACGAGACCGTGAATGTGGCGAATCTGTGCCTCGCTATGGAGGTGTTTTTTTCGAACATTTGTTTCTGCCACCAGAGCGTCTTGTTTGATGGTAAGTATGTGAGCCAGTAGTTTCTGATCAAAAAGCGCACTCGCATGTAGTTCCTAGTACTATCCACGAAAAATCGAATACAGGTGGACCCCGCCCTCAAACCTTGGCTCGGGCGGCTAGCTCGCTTAGACTGTTACACGGACGAAACCCTGACCCTGCAAGAGGTGCTGCTCTCTATGCGGAACGGGCACCCGAGGTCGCGGATCTCCTACACCGAATTCCGCGAGTACTTCACTCGCGGCGGGTCGCAGGCGGGCGTAGTAGGAGCTGCCGACGCTTCCCAGAGCCCCACGAAAGACGCGGCGGGCGGAGCCGGCGGCGCGGGGAAGGCAACGGCCAAATCCAAATCCTCCTCCCTGCGCGCGTCTACGGAGAACAATACCACCCCCAACTTGAAGCGCAGCAAGGCCACCGGCTCGACCACGGCCTCGTCCTCTAAACCACCGGGCGGAAACAAACAAACGGCAGCGAAAAAACCAACCACGCCGAGCACGGCGAAGGCAAGTAACAAGGCCAGTTCTACCTTCGCCAGCAAGCCGGCCGATTTGAAGGCGTCCCTGGACGCAAAAACGAAGGCGGCCCTGGAGCTCCAGAAGGACATAAGCGCGTTCCCGGGCAAGGCGGCGCCGGTCTTCACCGAAGTCCGAGCGGAAGACGCCGGCGCTTCCACATCAAACGGCACGACGAGCAAGAAGAAACCATCGCACACCTTCGCGCTGATCGGGCTCCGCGTGCTGCTCGAGCAGGAGTACGGGGATTTGGACTCCGTGTACCGGAAACTGGACCAGGAGGGGACGGGCTTCGTTTCCCTGTCCGAATTTACGCTCGAACTCCGAACGCGGACGGACCGCTTTGAGCCCGGGTTCGCGGACGGAAGCATCGAGACCGTGATCGATGCCCTCCGGAACGAGAACGCCCAGATGGACATAAGTGAGCTTCTCGGCATCCCCGTCCCAAAGTGGAGCAACGCGGCCGAGCGAGTGGACGGACGAACCCAGGTGGTGCCCAAAGACGAAGCCTTCTCCGCCTTCACCTTTGGCCAGACCGGGCCGGGAGGCGAAGAAGGTTTGAGCTATTGATTTCGTTTCATCGTCGGCAGGATCAAAATACGGCATGCTGCATGCGTAATGCTGAAGTGCGATTGGTAAAAATAGAATTATAGAAAACCATGAATCGAATACATTCTTCATCTTCTATCAGGCGCAAAGCTCGAGCTTCCGGCCCAAAAGTTTCAAAATTTTATTGACGACGTCGCTGCGGGGTCACAGTCGACGGGCGAAAAAATGGGCGCCATGCACTGGCAAGCATTGGAGGATTTGTTCAAGTCCATCGATACAAAAAAAGTAGATGTGCAGCGGTTTTTGTACAAGGTACAACTTCTTGCAACTTTTCTCCTTGTTTTTCCGCGCCGGTGCTGTTCTTCTTTCAATCTCGAGTAAGTCTTGGCACGGGAATTCAATCTTCGCATGATTTTCAGGTCCGCGACTCGTCGGATTCGCCTTTCGTGCAGAATAATTGGCTGAGCCTCATTGTCGCCGATACGCGGGATCCGGTAACCGCCGAGGCGCGGGGAGTGACTTTGGCACAGTGCCTGGAGTATCTCGAGGACTTGAAAGTGTACGAGTCGCAACCGTTCTACTTCTTCCAGAAGCGGCTAGAAGAGGCCCCGAGCAAGCGATACCCGAAGCTGGGGGAGTACGTCCCCGTGGACGCGGAGAAGGAAGTGGGCAACCAGTGGCTCGTGAAGAACTACAAGGTGGATGCAAAAATCCTCCGGCGAGTCTGTGATGTTTTCACGAGCTGTCAGAGCACCAAGCCGGAGTTTCCGGTGCGGAAGGCGGAGTTCATCATGCAGCTGAAGCAAAAGGCAAGCCTGCTGGCGGACCTGCACAAAACACCGGTCATGATGGTGGAGGGCGGCGGGGAAAAAAGTATAAGATGTGTAGTTGCTGCAATGAGTTATCAGCTGATGTATAGTCGTACGTATGATTGTGTATAGGTTTTAAGCAGACCCTCTAAAAAACCACAGCAACAGTAACCATTCTAAACCAAACCCCAGGTTCTCTCTCGCCACTTTGGGCAGAGATCATTCCTGGCCTGGCTGGCTACAGTAAAGACATGCTGCAGTGGTCGGACGTTTTGGAGGTGGTAAAGGCAAGGTGTGACGTCTACAAGGCTATCACGGACGGCAAGCAGGCGGCAAAAGATGCTCCCGGAGAGAGTGCCACGAAAAAATCGCCTCCAAGCAAAAAGAAGATGAAGTACGAGCCCATAGTGGTCACGACCGCGGAAGACGACGACCTCCCGGCCGCGGCGAAGGAACTCCAGGCAATGGTGCAGTCCATCGAACGTGGAGACCAGGATGGCCGCTTTGCTTCTACGTCGCCGGAGAAGGGCGGCCCAGGTTCTTTTTTTCTTCGGGAAAGGGATGATTTTAGTTTTTCCGATTGTCATGCAATTTGTTAGAAACTTCAGCGAGTGTCAGTGTGAGCTTTTGCTTTATCGCCGTTCAATAAGTATTTTGAAACTCCACCTCCTACTGCCCAGGCTCGCCTGCGCCCTTCGTAGCGCCAATCGTAACGCAACCCGGCGACGAGTACTCACCCAACAAAAAGGGGCGGTCCCTGTCCCCCATCCCGCCCGCGGAGAGCTTCGATCTGGTGAGACGGACGCAAGACTTTTCGCTCGTCAAGGGTCCGGAACTCGCTGACATGATCGATAACACACTGGATGTAGAGGACCCGGCAACGGAAGCCCAGAACCGCGCGCTCATGCCGGTGGGCAAGTTGCAGCTCGTGCTTGACGCAGACTACTCGGCGTTTCTACAGGCCAGCCAACCGGAAACGCGGCTCGAGGCGGTGCGGAGAAGGGTGTGCACGGTATTATATTTGAAAAAAGGTCTTTGACGATGCAACATCTCCTGTCAGCCGGATTTGTCTATGAAGTAGAGGAAGTTCTTTTCTACGTACTACTGCGACAAAACCAGGCGCGAGTAGTGAATTAGACTCCTAGAAGTTCTGATGTTCTAGACCTTCATTGAAGTAATTCTAAAATGCGTGCAGGTCCTCGAGCTGGACCCCACGTGCGTAAGCCTGAAGTCGCTCTCCCGCAAGAACGGGCTCCTGCAACTCGACCTGGAAACCGAGCAAGTGAGCCCGGACTCGGCGGACAAGCGGCTCGGGTTCGCGACCCAGGGGAGTTTTGACTTGAACGGCGTGATTGGGTACAGAGTAGTCGATCTCCGGTTCCAGGGCCGGGTCTTCATCGAGGACGGCGAGAAGATCTACCTCCGGCCCAACGTGGCCACCTTCGGCAGTACCGGCGACAGTATAGCACCCGCCGCTGGACAAACGCAATTCCCAGCAGGGCGGGGAAACAAAACTTTGTCCAAGGAAGAACTCACCGAGGAGGAGCGGAAGTACGCGGACTGGTCAAGTTCGCGCAACGTGCTGGAAAAACATGGGGAGAAGTATGCAAGTACACCGAGCCTGATCAAAATGCCTTCCTTTGCCGCCCCAGACAACTACTGGGAATTGAGGCGTATAGTTCTGGTTCAGAAGATGAAGAATAAATTACGGTGGCCTGATAGATTCATGATGTTGTGACAACCCTAGCGTGCGCCGGGTTCATCTTCGAAGAACTTGCTGCGGAGATCAACGCACTGCCTTGTTTTTGCGTCGTTCTTGCGTGATAATGATCACGAGGTCTTGTTGCACTGATCCAACATTTTTGTTTTATCAATCGAAAAAATTTACAGAGGGCACGCGCATCCGCGACCGGCGGCTGAACACCATGATATCGGAGCGCGACAAGGAACAAACCGGAAGCACCAAATTTGTCGCGAATCCAGTTCCGCAACACATCTACCTGCCGCGGTATTCCCAGCTGGACCTGGCGGAGAAGGCGAGAAGATCTAGCGCGAAAAATCTCGCGCGCCTGAATTACACAAACGAAATATCCTGAGTAAAAACGTCCCCACACCAGAGTCAAGATGGGGACTCGGCTAGACAAATCCACAAATTTTGGCTGTTTTGCATGACAAATTTGAACTCGTAGTCTAGTGCTGTTTGACCTACCTCAGCAGCATCACAGATCTACTATATGATGCTGATTGGAGCATGACAAATTCCAAAACACGACTGCGACAAGCTCTTTATGGGGCTCCGCATGAGAAACATTTTCACCATGCAGATCTGCATCATTGTGATGGCACTTAGGAGTCCGCCTGACCCACCCGCCCTGCGTCTCAGGCCATCTGCGGCTATGGCACAATGGGGGGGCAAAGTGTGTCGCATTTTGTTTAGCATGACAACTCTGGGGTGGGGACGTTTTTACACAGGATACGAAACCACCGGGGAACAAAAGAACAACGCAACCACCGAGCGGCCCGCGACGACACGGGGCCGGTCCCTCTCCCGCGGGGGCGAGAGAGACATCAGTAGCTCGGAGACAAAACGCATGCGCAGCCAGAGCGCCGACGCGGGAAAGAATGCTGCGCAACCGGTTCTCACGTGGGACACGGTGAATAAGAACTACCAAGAGAGCAGTAAGTACCAGCTGTACAAGGCAAATCGCTCCGCTTCCGTTCCACCAAAGTATGACAAAGTGTACCAGGCCTTGTATGCGGACAAACTCGCAGATGATGAGGAGAAGGTGCAAAAACCCTTCGTGGCAAACGGATTTAAGTGCGGAAAGCCGCTGCCACAGAAACAAGAGGAACCGGAATGGCCCCTGAAGGTCAAGGAAGTCCCAAACTTTCGCCAGATACACGTCAGGAACCAGAGGCAGTTTGTGGAGAAAAAGTATTGTTTTGGATGTCATGTTGCCACCTCAACTGGTGCATCGTCTGTTTCTGTGGAATACTTGGCATACGCCGTTTTCATTTGCAGGTTCTTGTGCGTAGAATAATTGGTTTTCAAAACAATTTTCAACACCCCAACACACCATGGGACGACCGAATCTTTTGTCAATTGAATGGGAACAAATCATGCATGATCACAGGCAGGCGTACAAGCAGGCATTGGGCGTGACCGCGGGGAAGGCGTTCAATTTCACGGCGAAAAAGCGGCTGATCCGTGCGCCCCCGGTAGACGAGACGGACCTGCGGTGGCAGAAAGCGACCGGCACGGTGAAGAAGCCACGGGGGCAGAGCTCCTTTTCGCGCCCGAATCTGATCGAATCGGAAAAACCCAACGTGATGCCCCCAAAGACGACGGCCAAAACGCTGCAGCAACGGCAGCACACGGCGCAAAGGATACGAGAAAGACAACAGCGGGAAGACGAGCGCAAACGTGAACTGGAGAGCTATTTACCGAGCGAAGACACTAAGGAACGCGTGCAGGCCACGCTGAATAAGGAGAAAAGCACGCAGGGTAGGATAAACTGCATTGATTTGTTTTGAACTACGGGCTGAAAAGGAATAAATTCAACAGATTTTTGGTCGGTGCGTGCTGCATTTTTGCACGGTAGGGGAAGAAGTACTTCTGAGTACCCTAGTGCAAATCAATTTGCCGTGTGAAGATGTTTCCGAAAAATGAAAATCAGCGATGGAGCTCGAGCGCCGCACGTACGAGTTTCGCATGGGCCAGATCGCCACGGAAAAGCGGTGGAAGAAGCAGCTGAAGGAAATCAAGGAAAAGCTGAACAATCGCCCCCTCCTGATGGAGCGCACGCAAATGGAGCAGGCCCGGGAGCGGGCGAGACAGCGGGCGCTGCTGCGGGTGAAGGCCACCATGGAGCAAAAAGGCGTCAAAAACGTGGACGCCCACTTCAAAATCGAGGAGCTGAACATGATGGAAGGACTGTAGGACGAGCGGTGTACTATCCCGCTGACTTGGTTGGGTACTCGGTTTTTACAAATCAAAAATAGGAAAAATAAAGTAAGGCTTATGAATAAAGTAACTTCATTTGAAGCTTTTTGCAAAAAAAGCTGGAAATAATTTTTCCAAAAGTCTTTCAAGTTTCAAGAATTTTATAAAGGTTTCATATGGAGTTCTTTTGGTGCACCGAATTTCGGCTGATTTTGCTGCGGTATGTGTCACGAGCACTGGTGGAGTAGTTTATCCGCCACGTTCTGATGTTAGCTTTTATTTTGCAGGTTACTTGCTATTTGTATTCGCTTTATCACAACTCAGATGATCTTTAGGATGCAGCAGCTCTCACGTCTTGTCCGAGCTTGCTGGCACAACTACCAGTCTTTTACCAGGTTTCGTCACACGAACTAGTATCGGTTTAATTGCTATGGCAAACTAACGATTTACCCGAATTGCAGACGGTTGCCCCGTCGATTTTGATTAACGAAAGTTAGTATCTCAAAAACTATGAAATACAACTTTCAAAGTTTCGCAATTACAACATCGTACAGTAGCTATGTTTTACGCTTCGACCAGCTTTCTCAAACTTCATCTACACAGGCTCAGTTTTCGTGTAATTTCCATTATAGATAGAGATTCTTACCCTTTTTTCACGCGCTTTTTTTTTTTCGTTTTTATCGCACCCAGGAAGACCAGAGCGCAGAGCGATCTCCTCTCGACGTGTGAAAATGCGTTTTTTTCGAATTTGTTTTCCTATACTTTATCGTTGAAGAATTTGGTATATCACTTGACTTCTTGTTTCGATTATCTGCAGCTACAAAATTTTAACAATATGGGACTTTCGTTTCAAATGCACAGGACCACGCCGGCCGTTGATTTGAACAGAAACAGATTTGCATTTGAGATTTGCCACTGCCATATTGATCCTGAATGTTGCTCATTCAGTTGACACTTGAAAGGCAAGCTGAACAGAATTTGAATTGTTGTCGTGAGCTACAATTTTACAACATAGAAATCGAACACAGTGAAAGGGGTGGTTATATCAACAGGTATCCATTGCCTCGGGAACAAGGCCATGCTGTAACGTGATGGGCTTCTTGGAAGCTAGAAGGTTGTTTTGTAACGGGCTTCTTGCGGCGCGTTATGAAGATACAGATCAGTCGATAAAGGAATGTTAGAAAAATCTCCGTTGTCGTTGACACTTCGTTTTCGTTTGGGGCCCGTGGGAAAGGGAAAGGCAACGCTTCCCGTTGGGCGATGGGTCGCAGGAGTCGTATTCTAAATGGTTGCTTGCTTTAGTCGTATTCTCGTTGGGAAGTGGTTGCTTGCTGGCCTCGTTGGGAAATTATCTAAATGGTTGCTTGCTGGCCTCGTCGTGAACCGGTTCGTGGAATGGTGGGGAGAAAATTTTTCTGCAGTTTCTGTAGTCTAATGAAGAATGCGCAGCTCAGGTTCCACCAAGTGCGTCGTGTCTGTAATCTCTAGTGTAGGTTTTGTTTATAGTTGTCTTCTGTACAAGACAACATGGTTGCGCCGTCGCCGGTAAAAATCGGGGCTGTGACACCGGTCGACGGAACAAAAGTGGCCGCACAGGTGAAGGCGCAGAATGAAGATCCAGCTGCAATCACGGTGCTTTTCTCGAAAATGAAAATATCTGGAGCCAACTCCATTTTCAGTTGGCTTTTCGTGCACCCGCTCGGAAGTGGTGCAGCCGAAAATGCTGCAAAGACCCTCAATGCAACGCTCCACCTTCCAGCAGAGACCTTTGTCGCGAACGCCATCAAGAATAAGATGGTCCAGCCCTGGGCGACCGGCGCCTGGAACCGAATGCTGGCGGTAGTCTTGGTCACGCTCGTGATGGGCTGGTACCCGATCATCGTGTTCGTTTTGCCGAATTTCATCACCTGGCACCCCAACCCGGAGCACAACTTCGCCTGCTACTTCGTCGGAAATCTGCCCATGATGTGGCAGCGATTTGCTCGTAATAAAATTCTATGGCGTTCTTTCGTTTGTTTCTGAGTTCTCTGTCGTTTTTCTCAATAGTACTAGATGTAGTTCTACTCTTATGGTTTTACTCATATCCGAAAAAAATTACGCAGCACGATGATAAAGTCGAGTCATGTGGAGGTCTTTACACAACAACAAAATTTTACCGTTTCCCAAATAAATTGTTCCAGTTTTCCCAATTCCGCACCTGGTGATTTTCTGGAGTTTCGCGGTTCTCCGTTTCCCCGGCACCACCTGCTGGAATTGGTACCAGCGGATTTTCCACTTCGTCTGGGGCGGCGTGATGCCCGTCATTTACGCGCTCGACGAGGTGTACGGGTCACCGCTGGATGAGTACGGGATTCCCGAGTCTTCCCCCACGCACAAGCTGGTATTCACCATCGGTCTCGTCATTTCCCACCTTGCCTTCTTCACGTCCGCGGTAGTGTCGATCTACGACGCGCGGCAAGCGCGGAACAGTTTCCGGGAATGGAAAGAAGAACTGGCAGACCAGTTGCTCTTCGTGGACAGGTATCCACCGCAAAAGTATACTCGCGCTCGTAGTGAAATTGCAGTTATGCAGGGGAAATCTCGCCACGACGCGCTGGCTGGTCCAGGTTGATGGGCTTTATTTTTCAGATTGAAAAACAAAAAATTTGCGATGCCAAAGAATATACCCAGTATCTTTGCGATGCATACTAGCAACGTCGGCGTTATCGAGGACGAAACCATCGAAGAGGACGAGCTGGAGTTACGCATTGCAAATATGTCTGAGCAGTCTGGGTGTGAATTTGTGCTGCGAGATCTGAAGGTGCGAATTAAACCGTAAGAAGCCTCGCAAGAGGACTTCTAAGACAGTTGATGTTCTAGTTCTGTCCTACTAGCGGCCGCTCTGCGACGCGAGTATTAGCAACACAAATTTCCAGAGTCCAGTCCCAGACATAATATTTGCATTCGACAATAGTATCTCAACGTCAACAGTGTTGAAAGTACTCATCATGGCAGTAGTGTGTTCAACAAGCGAATAACTTCTCCCGGTGCAGCAGCGCCAGCGCGGAATATCCCACCTATTCCTCACAAAGAGAAACTCGCTTACTACGACGATGTGCGCAAATCGTACGAAAAGGCAGTTCTCGTCCTGTCCTTCATTGGCCTCGTGGGCTTCGTGTGCGTAGTGCGGAGTGTGCAGTTGCTGTGGAATGCGGGCGTTGGAGGCTGCTTTCTGAACCAGTATAGAGATGCGGAGCCTCTGCGTTTATTTTTTTTTCATGCTGCGCAGCTATTGTTCTTGACATGAAACAAGAATGGTTTTTAGCATGCTGAAATGAACCTATCAGTTCGGCAGCGCAACTAAAGAAAAAACCCACACATTTTAAATTTCAGAATTGTCGGCGTCACCTCTGTGCAAAACCAGTGTCACTGCGAGTCGGCCACACTTTGGTCCTGCTTCTTCATGATGTTTTGGTTCTACGTCGGCAGCTTTCTCCCACTCTGCGCCCTGGATACCTGCACGTAAAATCAACCGTCGGAGTTGTGGAGGAGCACGGTCTGAATTCTGAATCGGGGCGGACACTTTTTTACTCCTCGTATTTATTTTTAAATGAAAGAACTGCCCGAGCCAGGAGGAGTCTCAACTGTACCTTTTCTTGAATTCGTTTGTAAGTAGATTTGAGAATAAACTTTTCCTAGAAAATTAATACAGCCATGTGCTTATTATCTGTCATGGTTTCAAAGCCGGATGAAAATGAATATGGACCTTGTGGTTTCTACTTGAACTAGCCAAGTATCGCTGCATGTGTCAAGCAACCCGAGAAAGTAGAAACTTGAAACCGACAGACCCCGGATTTTCTTGCTTGACCTAGAGGGGACATTGGGAAGTAGGTCACGGGTCACAGCAGGCGTCGTATAAATTCATGTTTTCGACGGTACAGAAGTGGGAAACGTACTACTTACAGAGAGAGTGGTGCCTTTTGCGTGTGAGCCGGGAGAGATAAGAGACAAGGGTCTGGCCAGTACGACGAGCAAGTGAGGGGCAGTGGAGCGTGTTTTTGGACGAGATGGCATAAAAGCAAAAAATGTGGCCTCCGAACATAAATCAATATCTCGTGACAAGATGTTTCGCTGGAATTTTTGGATGTTGCCTTGATTGGGAGCGAAGCCGGCGAAAGTCCGCTCATGGACGTCGATCCACCGCCCTGGCAGCTTGACGGAAGAAGTACCTCGTAGGAAAAATGCGGCGGCGTAGGAAGGGCGTGGAGCAGTAGCGAGAAACGTTCTCACGGGAGGACGCTGAAAACGACCACGCCGATCGAGGAGAAGGAGAGGAAAAGTAAGATCATCTTTTTCTTGTCGCGGCTGTGTGGTCCACGACTTCTTCTACTGCGGGCGTTGGTGCTGCTCCAGAACAAAGAGGACTTGCACAATGGGGGGCTGCTGCGCAAAAGCGAAGGACCCGGTGGGGTGGCAGCCGGTAGTGGACCTCAGGGATCGGACGAGCCAGCGGGAGCTGAGATCGAAAAAGTCCGTGCGATATCATACATCACAGATATTCGATGAGGACTATTCATTGGAGAACGAGGTGTGAGTTTGTTTCTCTTGATGCAATGATTTCTTGCATTTTTTGTAATGTCGAATCTGCAGGGAGAAAAAACAAAAAGCCTTCGAAACAAAAAAAAGAAGATGCAGAAGATAGCAAAAACTACATAAGAAAATAACCTCTCGCACGCCCTGATATACTAAATACAATATCAGGAAGTGCTCGGTAGTGGCTACAACGGGATGGTGAAAGTTTGCGTTTCGCGCGTGACCGGGGAGCGATGCGCCGTGAAGTCCTTCACGAAGCAAGTTTCGACCACGAGAAGTTCAAAGTCCCCCGGCAGCGACGACGACGACCCGCATCGACAGCTACTGAAAAACGAGTGCGAGATCTACCTCGCATTAGACCACCCAAACATCGCCCGGTTATGAGAGTGCACAGCTCCCCCTCTCCCTTATTTGTAATGCAAAATGCCAAATCCATGCCTTGCCTCTAGGCTCTCTCTGCATGACAGATTTCGGAAGCGCAAACAGTACTAGACTAGGCGCATAAATTTGTCATGCGTAGGCTCCACGTGTGCTGGTGTTTGTATAGCTGTTCAAGCCATACAAATGAGGGGGTGGGGGAGTTGTGCACTCTCATACCGGTTGATCGACTGTTACGAGGACCAGTTTTCCATCTACTTTGTGATGGAACTTTGTTCCGGCGGCGAGCTGTACGCGCGGCTGATCGCTCAGAAGCAGTATTCTGAGTCCGATGCACAGGCCGCGGTGAAGCAGATGCTGCTAGTTATCACAGTAGAGATGAAGAATACAGTAGAGCCATAGAAGTTGTCTTCCAGAAAAAAAATTGATTTGCATTGCGGGCCATGATCTGCGCCCCTTTTTGTTGTCCGCATATGTTGATACAGGATTTTTTTTGTTGACAGGACTGTGGCAAAAATGTGATTTCTTTTTCTGGCACTCAACGGGTTTGCAGCTTTTCTGTAGGATATAAGCTACCAACTATTTGCACCACCACGGTATCGTGCACCGGGACTTGAAGCTGGAAAATTTTCTCTATTGGGCGGAGGACAGCGACGTGTTGAAAATGATCGATTTCGGCTTTTCCCACGTGCTGAACGACAAAAAGCCCGTGGTTGCGGCCTGCGGCTCGATTTCCTACATGGCACCGGAAGTGATCGCGTCCGCCGCGGCGGCGCAGGCGGTGGAAAAAGCAGCCAGTTCTACTTCGTATCCCACAGAAAAAAGCTGGCAGGGCATATTTGTAATGCAAAAATAAATACACGGAAAAATCTGTCATGGGCGGCCTCATAGCATGCTATTTAGGATATGCAATACAAATTTTCTTGTCAATTTATTTTCGCATTACAAATATGACCTGCCAGTTTTTTTCTGTGTGATGCTTCGTCGTCGAAGCCCATACCGCCCGCGGCGGAGAAGGAGGACCCGATCACGGACAAGGTCGACATGTGGTCCCTGGGGGTGATCTATCCTCAGTAAAAACGTACCCACGCCAGAGTTGTAATGCAGATTTGCAAAGACAGGAAGACTTGTAATGCGCATCCCCATGAGAGCCATTTCCAATCGTGTTTTGGAATTTGTAATGCTGTAAACAGGATGAGCAGATGGATTTCTGATGCAGCTGGCCTTGCGAACCTGCACTACGCTACGGACTGCAGCTTGTGATGCGTGACTCACAAAACTCCTAGGTTTGTGTTGCAAAATCCCCATCCTGACTCTGGTGTGGGTACGTTTTTACTCAGGATATGATCACCTTCATGCTTTTATCCGGCTACCCGCCGTTCTCCGGGGGGCACGAGACGGAGCTGCTGTCGAAAATCCAGAATGCGCAGTACGTGATGATACCCGAAAGGTGGCACAACGTGTCGGCCAAGGGCCGCGATTTCGTGGAGAAGTTGCTCGTGGTCTCGAAAACGCAGCGCATGACGGCGGAGGACGCGCTGCACCACCCGTGGATAACCGAGGCGATCGCGCCCTTGTCGTCCTCCGCCGGGGTGCAATGGGGAACCGACGTGCTCGGCGGCATTCGAGAGTTTGCGACGGCAAGCCACTTCAAACGGGCATGTTTGAGTATGATGGCCTGGGGACTCACGCCCAAGGAGCGGGCACAGGTAACAAGAAGTTTAGTTGTACTGGTGTGCGATGAGCGATCTGCTGTCCTTGGCAGCACGATGTCAGAACTACGCCTAAATTTTTAACTTGTCTCCAGTGCTGGCGTCAAAAACTACTTACGTACCTCGTCGCCTGTGGGAGTGAGTACTTACTAGACGTCGTTGCAAGAGACTTCTGGGCTCGGCGCCGTCGTATAGTAAGTTTTTACTCTCCCACAGGTCCGCGACTTGTTCTATGATCTCGACCGGGAAGGGGACGGCTTCGTCACACTCGACGTGTTCAAGGAGGCCTTGCAGGAGCACTACCCCAGTGTCGCCTCGGAGGAAATAGTAAGGCTTTTTCACGCGGTCGATACGAACCACTCCGGGAAGATTTATTACAACGATTTTCTCGCAACAATGCTCCAGTTCCGGCTCCACGTGCACGAGTCCCTGCTTCGACACACCTTCAACCAACTAGACGTCGGGCGGTCGGGAAAAATCACCGTGGAGAACTTGGCAACCATACTCGGAAAAACCTTCGAGGGCGCCACCGTCGAGGAGTTCATGGATGAAGTCAAAGGTACAAGAACTTCTGCGACTGTATTAGATTGATGTTGTCGGCGGAACCACGGAGGAAAAGCATTTTTTTGACCTGTATAAAAATCGCAGCATATAATTAGAACAATGAGCTGCAAGTCGACGACCAATGACAGTTTATTTGAACGGACGATTGCCGCGTTTGTACTAGTTGTGTTCTGGAATAACCAAAAAAAGGTGACCGCAACGGCGAGATATCGTACGAAGATTTCTGCAAGTACCTGGGTTGCGATCCGAATTCGAGCAAGTTGATCGTCGCCGCGGACGCGCTGCGGGGGGTGTCTCGGGAGGTCTACGAGGAGGTGGACCGCAAGCTGGAGCACCAGGAGGAGGTCGTTTCCAAGCTGTATATCCTGAGTAAAAACGTCCCCACACCAGAGTCAGGATGGGGATTTTGCAACACAAACCTAGGAGTTTTGTGAGTCACGCATGACAAGTTGCACTCCGCAGTGTAGTGCAGGTTAGCAAGTGCAGCCGCATCACAGATTCATCTGCTCATCCTGTTCACAGCATCACAAATTCCAAAAGACGATTGGAAATGGCTCTCATGGGGATGCGCATTACAAGTCTTCCTGTCTTTGCAAATCTTGGTGTGGGGACGTTTTCACTCAGGATACTGTACCAGGAGGAGGAATCCAAATCCACGGTGAACGTGTATGGTGCTCTCAACTGTTACATTCTCAACTGTTACATATATTTGTGATGCAAGAATGGCAAAACTGAAGAGGGAAGATTGCGCCTTTTGCATGACAGATTCGGCACAGATTCCCAGCCTGTTTGGGCCTTCCAGAATTTGTCTTGCGCAGCAGCTTGATCGCGTCGAATCTGATTGCAGTTTTGCATGACAAATCGTGTAACAGTTGAGAATGTAACGTTTGAGAACGCCATAACGTGGGCGGGGAGCAGACGGCCCAACAGATAAAGCAGACCGTTTCGGGCAGTACGTGGCCGCGGGAGGAGAGCAAGCTCGGCACGGCCGCGAAGGTCGCCGGGGAGCAGCAGGCGGCGCAGCTGGGGCTGGCGCACCACCACGGGCCCGAACGACAACCCTCGAAATCGGGGCTGGTGCCGCCGCCCCAGCTCGGACCGTCCGCGATTCTCGCAGTGTCAAGCAGGGACCATTTGTCGAGGGACAAAATATCCGGGACCGTCATGAGTCGGAAGAGCGGTTCGAAAAACACCCCCACCAAAGTTGAGGAGGTACCGGTGGCGTTCGACCCGACAAAGGAGGACGATACGCGGATATAATGACAGGGGTCGACGTCGCATCAACATCTCTTTATACATAAATGTGTTTTGCTTTGAAAATAGAGTCAATAGGTACAACCGTTGTACGTGGTGAACAGAAATTTCAAAGTTCTTCGTCACACGAAAAACAAATACAATCGCAAAAGTTTATCGCTCATTTCTAAAAAAACAATCCAAAAAACCTCCTTGTAATTTGCATACCAATAGATCGCGATGATGCACGGTGCAAGAACGGCACCGCAGCAATGAGTATCGATTTTATAGTATGGTAAGTCACAGTATTGTTCAAGAGTACAGGGCACGAAAATATTGGAATTTTCCAGTTGATTTTTGATTGGCAAAAGAGCGTGATGCGATTCGGTCACCCTTCTACCGGGGTGAGGTGCAGATCGTTTTTTCACCGAAGATCTAGGGCCTTTGCCGGACGCACAGTGTTGTCCAGTTTTCTGTTTGCTCTTTAGTAAATAAAGTATGCGCAAGCCAAGCTATATCTCGCAGACACGCGTCTGACGTGCTAGGCGTCGAAAGCATTTCTTTTGGCTGCATCCTCGTCAACTCGAAATGCTTGACTCGGCTACTTTTCGTTTCGAGGACGTAAGTAGTAGAGGATTTGCAGTTTACGATTTTTTTTTGGGCTCACTACTTCTCTTTTTTTCGCTCTTTGTGGACAGATTTTCTGTACTATTGGAACCAGGACATCTTGGATTTTGCTATTTCCACGCGAGTGCAGAATCAAAAAGGAGAAAGAACATGTACACTACGGAGTGCTGAAATTATTTTGATCCCTCAGGGCACTGGAACCACGCACAAGAGCGTGTTAGGTTTTGAGGCTCGTGGTTGGCACGGGCAGTGTCATTTGTTCGAGTTTTGAGGCAAAGAAATATTATTTGCATTGCCAGAAATCTTGATCGCAAAAGTCTTTCTTCAACACTGCCAACATCGGTGCCAAAATGCGGTTCTGAGTTTGGAAAAAAATACTCGTGTATCTCAGAATCCTGGTGATCAATTATTTTTTGCCATTGGAGATCTGCAATCGAGATCGCCTGCGAAACAAATTTTCAGAGATCAATAGAATGCGCTAGATCACGTAGTTATACAAAGAGAAGAGAAGATCGATCCCCCTTCATTTTCATGCGATCTTTTTCCTGTCATTTTTTTCTACAGTCTCATGTGCTACCCCTGCTCTAGATAGACGTTTCTCCCCACCACGGCGCTTTTTGTGCGTGCCAACATGCGCATCCTAGGTTTTCGACATGTTCCCCGCATGACGCAGCCCTGCTAGTCGTTATTGAGGGCTTGACAAAGCTGTTTTTTGATGATGAGCGCAAGTACCACAAGAATAATGAAACAAGCAACATTTTTTACAATACTGACAATGAGCCGCGACTACAAAGTGGCTCTGCCAAGATTTGGCTAACGCACCAAACATTCTTTGTTTTTTAGTTTTTCCCCAGTGATCCACTAGACCGCATGAGCAAAGTTAGGAAAATAAGAGAAAGCACGACACCGAGCAAGAAGAGCACGAGAAGAATACCCCGGGCGAGGCATGTGTATGAGCACAGTATAGTTTACGACGACAACAGCCGATCCTCTACTCGGAACAGCAGCACAAAGAGCGACAGCACTACAGTGTCGTCTAGAACAAGGCTACGATCGAATACAACACCCGATGGCGCGACCACGCGCTGCAAAAATATTAGCAAGAAAAAGAAAATAAAGAAGACGGTGGTGACCACCACGGACATATCGTTATCAGGTGGAAAAAACAACACAAAGAAGAAAAAAACCTCTTATCCCGCGAACAGCATCATACCCGAAAATAACGACAGCGAGGAGCAGGAGTTACTGGATTCGGAAGATCTCGACCTGATCGAAAGATTCGAAAACCTTCCCCCGATGTCGGTGGAGGTCGACCACGCGTATCTGGAAGACTTCTTCAACGAAGATATTGCCGACGACGACGCCCCTGCTTTGGGCGACGACGGGTTCGACGTTCCCGGCGCTCCTGGCACAAAACCGGAGCAGGATGTTGAACAGGAGGACAGGCAAAACGCAGGGCAGTTGTTCGAGGAAAGGCAAGAAACGGACCACTACGGGGCTGCTGGTTCCGACGGCGACGAGCAGATGGTGGGTGAAGTAGATGAACAGGAGCTGGAACAAGTAGATCAAAATAATGATGCCGACGGGGGTGCACAGGAAGAAGAAAACGAAGATGCGCGTGCAAGCAGTTTTGCTCCTGGTGAACATGATATGGAAGACCTATTCGAGATTGCGGATCAACCGTTGGACCATGACGAGGAAAATGCGCGAGAAGACGACTTCGCTTTCGCCGATCCAGAGGGTAGAATTGATGCTGGGGACGATAAAGACCTGTTCGGGAACGATTTGGACGATTTGGCTCCCCAAGACGCAGTTGCCACACCGTTGGACGAGGACGCTGGCCGCGAGGAAGAAGTTGGTCAAGAAAATATGGAAAAGTGCGACGACGTCGAGGTTGCTGGACGGCGCGATCTATCAAACGCCGAACAAAACTTTTTTGAAGAGGAACAGCCGGTAGAGGAAAAGAAGCCTAACAAGAGCAATTACGACGGTGAGAAGATCGCGATTGTGAACAAGAGCAACGAGGAAGGTCTTGTGGCTGACGCAGCAGCTACTGCTTCTATGGACGATGTTGAAAATAATTGCGAGGTGTCACAACGACCGGAGAACCAGCAAGTTGCAGCTGTTCATCCGGAAGTTGAGGACGATGAATTGGATGAGTTGTTCAGGGACGATGACACAAAGGACCTGCCGCTGGTGGATCTCGACGACCCGCTGCTAGCGATGGATCTTCACGACTCTGAGGAAAAAGAGCCGCAGTTTTCATCGGTCGACGTTCAACAGCAGTACAACCTGGGCCTCGACTCCCTTGAGGGCGATCACCGGGGCTCGCCGGAGCTCACGTCACAGAGCAGTAGTGCAGGACCGAAGAAAAACGTAGACCCGAGCAGTTCAATATTCCAGAAAAACGAGCAGATCGGCGGCTCCTCCTCCTCCCGCGCTCGAAACACGAATGCTGGCGCAGCTTCATCGTCTCCTTCTGCTGCCAACAGCAACAAGCGGAAGTCGAGTCGGAAACAGAACCCGGTTATTGCAGCAGAGTCGGAGAAGAGTAAGAAACAGAAGGTGGAACAAACAAGCCAGGGCGGCGGGAAAGGTGACTGGACGCTCCATCACGTAGTTGACGACGACAACAGTTCGGGCATCTTTGGGGGCGAAAATCGAGAACAATCCCCAAACGAGGACCCAGATGAAGGCGCGGAGGTGGACGACCCGCTTTCCTTTCTGGAGGAACAGCAAAACAAGCCGAAGAACGCGAAGGTCAAGCCAAAGACCGCGAATAAGGCGGCGAATCCGAAGCGGAAGCCGGCGAAAAAACCCAAGAAGGACATCACGGGCGGGAATTATAATGGCAGCCAGAGTGGTGCCCTCGTGCTCGTCGCAAATGACAACCAAGACGACGGAGTGGAGCACGAAAACAACCAACTCGCGGTCCTTTCACAGGAGAACATGATGAAGCCTTGGGAGGGCGAAGTCGACGAGTCCCTGCCGCTGCAGGAACAGCGGTTGCTCCACCGGGAGCGTACGCAGGCTAAGTTTTCCCTCTACTCCAAAACAAGCAACATCGTCCCCAAGGCGAAATCCGGATTCGAGCTTTGGCTCGAAGAAGAGGGCTACCTGCACGACGACCCCGAAGCCGCCTGGAAAGCCTGCCCCGACCAGGCGCAGTACTTCGCCAGAGCGAAGGACGACGTGAACAGGTACACTCGTCTCTTCATACGTTTCTTGAAAGCTCGTTGTTGATGGGATTTATTGTCCTCGCTTGGCTTCAAACTCAAGAGTGAATTTCCATTTTTTTTCACTTTCCGACTTTTGCCACGGAAATCAATTGCAGGACCACGATGACGTGTACAACATCTGTCAGAAATGAAACCAAAAAACAGGTATGAGGAAGAACTGAACGAAGTCCACGGAGTGCGCAAGGACGCGATGTTCTCTTTGATTATGCTTGCTGGAAAGCGTTCCAAGAATAAGGGCGCGCCCGCGAGCAAAGCCCAGGAACAATTGGTTGTCCAGGAACCCGACGAATTCGCAAATCTCTTCGGCAACACCGGGGCGGAGGCAGGAAGGTATAGAAAAGTGTCAACATCTTCCAGTGCAGCTGATGCAAACGCAGCATTAACTTTTTGTCCAAACCACGGCCGATGAGGAGCTTTCAAGTAATATCTGTAGATCTTTACAACTTCACAACTTCACAACTTTCAGATCCAGTTTCTCTTTTCATCCGAGCGTTTTACTTTTACAACTTTCTTCTAACAAACCCACAGCTCCGGAAATGTGGAGAATAACAACGAGGAAGAAGAAAATGCGCTGGCCATGTTCGGGGAGGACCCGCAACCGGCGGACAACAACGACGTGTCCGGCAACAACGGACCGGTCGCGCAAGTCCGTCTCGACGAGAACGGCGAGATCGTGATTGAGGACAATTTGAACATGGAAAACGGACAGATCGTCGACGCCAAGGACAACAACATGCAGCTCCCCGAGCACTCCCTCCTGGCCAACATGGCGAACCTGGGCAGCAACCACAAGCGGAGGAAGGCGGCGCAGAAGTGGACCGTCGAGGACACGAAGAAATTTTACGAGGCGGTGTCCGCGTTTGGCTACGACCTGGTGCTGATCGGCTCCGTGTTCCCGCAGAAAACTGCTGCGCAAGTGAAGGCAAAGTACACGCAGGAGATGAAGAAGAACCCGGATCTGATGGACGGGGCCTTCATGGAAAAGAAGGACTGCAAGAAGTTCTTCGAGAAGGAGAAGTGGAAGATCGACGAGTCCAAGCACTGGCGGCCGCCGCTCGCGAACGGCAGTCCGGAGGAGGAGATGAAGGCGCTGGAAAACGGGGCGGCGGACGACTTTACCAGCGGCGACTTCTTCCAGGACATGGGGTTGGAAAACACCAGCGGCCTCTTCGGCGGCTCGCCCTTCATCAACCCGGCCTCCAGCTCGCGGTTCGGGCCGCCCACTGCGCAGGGCGGGCCGAAGAAGCGCTTCGCGCCGCCCGGCCAACAGGTGGGGTTGCCGGTGTCAACCTCGGCCGCGCGACCAGCGGTTGCTCCGCCACCCGCTCCGAAACCGGACACCGACGCCGACTTGTTCGATGCGCTATTTTACGATGGGGCAACAGGATGACGGAGGACGGACGGTGCGAGTTTGGTGTGATCACGTTGATGAAATGACTTTGAGTATAGCGACAATGAGTAATGAGTGATATTTGCTCGATGGTACAATAAGGATTCGCTTTCTGGTAGCAAGCGCGCAGAGATTAACTTGCCACTACGTACTGGCGGAAACAGCAGAGACGAGCACGGATCTAGGTTAGCGTTGTGACCAAGAAGGAAAAGCAGCTTTTTCCATCGTAAATGGAGCAAGATTGTATAGCAAGTGTTCGCCACTTTTACTGATGACTCCAGACCTGCACCTGCCGCCGCTCAAGATTTCGTCAGAGCAAGTGCGCTGGTTTTGGCTGCGTGATTTCCTTCGAGTTCGTTTCAGATCGCTGCACTGCAAGAGGGGCGCGCCCTTCCGTGCGGGCCGCGAGTTGTCGGGGTCTCTAGCGGAAGGGTCGCGATCTCCGGCCTCCATCGGAGAAGGCGCGGGCCCGAGGTGTAGCGCCCCGGCAGCGGCGCGCGCATTTCGGGGCTGGGGCGGAGCTATGCCGCGGCGGGCGGCGTAGCTGGCGCGGAAGGCCGAGGGCGCGGGAGCCGCTGCCACTTTGCTGGGGCGCCTATTCGCGACAGGGCGGGCCCGGCGCGCCAGAACTTTGCAGAAGCGGCCCCGGCGCTGCTCCGAGGGGTGGCCACGCTCCACACGGATCTGCTGCGCGAGACAGGTAGAAACGGACCTACTGCGCGAGTTGAGCCCAGCGGCGTGGGCACCAGGCTGCCGGTGTGCCCGGTCGTGGGCATCGCGTTGGGCGATGCTGAGGCCATGGGCCGGCCCCTTTCGGTGTTGGAAGTGCGTTTGAGGGAGAGCGTTTTTGTTGGCCTGTGCCGCGATGTGGGGCTGCCGGCGGACGTAGGGGCGCCGCGACTGGGAAGGCCGCAGCAACTACTGGCCAGGATCGACGAAGAACGAGATGGGCGCGCTGTAGTTGTGTGGGATTCGGATGTCGGTGCGTGCTGCTCTGGAGGAAAACCCCCGCAAGCGCGAACCTCCGCCGAAGCGGCGCCGTTCCTACTGCGGACCACTGGCCTGGCCAACACGCTCAACCGCCTCGCCTTGGGGCATTCGAAGGGGCCCCGGGGCAAGCTTTCTAAGGTCTGCGCCCGCCTCTGCGGGCAGGGCGGCCGGCGCGTTATTACCCCGACCCCCTGGCCCGGGCGTGCGCCCGCCGGCAAGGCCCAGGCCCCGGCAGAGCTTGGCGCCGCGCGTGCGCGCCCATGAAAGAGTCGCCGGAGAGCGTACTTGCCAAGACCCTGACCGAAGCCGCAGCCGAAGCAATCGCGGACGGCGCCAATAACAAGACGCGCCGAAGCAGAGCGGTTCCGGTGCAGGATCTACCCAATTACTGGGCGAGGTGCCGGGCCATTCCGGTGGCGGTGCCGAGATCTGGAACGGGGGAGGCCCCCCCCTTTGAGAGGACCGGCGCCGCCGCCGGGGAATCTGTATGCTTGCTGCTTGCATTTCATGCAGCGCAGCTTTTTTCTAGATTCGGCGGGCCGGCCCGGGGGCTTGCCAGCTGGCCCAGGCGCCCATCCCCCATCGCCCGCCGGCGCACTCCAAAGCACTGTCGCGCTTCTACCCTTAGCGCAGTGCGTGCCCCTGGCGCTTCTTAGCGTTGCCCTTCATATAGAAAGCGGCGCGGTGGCGGGGCATGCTGCGAGCCGTGATGGAAGACGGACGAAGGCCAGTTGCGTGTGAGTGCGCCTGCGCATGTCGGAGTTTGTTGCAAAAGGGCCGGCGCGCAGTCTCCGCCGCCGATTCTAGTCATTCTAAAAATTTCGCCCGTCGCACTTCTGCGACCCACAAAAGTGCTGACTCGCCTGTGTTCCAAGAAGCTACATGTTAGTCCACAAGGACGTCGCGCAATCGTGTAGTAAGTTCTGAGCCGCTGGAAGTATAGTGAAAATCTGCTACAGCAAAAACATTTGAGGAAAATTCACTTGGTGACGAATTTCTGTTTTCAGTTCTACTCTCAAAGGACAAAATGTAAATGAAATCGCCAAGAATGGAGCACGGCGCCACGATGGATGCGCGCTTTCTTAAATGTCAATGTTGATCCTCATGACACTAAGATCGAGATCATCATGCCGAAACTGAGCGCATCTTCGCCTCAATTTCTCTAGATCACTCGGACACGACTGAACTTAAGCATAAAACTCACAGGACCTCTGGCATTCACCATGAGTAGTGTTCTTTTTTTCAACTGTTTAGAAGACCCCACGGTGTAGTGCTCAAAGTCAATAACACGTTCAAATACACGACTTTCTACGCAACTTCCAAAACAACCAGAAATCAATATGGCGGGTACGGACGCTCGCATGATATTTGTGGGCGGGCTCCATGAGGAGGTGACCGAGGAGTCCCTACGACAGGCATTTCTGCCCTTCGGCGAGATCAAGGAGTGCAAGATACCAAAACGAGAAGGGAAGACCCGGGGCTTCGGCTTTGTAGAGTACGAGGATGAGGAGGATGCGAAAGCGGCCATCGACAACATGGACCAATCAGAGTTCTTCGGGAAAACACTGGTCGTGAACACGTCGAAGTCCCAAGCGCTCGGACAGACGGCGCAGCGCATGACAAAGCCGGTATGGGCGGACGACATCCTGCACGGGCAAATGCTGCAGCGGGGCTTGGGACTGCAGAAGGGGAAATTGCGGTGTCTCGCATAGTTCTTACTAGGCGGCGTTTACGCCATATGCGAGCAAACGAAAAGAGACGAACTAGTGCCCGCGTGAAGATTTTAATCCGCACCCCCAAGGACGACCCGAGAAAACCTGCAACCTCCCCGGTTTGGCGTTCCAATTTTATCGCAATGATGACGCAAATTTAAACTCAAAAGCAATGCGACCTCCGGATTTCCGGATGGTGTAGATCATTGTATACTGCTGATGCTTTGTTGTTCGATGCAGCAAGAGAAGCTAGGTGTTTCGTCATTTTGAAGATCGGTGACCGCCCAAGAAGCATTCGGTTCGATGAAAAACAATTGCTCGTCGGATTCTGTTGTAAGTTGCGGTTAGATTCGGTTGAAATAAGTTTGTCGCCTCGGTTTTGTCCCCAAGCGGTTTCCGCAGAAGTCTCTTTTGTTTCGTCGGTACTGAAGCTGACGGAAAAATAACCTGTATCGGAATGTAAACGAAAACGAAAACAAAGGTTCATCGGATGGTAAATTATTCACACGACGCTCCTTGGAATTGAAGCCGTCAGAAAAGTTGTTCGGTAGAAGTGGAAGGAATTTCATTGATGCTGGTCACTGTTTCTTTGTAAAAGTAAAAGTGGAGACTTGTGATAAATTTTCAGGTCGTCAACATTCAATATTTGTCCCTGCGCACTCTAATATAAAACAGTAGTGTTGATAATCGGAAAACCATAAATCATGTTCGACGGATCCTAACCCCATATTTGTATTTTAGGATGAATAAGGCGACTTGGATTTCGAACAGAAGTGTTTTGGTATTTCGCAGCGTTATAATGTATCGACACCGAGTCGATAATTTGAATTCTTAGTGCCAGAGACATCGGAATACTTTTCTTCTACGCCCTAAGTGATAATGAGTTCCGCGTTTCCGGCGTCCTTCTCCGGGAACGGCGGGCAACGGTCCTCGGGTAGCGCCGTAAGTCCGCCGCGACCCACCACTCATTTTGACATTGCGGCTCCGACACCCTCCAGACCCCGTCGGTTAAGCGAACTGCAGGACCAGCTAGAGGAGCAGCGCTTGGCGCTGGAAAGAGTCAAGCGGGCCAGTGGTGCCTTTCTCGTGGAGAGAGCGTCCGCTCCGAGACCCGCTGCACGGGCATCTACTACATCGGAAAACATCAAAGCCGATGCTGAGTTCGTCTCGGCTGCCTTTGGCGATTCGTACAGGAAAGAGCCAGAGGAAAGGATTGATGGCCAGCACTTCCGTGTACACGAGAGCGCCGCGCGCACCACGGGGGCACAATCTGCTTCCCTGGCGAGGAACACCGGCGCGCCGGAACAGGTGAAAAAAGCGCGGCAAGCCGTGGACTTCAATCTTCCTCGGGGAAGTTTGAAGTCCACGGGTTCCCCCACAACCCACCGTGCCTTCCCGACATGGATGGAGCGCGAATCGGAGGAGGAAGGGGAGGACGACGACTGCTGTACCAGGTTCCGGAAAAAGTTGAGCCGATTCGTGAAGCACCCCATGTTTGAGACGGTCATTCTGTTGCTCATCCTCGTCTATCCTGTGCAAAAGTATCGTACTCGTATAAATGCGAGTCTTGCATTACAAATCTTTTTCTTATCGTAAATCCGCACTACAAACTTTATAGTATCATGCTGAGGAAATTTGTAATGCATTTATACGAGTGCGATGCTTTTGCATTTGATATCGTCGACCTCTTTGTCGTGCTCTCTTCCGAACAATCCAGCCACGAATTCCAGTTCAAAAGCCACCACGGCTACGGGAAGCAGACCCTCATCGTGGGGTACGACGAAGCGAACGATGTTTTGTTCATGGAGCCACCGACTTACCACCCACCTGCTGGAGGTACATCAGGAGGCCACAGCAGTTTCTCGTTTTTGGAAACTGAGGAAAGAACAGGGGTTCTTGCAGCGACTTCGATTTTGGTTCAGGATGGAGGAATTGCAGGATCTTCCGGGGGGCATGGTGTTCCGTTTCGTGTTCAGGCGGATGTGGAAAAACGCGCTGGAAGCGAAACTTCTGCCTCCACCGATGAGGCGATGACTGTCGAGGAAAAAATGGGTCTGGTCGTCGAAGATTTGTCCAGGGAACAAGGAAATTTGCCGGACAGTGGGGGCGCGCGGCGTCGGCGGCGAACTGAGGCCGGCGGAGATGATGATGACACTGCGCACCGGCACCAGAGCAGCGGATTTTTGGAAGTTAACAAGGTTGGGGAGAAGAAAACGGGCCGCACGACTACAAAACTGGGAAGAACAGCAACAGGAACGACAAAACACCAAGTTTCCAGCGGTCACCACGAGAAGCCATCGAAGGCGTTTATTAGTCGCGCGTGGAAATTGAACTTCATCACGGTGGTCATTTCCAAAATCCTGCTTTGCATCTTCATGTTGGAGATCACACTGCACATCGTCGCGCACGGCTTCAAAGGCCACTTTCTGGAGGGCCACGGGCACTGGTTCACGTTGGTTGGCCACTGGATTGACGCCATCGTCGTGCCGACAAGTTTTGTAATCGAATTCTTCTTCGAGGAGTCCATGCACGCCGCAGATCTGCTCATCGTCCTCCGGCTGTGGCGGTTCGTGCGGATTCTGGTCGGGTTTTACCAGTCTATCGCCGTGGTGGTGGACGAACAAGCGCGCTGTGAGAAGATGATCGAGATCACATCGCAGGTGAATCACTTTCTGTCCCAAAAGGGGTTGCATGACGAGTTCGAAACATACCTCGAAGAGCACGACGAGCATCAACACGGAGAAGAGGGGGACGCGAACGCCGGCAGTGCGAAAGAAAGCGCCTTGTCTGTCTTTCGCTCCTTGCAGAAAGGGTCTTTTCGCAGTGGGAAAGCGGACGCGGAGTAGTTCTTGATGGGGAGTATTTATTGTTTTTTTATTCCATTGGTGTTGTCATATATGAAACCTTGTTTTTTCGTAGCGTTTAAGTAACATGTAAGATCGCATCTCAAGTACCATTTTTATTTTAACATTGACCTCATTTAACATTGACACGACAGTCACAGTAATTGATAGAGTAAATCGCAAACTCAAGAAAAGACTACGCAGAAAGATTCTTTCGTGATCCTACAGATTCGGGATCAGCAGTAAAGTTCATTCATTACAAACCAAGACGAATTCTATGGTTGATGATGAAAGGAGACGCACTGCGACGGATGAAAAACAACAAGGCGGCTGCAGTGCCCCGCCCATAAGACCAGCCGCAGCAGGGAGCAGTTTTAGTGTACGTTTGCTGCTATCGGTGCTGCACTTTTTGTCTCGAAAGTTTACCAAAAACATCGAACATTGGTCGGTTGTACCGGAGCAGCTCCCTGTTTCACCGCATCTCGCAAAGGCAGGAGCTTTTATTCTCGGTGTCACGAAAGAACGTCCCGTAATAAAGTCCTCCGTCATGTCGGTTTGATCTCTGACTCTCGTGAAATTTAATTGGTCGCAATACCAGCAGCAGGCTTTCCTGCAGTTCATCGGAGAACAAGTCTTTTCTTATTCCAACTATGCGAATTTCTCTTCTGCATTGCAGGTAAGTGGGACAGGAGTCCTCGTTGCATGGGGAACACTAGTTCTCTGTATTGACGAAGCACTTGGGAGGACACGCTTATACTATAGAAAAAAAATTGCAACTCCTTCAGGTCGTGTAAGTACTTTTCTCTTGCGTACTAACTTGCTGCAATTTGATATTTCCAGCACTACATCAGTAGTATCCCCAGCAATTTTCCGCAGCCACAAAATGAGTGCAAAAATCGATTGCCAAGAACGGAGTCCGATTCAAGAGAATGAAATCGTTCCCGGGCTACCGCCCGAAAGCGCCCGCGGAAGCAGTAGTCGGTCCAGGAACAAGAGCCCGCTTAGCAGTAAAGCCACGTCCCGAAAAGGCTCGAAGAAGCGGGCGCGGTCGGTGTCTCCGCAATCCCCGACGGCGGTGGAGAACGTCGGTGTGAGCCCCTCTGTGCGGGACTGGAACGACGTACCGGGGGCGATGATTGTTCCGATGGATCACGCCGGGGATCATATAGATGGTGGAAATTTGGATCCTACAAATGCAGAAACCAAAGAAAAATCAAAATCCTTCTGCATAGCCTTTCACCCGGCCGTGAAGAGCAAAGTTTCCGACGCCAAGAAAATCGTGCTCGTTTGCTGCCCGGGGAATGGGCTCGGGCCTGGCCCACTGGGGAGCTTCGGCCCGGACAAACTGTTCCTCAAGCTCGCGCAAGAGATGACGACCGCGTGCCGTACCTGCCGGAAGCACCGGCACTGCGAGATTTCGGTCGTCAACGTCGTGTACCACCGGCGGGCGCAGGTGGAGCCGGCCGTCGAGGACGTCGTCGTCGCGGTCCAGTGGGTCGCGCGTCAGTTTCCGCCCGACACCATGGTCGTTTTGCTAGGTTGGTCCATGGGCGGCGCGGTCGTGATTGAAGCGGGGTATCGGGTGACGCAGACTTTGAAGGTCGTTCCACCCGAAAATTGTAGCATCATCACGCTGGGCGGGCAGTCGGCCAAGGCGGGGAAGATTGTCGCTTTGCACGAAAAGACGCCACTGCTCATCCTTCAAGGGGGCGCCGACCGGTGTATCCGCCCGCAGTGTGGCATATCAAAAGTCAAAATGTCTGAGTCTGGAAACTTGTGATGCTGGGTGGCGTCTCATGATGACGCTACAAATGCTGTCTCAGCATGACAAGTTTCTGAGCTCCTAGGTGTTGCCTATTCTGCATGACAAACTGCGCTTCTGCGTCACAGAAAAACGGAGCTCTTGGGTAACGTGCGTGACAGATTTAAGAGTCATGTCAGACAAGCATGACAGTCATGAATTCTTCCAGACCCAGACATTTTTACAGTTGATATGGCAGGGGCTTGTACAAAAGGAGCCTGGACGCGGGAAAAACCAATGTTTTCTACGAAGAGTTTCCGGAAGACAGTCACGACACCGAGACGGCTTACCAGTTTTTGATCAAGCAACAAAAACTGCTGGAGTTGCTGGGCGCAAAAAAGGAAAAGTAAGCGAGTTTTTACATCGGAACAAACAAAATTTGCCAATCAAAAAAGCGTAAGACAGGCCCACAACGACCTGCAGCGTTCGTAAGCGACACAAGCAAGAAGAAAGTTCAAAAATACAATAAAAAAAAAAACAGTTCCTTCAAGCACAAGCTCCAAACTTTTTACACTTTTTACTTTTCAACAGCGAGAAACAGGACTACGTTTAAATTTTTAGAACATCACTGCTTTGTAGCCTTCCCAGCTTTTCAGTAGACTTTTAACTTTCAGCGTCAAGCTTTTAACTTTTCAACAACTTCAGTAGCAAACAAAATAGTACTCCCAAATCACTTTCGAACTTCTTATAAGAAAGAGCTTTCTCTCGTCCTCAGCAGCAGTTCCTTCTAGTTTTTCTAAGGTTGGAGCCAAAGCAGCTCCACCAAGTTGTCCTCTTTTTGTTGAAGTAGCGCTAGACACATGTGAAGAAAGAACAACTTTCAAGCGGTTCCATGTGACCACTCTCAACAAACAAACAAAAACTTGCCATCCACTAGTTTTCGAATCGCACGGACCTCCTGTGGACCGACCTGAACCTTTGAACCTGCGAGATGCGACCCTTAGTGTGCCAATCTCTACTTCAATATTGCGTCTTTATACTTTTGGTTTTGCTTACGTTAGGGGGTACTTTGCCGATCAGAACGAGTGGTGTTCAAGCGGGATTGGACAAAACAGGGCTCGTGCATCCTGAGTGTTGTTGCGTAATTTGAAGGAGCAAATGCCGCTGCAGCCAGAAAGCATTGCCATCGTGATGTAGGAAAAGTGCAAGATCGGGCTCCCATTGCTGGTCTACGCTGCCCTCAGAAAGAACAAGTCGTGTAGATCTTCGGTCAGATTGTATGTCTATGTAGTCAATGAAGTTCCGACGCAGAGGCAAGTCCTGCAAAACAGCGATCTTAAAGACCCTTTTTCGCCCAGGTCCTCATTTTGGAATGGGACTTCTTTACTTATAATTTGTGTAAGTATGATAAAAGTGGCTACTTCGACGTACTGCTTCTGCTGCACCTGGGTCGTATAACGCTGTACCAAACACAGTAGGACACTCTAGATACGAGTACCAACAAGATCATGCGCGAATTCGTCGAGGCCTGCCTGGCGCAGGCCCGCGTGGATGCGGAAGAGATGCGGCCGCGCAACTTGCTCAGAAAGGGTCGATCCCGGGGCGAACGCATCTACATGCGGGTTGTGGGCCTGTGCGAGACCTCACTTCGCGGGTTTTTGGTGAAACTACCCCTGTTCCTGCTGGAGAGGATACCGCACGCCGCCTCGCTCTGCTCCATTGGGTATCTGTACGTGTTTGCGCAGTGCACGGGGATGGCGTGGATGCTGCTGCTGCATTTTGCTTCGGTGTTGACCCAGGCGTTCGCTCGCTGTCTAAAGGACAGCTCGGCGAGCTGTTTGCGACCGCCGGAACACATAGAAGCTTCAACACAAACAGCCGGATCAGCAGCGAGCTCAATTTTCTCGGCATCAGTGCAGAGTGGTGGAGAAAGGGAAAAGGGGACAACGACTAGCAAGTCCCCAGCAGACATTTCGATCATTGAGCCATGGAACTTCAACACACCATCAACGGAGACTTTGATCGTCTTCTACCTGTACTATGCCATGGGCCGCATGCTGATCTTCGTGGTCTACGGACTGTACACCATTGGCTGGGAGTCCTTTCACGACTTCCCCACCGTGCGGAAGACGTATCCCACAGAAAAAAGCCGGCAGGGCATATTTGTAATGCAAAAATAAAAACACAGAAAAACCTGTCATGGGCGGCCTCATAGCGTGCTGTTTAGGATACGCAATACAGATGTTTTTGTGTATTTATTTTTGCATTACAAATGTGAATGTCTAGAAAAAAAAAATCCAATAGAAATTCTCCCCCGCCCCAATAGAAATTCTCCATATAGAGAATCTCCCGCGTCGAGTCTTTCGGTTCCCGCTTTGTCTTCGATTGCGTTTGATCTTCGCCTTCGCCTGGCGCAAAAGCTGTTGACCTTCCTCTGGCGCAAAAGCTGGCCGACTTTTTCAAAGTGCTCTTCTTGTTCCGTGCCCATGGACGGGTAAAAAAGTTCCTGTGCATGTTTCGGCCTCGGGGGGTTCAGGTTTTTCGGGAAAGAAAGAATAACTCTGCAACGACCTGGCGGCCGGCGTAGGGGAAATAAAGAATATTCCCGCACAGTGCGCGCGCGCGGGCTTCTTTTTGAGCGGCCGGACGCTCTTGCTCGCCTATGCGCGGCATCTGGGTGGCGGCGTGGCGGAAATGAAAAAAATTTCTGCGCACTGCGTGGGCGCGGGCTTTTTCTTGTGAGCAGCCGGAGGCCCCTTATCGCCGGCCCGCGCGCCACATCGGTCTTGCGGCGTGCCGGTATCGGAAAATAAAAATGCGCGCCGTCGCCCGCGCGCCGCGCTTTGTAGCGATGTGGGATCGAAGTCTAAAAATTTTCGCGCGCTGCGCGCTTGCGAGTTTGCTTTTCTGAACGGCCGCGCACTCCCGCCGCCCGCGCGCCGCGTATGGTGGCGATTTGGGATCGAATTCAAAAAATTTTCGCGCGCGGCGCGCGCGCGAGTTTTTTTCTCTGAGCGGCCGCGCACCCCAGTCGCCCCCTTCGCGCGCCGCGCTCGGTGGTCATGCATGCGGAATCGAATTCGAAAAATTTCCGCGCGCGGCGCGCGCGCGAGTTTCTCTCCCTGAGCGGCCGCGCACCCCCGTCGCCCGCGCTTTGGCGATGCGGAGTCGAATCGAAAAAATTTTCGCGCGCTGCGCGCGCGTAAGTTTTTTTCCCTGAGCGGCCGGGCACCCCCATCGCCCGCGCGCTGTGTTTGCTTGCTTGGTGGCGGGGCGTGGGATCGAATTCCAAAAAAATTTGCGCGCTGCGTGCGCCCGAATTTTTTTCCCCGAGCGGACGCGCACCCCCGTCGCCCGCGCGCCGTGCTTGGTGGCGATGGGTGTCTGTCGGGTCGAATTCAAAAAATTTTCGCGCGCCGCGCGCGCGCGAGTTTTTTCTCTGAGCGGCCGCGCATCCCGATCCCGGTCGCCTCCCTGCGCGCCGCGCATGGTGGCGATGGGTGTGCGGTCGAATTCAAAAAAATTGTGCGCGCTGCGCGCGCGCGATTTTTTTTCCCTGGGCGGCCGCGCATCCCCATCGCGTGCGCGCCGCGCTTGGTGTCGATAGATGTGGAGGCGAATTCAAAAAATTTTCCCGCGCTGCGCGCGCGCGAGTTTTTCTCCTTGGCCGGTCGCGTATGTCCGTCGCCCGCGCTTCGCGCTTCGTGGCGATAGATGTGGAGGCCAATGCAAAAAATTTTCGCGCGCCGCGCGCGCGAGAGTTTTTTTCCTTGGCAGGTCGCGCATTTCCGTCGACCGCGCTTCGCGCCTGGTGGCGATGTGGGATCGAATTAAAAAAATTTTGCGCGTGGCGCGCGCGTTTCTTCTTCTACTGGGCGGCCGCGCACTCCTTTGCGCGCGCCACACATGGTGGCGCGTTTGCTGGGATTCAAAAAAAGTTTCGCGCGTTGCTGTCGCGCGCGCGGGTTGTGGGGGGAATGGGTTAAATTCTTTCGCGCGGGGTGCGGCTGCGTCGTGGTTGGGTCGGTGGAATGGGATAAATTCTCCTGCGCTGCGCGCCTGGAGTTCGTTTTTTCGAGCAGGCGGCGCGCGCTCCTTTTCGTGCGCCGCGGCTCTCGGCGTTGGTTGCGGGAATGAAAAAAAAAACTCCTCACGCTCCGCCCGCCTAGGCTTTTTCTTTCGTGCGCCCTTTTCCCGCGTGCCGCACCTAGATGGCGGCGGACCGGCGTTGTGGGGGCCCAAAAAAGTTTCGCCCTCTTTCGGGCAGGCGCGCGGACGTTCTCGTGTGTCGTGCCTGGCGCCGCAAAGTGGGCCGATCAAAGATTTTCGAGGAGCGCCGCGCGCGCCTACATTATCGCGCGTCACACCTAGTCGGTGTGGCCGTGCGTCGCGAAGATAATCTTCCGGGCTGCCGCTAGACGGCCTGGGCTGCGTACCTGTAGCCTTCCTGGGCAGGCTGCCCCTAGCATGATTGGGCTACCTCTGGCCTGCCGGGGCTGCCTAGCGAAGCCCGGCTTGCGGGTCTGCCGAGCAACAAAAGCCGATCTTGCTGGGCTGCCAGCCTTACGCACCTAGCAGAGCCTGGCCTGCTGGGCTGCCTGCCTAGGCTAGTTGCTAGGGCTGTCAGCCTAGCCGAGCACAGCCTGGCGCGCTAGGGCTGCTGGCCTAGCGAGGCACAGCCTGGCTTTGCTTGGGCTGGCAGCCTAGCAAAGCCTGGGTTGCTGGCTGGCAGCCATCTTAGATAGAGAGTCTCCATCTGAGATAGAGAATCTCTATCTCAGATGGAGAGTCTCTATTTCGGATGGAGAGTCTCTATTTCGGATGGAGAGTCTCTATTTCGGCTTCGCCACTGGTGGAGAAGCTGCTGAAATATAAGAAAAACACATGGGAAAACAGTAAGAAACAGAAAAAGAAAAAAAAGAAAGAAAAAAGAATACAGATACTCTATCTCTCATGGAGAATTTCTATTCTCCTCCGAGAATCTCTATTTCAAATAGAGACTCTCGGAGATTTTCTATTTCGAGAGCTGTACAATTGACCTTCCAGCTTTTTTCTGTGGGATAAGACGGTTTCCCTGTCCATGCGCGAGATCGCGGAGCGGTACACGGTATCAAATGTAAAAATGTCTGGGTCTGGAAGATTGCAAACTTGTCATGCTAAATCTGCAGCATGCAAAAATCTGTGTTGCATGATTAGCAAAAGTCGCCCGATTTTGACCAAGTCGGGAGGTAGTTTCTCATGCAGGATAGGCATTACAGAGGTCTCGCAGAATCTGTCATGCTAGGTCCGGCATTCCAGACCTCCTGGGTCATGGAAAAGCAGCATGACAAATCGCGCATTATTCCAGACCCAGACATTTTTACATTTGATACACGGTGCGGGTGACGTGCCGGAGCCGCAGCCTGTCGCCGGCCGCGGGACTGGACAGCACGGCGACCTCCCGAACCTTCCCGCCGAACTCGTCCCACGCGAGCAGTGGTAGTCCGTTGGAAATCGACGAGTACCCGCCAATAGTAGACACGGATCGACCGAGCACCGCCTCCCTGGAGTCACGGTCGACGCGGGCGAATAGTTCCGGCGTCGGAAGCGATACCCTGGTGTCCTCGCACAAGATTGTGGACGAATTCGACCGGAGTGGGACCACCACGGCCACCGCGATAAGCGCGGTGACGGGAAAGGCCGCGCGGGTAGTAGAACTGAGCCCGAGAGAGAGCCAACTGCGGTCGGGCAGCAGTGTGACAGAGGAAACAGCGGGGCTCCGCCAGCGCCATCCGCAGAACGTTCGCAGCCACAACTCGTCCGCCAGTCAGATTGATGGCAGAAGTGCGGGCGATCGCGACAACAGGTCGGATATATTGAAGGATGGGCTGGAGATTGTGGATCATGGAACTGTCCACATGAAGGGCCCCACTACGCGGAGCCGCAGTATCCAGAGCGAGGTGTCGACCGAAGGTGAGGAGCCTATGACTCCAAATACGGAACAAGGGGCCAATGGCGCGGGAAACAATGCATTTTTCTCGTCAGAAGACGAGGAGCGAGCGAGGTTACGCCGGGAGAAGAAAAAAACCGGGGGTCGACGCGCGCTGCTGATACTTCCGCTTGTCTGGCTCTTCGTTTTGTGCGGCTGGCTCGCGGTCAGCAGCTTCTACTTCGACTTCACAGAGGGGTTATCTTCAGCAGATATGAGGAACAGCAGCAGTAGCACGCTGTCCATGTCGGAGAGTATCATGCGACCCACGGGGCGCCTCCACCGGTGCTTCCTGTTCCTGATGCTACTCTCGCTCGTCCAGTGGGCGGCGCAGTACCTGTTTCTGTTTCCAAATCTCTTTTCCGCTTTGCTCCTCACGCCGCGCAGCACGGCTTTGTTTGGGTTCTACTTCCTCTTTTCCATCATTGGCGGGGCGAGGCTAGTGTCCTGGTTCCTGTTTCCGCAGGGGAAGCAAACGAAAATGTTTTTCGGGGTCATCCCACACCACTTGCTGGATGTGGTGCTCGTGATGGCGTGGATGGGCTGGATGATGTGCACGTTGTTGCACTTGTTCGGTTCGCGGACGGCTTTCAAGCAGACCGGGTTTTTCAAGGAGCGGTTCAACGACGACCAGCTGTGGCGCAACCACATCGCGATTTTCAAAGTGACCTACATCGTCCCCTTGATTCTCCACTTCTTCCGGGGATCGCTCTTCTCCTCGCATTTGGGAATTCGGCACGCGATGAACGACTCGCTGATCATCATGGTGATGTACCCGCTGCTGCTGTTGTTGATTTGGACCGCGACGTTTCTGCTCGTCGCGGCCCTCCGCCGCGGCCGGCGCATCGGCATGCTGCAGCTCGCCACAATGGTGCCGCTCTGGTTCGTCAGTCAGTACGTCTGCTGGCGCTACTTGCAGCTGGAGTCGAAGTCAGCGATTTGTCTGGTCTGGGCGCATGGTGTGAGGCAGAGCTTACGGTTGTTCTCGCGAAAGACGCCCGCGTGGCTGGCCGCGGTGACGAGGGATTTTTTCGCGCAGATAGATGCACTGCTAGGAAGGGAGCCGAATGTGGTTGACAGGAACAATACTAAGAAGCTGTCCGCCGCTGCGTCGCCCACCTCCCCTGGCGTTTCGACGTTGTCAAAATCGAACCACGGTACTGCTACCGCGACGCCAATCTCCGCCGTCAAAGATGAGCCGGGGTTCGCTAGTAGCAAGCGCCGGGCGCGCATGTCCTCGCCGTCTCCGGAGAGTCCGATTTCAAAAATCAGTGTGGGCTTCGCGATGGGCAGCGCGGGAGATCCGCACGGGGAGCGGGACGAGGAGAACGAGAAAAATCCGATTATGAAGAAACCCAGACAGTCCATGCAGTACGTCATCGACGGGTACGGAAAGATGCTTTTAGTTTTGTCGGTGGTGTACCTCGGCACCTGTCTGTTCCTCGCTTTCGTCGGCGAGATGCAGCGAATCTACAACATTCTCCCCATGACGATCTCGATGCACACGAGCGCATCGGACATCATCTCGTTTGAAGCGAACCAAAGGGGTGCGGCGGAGAACGGTGAACAGGAAGCCACTAGTTTGGCGGCAGGCGAGAGCGATAAAGTAGACACTAGCCTTTCTGGCGAACAAACAAGCGTCACACTACTCCCAGACCCGAACTTCGTTTCTGTGAGCCACGTCGTGAGCCACTTGCAGGTGAAACTCGCAGACGCGAAAAAGCAGAAAAGTTCCAATTGGGTCGGCGGCTTGCTAGCTTCCATCACCGGCGGGGATAAAGAACAAGCAGCGGTTTCTCTTTCCGGTGCATCTTCGACAGCTCAAAGTACTGGGAAAAATCATCTCGGGGACCAGCAAGCGCAACCGCCGGACGGGAAGAGACCGGACGAGGATGGCAGCGAGGTAGAGTCAGAAGACGTAAATGTCCTCTCTTCCACCTCGGCTGAACCTGGTAACGAATTCCGGAGCCGGAACCCGTTTTGGACGGTACCCAAGTACGCCGCCTGCGGCCAGCTCTACCACGGGCTGACGCTGCTGGATTGGGCGCTGGTGGCGGAGAGCGTGTACCTCGAGTCGAAAGAGGAAAGGGAATATTTTCTGGAGAAAGTGGTTTTTCCGAATTCCTGGTACGAAAAGGACTTGTCGCAGCGGCCCCAGGTGCGCACGCACTCGTTCTCGAAGCACGGCAGTGCCGCATACATGGAGATTTTCTTTCCGGAGCAGGACATGACCGTGGTCGCGATTAAAGGTAAGTAACTAAAAGGGTCGATGTTGAGATTTCGAGATCTACAAGTAATTGATTTGGGATGCAATTAAGTTGTAGTTGTACACGGTAGTTAGAGTTACTTATTCGTTCTTCGGTTTTCAACGCAGTGAAGATCATCACCACATCACAGGTACCGACCCGCTGAAGTTGCTCGATTTCCTCGAGGACCTGCGGATGTGGCGCGATGCGGTGGTGGTCAGTTTGCTCGCAAACCTATTTCCCGCCGTTCGCGCCTGGCCAAAGGCGACGACCGAGATGGTGATTCGGTTCCAGCACGAGTTTCTAGAGAATTTAGGCCTGGTCGAATCTCACTGGGCATTCGACGAGTTGCTGCACAAGTACGGCGGCAGTGAAACGGTACTAGTACAACCTACCGGGATCACAGAATTGCAGAACATCAAGTCGGAAAATGGTGTTTCCACGGCCTCGGCCGCGGCGAGTCCTGCCCCGCTTGATGCAGATGCTGCAGAGCCACCACCGCAAGAAAAAGAATTATCCGACGAGAATCCTCCTGCACCGAAGCCGTCAAAAACCGTGTTTGTGGGGCACAGCATGGGCGGAGGTATTGCCAGCATTCTCGGGTTATCAAATGCAAAAATGTCTGGGTCTGGAAGAATGCAAGTTTGTCATGCTTGTCTGGCATGACTCGAGGTCGAGAATGTGTGTTGCATAGGCACGAAAAAGCCCTCTTACCTGTCATGCAAAAACGCAGTTTGCCATGCGGAATACGTAAGACATGGTAGCCAAAAAATTTGTCATGCATAGCTGCGTATTGCAGTGCGTCTACCATTCATTTTTAGCATTACAAGTTTCCTGACCCAGACATTTTTGCATTTGATACAGGTTTCTTAACCACGCACCGGTAGTCGCTTTCCAGCCGCCCGGTGTGTACCACTCGATCGCGAAATTTCAGCAGGTAAAGCGGGACATGAAGGCGTATGACTTTGTGCACCACGAAACTCTGAACATTCTGGTGGAAGACGACTGGATCAACAACGTGTTTGACGAGCACGGCGGTTTGTTGCAGCAAATCGGGTGCGATTACCCCAATCGCAGCATGTACCTGAGCTGTCACCTGCTCGAGTCGGTAATCAACCACTTGTACAAGAGCTGCGGAGAGGACAGAGCGGACGACCTGGTGGAAATGGTCGAAGAGAAAATAGTTAAACCCGCGGGAGCAGGTAGTGCTGCCGCGTCTACCTCCACCAGCAAAGAGGCCGGCGTGACGAGGACCACAAAGGTAGAACGGCGCATCAGCAAGAAGCCGAAGCGGTTCGACTATGTGGAGTGGAAGTTTGAGGTGCTGACGCAAAGCACTTGGGACACGATTTCCGAGGAGGTTTCGACCTATGTAAGATCGTCCACCTTCTACAGCTACTTTGTCGCGCTGTCCTCGTTCCGCTACACGGCCGCCTGTCTGGCGCTCGTCGCGGTGGTGCGGTTATTGTGATGAAAATTAACACGAGGAGATTTGATTCCGAAACGCAACATGATCCAGATCTGCTGGCTCGCTGCAGGAGCACTAGTCTTAGTCGAATCTTCCTTCTGAGGAAAGTTGCGCTGCTAGAGTGAAAATCGATGCTGGCGTGTTCCATATTGATTTACCGCACACAGGTTGAAGATTGGTGTTTACAAATATGTAGACGGTCTCCTCTCTTTCATTTTGCAGTTTCAGTTTGGTCTCTTCGTTGAAAGATCATATTCAGCGATCACTTTGCGAATTTGAAGGTTCAGTACGTAAGCAGTCGACTTGTTCACCTTACTGTGGAGAAAAAGAGTCGTCGCATCATCTGATGAAATTCTAGGAGCAAAGAAAAATGAATGAAGGCAAAGTCGAGACCAGCGCAGCTGTCGGAGATGCCGTTTCTGCGGAGCAGGACATGAAGCGGCAGGAGGCACGGAAGCTTGTCACAAAAGCTCTTTTGTTGGGGGGACACTTACCCAATGACGAGGACGCAACTTCGTATTACCTGGGTTATGCAGGGCGCGGTGCGGAAAGTGCGCTGACGTTTGACGAGTGCGAAGAAGATTTAGCGCAACGAGAAAGATTAGCAACTCGCGCTCTAGAACTAGACGCGAACTGCATTCCTGCCTACGGAGTATTGGCCGGCGTTGAATACCATCGGGACAACTTGGTACCCGCAATGTTATCTGTTAGCGAAGCAATACGGAGATACATCGATGGGCGCGGAACCGCGGATGCAAGAATGAGGGAAGAGCTGAGTCGGATTGGGGATCTAGTGTGGTCGATATACCACGACGCAAGGGACGAGGCGCAGTTGCTCGCAGCATTGGGGTGCCTGAAAGAACGCATTCTTGTCGTCACAGCGGAAGAATCTGCCCGTAATAAAAATTTGCTCTGTCGTGTTTCCTCATTGCAGCGACTGTTTGCAACTCGATTGTGTATAAGACGACGGGCCGGCTTCGATCGTGACGCACTGTTCGATGCAGTGGCCTTGCAGGTATGCAGTCTGAGGGAAAGTAGCTTTTATCGCTACGGTGCCAGTAATGCCGCGGAGCTGGAGACGGAGATACGCAATAGGTTAAGACTCGCCGCAAATGTCCGCGCTTGTGAGGATGAAGTCCGAGAGGATGGCGACGTAGAGCAGGTATGCAGCAGTTCTAGGTCTAGTTTATACGTCACAGATATGCGGACGTTTCGCGGCTACAACAGTTTTGCGATGGAGGTGTGCCGCTCTGATGTTCGTCTGCTTGGTGTCGGAAGAAACAGGCCAGAAGCGCAAACGATCGTCGCAACATTCTTCAAACATTATTTTATGAGATGTCCCTGGTTGGCGTTTTTTTTCCTCAGGCAGAAGGACGATCATACCCAAGACGCCCGGGTGGATGAGAATTACTGGAAATTATCGCTCATGTACGCGACGGGGGTAGACGTATTTAATTTCAAGCTGGACCGTGAGGGTCACGAACTGTGGGAGCAACTTGGTCCGAAATTGTCCGATGATATAGTGATGGAAGATTCTCCCATCGCCATGAAAGCTCAATACCCGCAGCCTCTGGAATTACGTATGGAAGACATACGCGACATGCGGTCGCCGTACTCGCAAGCAGCGGTATCCGCATATCTGAAGCAAGGGCCGATGTTTATTCGCTACAGACAATTCCCAGGCAAGCGCGGGCGGATGGTCATACTCTGTACGGCAGATTCCACACTCGTACCAAAGAAGGCTCGAGAAGCTCGTCAAGCCTTAACACAGAAGGAGGACGAGCTTCTTGTATACGTGTTTGAACATGCTCATCTGGTAGTACACCATGCGGGTGTGAGTTTAGTGAGAGGCCTCGGCCAGCTGAAGCTATTTGGCGCGGCCGACGCATGCGAAGGCTGGCTACTTCTGCGGTATTCCGACATTGAAGACTTGCCGCGTCTTTGGTTTTTTCAACAATACAACCGCATGCGCCAGAAGGAAGGATTGCCCGACCCTCGTGTGTCGCCGAATAGCGAGGGCGTCGAGCGCATTTCTTGCAGCCCGCTTGCGCGGGAAACAAGCCGGAGTCCGCGACTCAAATCGGACAAAAGCTACCCATGTCCCGACTGCGGAAGCACTTTTTACGAGAAGGACAAACTGAAGCGCCATCGAAAGAATTGTGAGCAACGAATGGTCGTCTGCACGGAATGCGGCGAGAGTTTTGCAGCATGTGATCTGGCAAACCACGATAGGGAAGAGTGCGCTTACGGGCTGACATCTTGCAAAGATTGCGGAGCGGAAATGAAAAGAATGCATCTTGAGGACCACTTACAAAAAACGTGCACAGAGCGCACCGTTTCCTGTGGGCAGGTAAACAGCGACGGATCCAGAGCATGTAAATGGACCGGTCGGTTTTGCGAGCTAGCAGGACACAGGCTAGATTGCGCTTTCACGACAGAGCCTTGCAGCTGCTGTTTGCTAGAGGTGCCGCGGTGCGATCTGCAAGCAGCGCGACACAGGTGCCCCACAGTGGACGCGACAGATACATGCAAAATTTGCAGGGAGACGTTTGGAACGCTGTATGCAGGGTCTTCCTCGACGGAACCGGTGCTGCCAGTGATTCCACTGCTGGGCGCGAAGCGGCTTTGTACCTGTCGTGACTGGAATTACTGCGTATCCTGCTTTCGCTCTTCGTTGCGCAATTTTGCCGGCGATACAATGCCGTGCATGTTTTGCCGCCAGCTCTGCGATGAGGCGACTCTGGTCCCGCTGCATTTAGTGTCCGGCTTGGCGGTGAAATCTTCACTGAGCACGCAAATGAGTTTGCGTGGTAGTGGACCGGCGTTCGCGGAGCTGAACTCGCAGGCAATGTTACTTCCGCGCCGTGGTGCTACGATCGGGTCAGTCCACTGGGTCTCTCCGCTTCACGTTCGATTCACTCACGACAGTATCAAACTATGTTTCGGTGAGTATATGGACAAGCGAACAGGCTTGCAACACACGGACCAGAGCATCCTGGATTCGCTGGAGCAACAGCTGAGATCTGTCGCAGAAGACGGACCGGCCGGACTCGACTGCCTTGACGTCTGCTGGGCGCGTCCGCTACATGGTGAAAAATTGGAAGCGGACGCGCTTTTCCTCGCCGGAACGGGCAATCGCAGACTCTGCATGTGGCGGATGCTGGCGATCATGCGTCCAGAGAACTTCGCGCTCATAAAGGTTCGCATAGTCAGCAAGGACAGCACCAAGGTGAGGTTTCCTGAGAAGTGCACAACATCTTGCGCAGGGAGGTGGGTAGAGATTCGGACAAAAGGCCGGGTGCGTTTTTTCGTGGGCTCGCAGGAGCATGCGGACGGCAAGTGGAACCCTGCGGATCCCCATTGCAAAGGCGATCCTGGTATAAAATGGCCGGACGCAGAGAAAATTTTTTCACGTTACGTAGCAGACCCACGGAGTGGTCCCGCATCTCAGCCACCCTTGGCGGAAACATCAAACATGGGAAAAATCGCTGGAGCATGATTTCGTCGACCTGGAACAGTATTTCAGATACAGAAAAAGGTCTCTATTCCACACACATGGTCCACGTCCACGAAGATGATTCTATGAGATCATCGCAGCAAAAAGACCAAATGCAACTTGCAAGGAGCAAAGCGTATAAAGAAGAAGTACCGCGTCCGTGTGGTGAGTTCCATTCTGTTCTGTCTGACTTTGAGATCATTACAGCTACCATTGCGATCTGAAGGTCCTTCGACTTCCAAGAAGTTTTTTTGAATTTTCTTTCACCGTGCTCTCCTGTGTAGCGAGACTGGTTTTGGATTTGCATAATATATGTGTCGCTAAAGGTTGTTGCGCTGAGTTTCAAAGCCCCAGCAGTGTTTTAGGAGTGGTAAAGCCATCACGTAAGACATGTTTGAAGAAGATAGCTAGTATCTAAAAGATTCTCTCGCATTGATTACGCTTAATTTCAATGGAATGAATGCATTTTTGTATTGTCTGTGATTGTGCACGAAATTCAAATTTTGTTTCACCAGCCGAACATCACAATGCCCGTTTTTCCAATGGTCGTCAAAATGAAAACTACCTCCTGTTGTCTGTTTCAAGCACACAAGCCTATAAAGCTATCGACCGGGTGAGCACTACTCCCGGGTGAAGATTCCACGACGCGGCGCGGCCGTCACGTGGAAATAAATCCTACATGCCGCAAATTACGCGGCCCTTATCATGAACAAAAACGGCAACCGTTTTGTCTTCAAATCTTTTCTTCCTTGCCTTTCCCGAAACAATTTCTTACCGAGCAGTCCAACGATGAAGTACCAGAAACAATAACGGCAAGCAATCCTGACCAGAAAGTGGCAGCGATCACACCGAGCCCGGAAGCACGACGTAATAGTTGCAGCAATGTACAAGCGCACCGGCGTATTTTTCTGTTTCCCTCGTGGCAGAGTGCTACTGCGGTCGGCAGTAGTCCTGCTTCATTTTTTCCAATTTCACCCGAATTTTGCGGCCGCCGGATCACCAGCTAGCCACGAAGTAGAGCAGCCCTCTGTTACTTCGACAGAGCAACAACTGCAGCGATGCTTGCGTCGCAAGAACAGCGATATTATCATCCGGGGCCGGCACCACCGGTCGAGCTCGCGAAGTGGGCTGCAGAATCCCCGCGCGGCAGGGCTGAACTGTGACAGCTTGCCGGGAAGCAGTGGACAGCAAGCCGATCCCGCCGTGACCATTGTGCGGCGGAGCCGCTCGACCGGCAAAATCGGGTCTTTATCACACTTATCGAAAACGCCGACGACCCGCGGGGGCGCCGCGACGCCCTTCAGCGGCTCCAGCAGTGCGACGCCCTTCGGGTCCAGCACCGCAACGCCGAAGCAGCCGTATTTTTTTGCGGCAAATTTCGGCCCGGGGGTGCAGCCCTACTTCGTCCAGCGAACGGAGTCGTTACCGGAGGCGGCAACCGGAAGTGAAGAGGTGGAAAATGAGGAAAATCCGGTTTTGCAAAAGAGTGCGAGCTCCGGGTCACTGCAGATGCGGGACCGCAGCAAGGACTCGTCGTGTGCAGTTGGACCAGGACCAGCATCCTCTTTGATGAAGGCCGCCGTTCGGGCGGCCAGCGATCGTGCCGAATCTTCGGAAAGCGCTTGCCTCAAAGACGTGGGTGGCGGTGAAGGAAGGCATTCGGCGGAAGATACCGGTACCGACGCGATCAAGCAGAAGGCGCCCACTGGAGGTGTAGCAGCACCATCTGTGCACGCCGGCACGAGCCCCGTCCCGACGGATGTCCCCGCCTCCAGTCCGGCGAATAGTACCGGTTCTTCTTCGACGGCGCCTCCGCGCGAGGATCCGGTGTCGCGCGTTTCGTCCGCCGGGCGTGGTAGTAGTTCATCCGATATGCAGCAGTCCAAAAGAGCGGAGCCGCAAGTTCGGGAAGTTTACGATCCAAACGACAACAATGAAAATGCTATGATTCGCAATTGCATCGTGAAAACCGCTTCTCGCGGCATTCAGGACCTGTTGGCGGCGCGCCGGGCGGAGTCGCCGTTGCCGAGCCTCCCCGGAGCCTCGTCTCCGGGCTCCTCATCAGCGATACCAGAACAGCACGAGGACATCGAGGGAAGGGCCGAAGCAGAGCAACCAGGAGCGGAAGGTGAAACTCGAGTTACGAAAAAGCTTCTTCCCTCGGCCACTGCCGTCGCGACGCCCCCGTTTTCTCCAGTGAAGCCGACGAAGCCATTTCAGGGCAAATCGGCCTCTACCGCATTTCTAAACGGATTGACGCCGGCACCGACGCCCTCGACGGTGTGTCCCACACCGGAAATACTGGAGCACCGTGACCCGACTAGCCTGGCGTCAATAACACTCGCGGCCGTCTTTGCGCAGAAGTGCCGGGTTAGTGACTCAAATAAAAACGGCGCAGAATCATCAGCCCCGCGATCCAGGCCATCTTCTCCGCACGCCAAGCACCACAAGCGACGAGGATCCAAGCAGCGACTAGAGGAGGAAAGCGCAAGCTCTTCCGCACCGCTGCAAGACCAAGCGCACTTGCCGCCGCCAGACGGAGGACACAGACGCGACGGTACCATCGCGGCGTCTGCGACGACAAGTAGCCAGGCAGCGGCTCCTTCCAAAGCGTCTGGAATTTTTGTGTCCGAGCTGCAATCTTCTAAGCTTCGCACCCCCCCGGGTGCTGCAATTTTGACGTCGGGTGCTAGTTCTTTACCGTCCTTTGTTCACAACGGTACTGCCTCGCGCGCTGCGGGATCACGCCCGGCGACGCCGACAAAAGCAGCGGGCAAAAGTAAGCCTGAACAAGAACTGGCTGCGCCGCCCGCGGTGCCGCCGCTAGACCTGAGCTCGGCATCAAGGGCACAACCTGCACCCGTGGTGCCACCGCTGGACCTGACGTCGCGGCGGCCCTTGATGAGCAAGGGGCTGACCGTTGAGACCAACGAAGACGCGGCGTCCTCGCCCGAAATCGAGGACGAACAGGAGATGAAGCGGTGGACAACTATGGCCTCGACGCCATCCGTCGTGTTTGGGCGACAGCTCAGCGACTGCACCACTGCAACCGCCTGCGGAACGCCACTCGAGAGTCCCGGGGACGGGGCCTTATCTGCTTTCACGCCGCCCATGCGGGTCGCGAAGCACCACCAATCGCGGGCGACGCGGATCGGGCAGCTGCTAAATTCCCCCCAAGTGCAGCAGCAGCCGAAGTTGCGGCCAAGGATCGTGAAGCTGCACGTCCACGTGAACGGAAGGTTGCGCTTCTCGTACGAGGAGCACGACGCCCTAAGCGATGCGGAGATCATTGCGCGGGCGGAGGAGCGGCTGCTGGCCTCCTGGGGCTGGCAGGAAGTGAACCGCGAACAGTACAAGGACTACGTGCGTCTTGTGCGGGCTAGTACAACGCCGTCGGGGGAGCAAGAACAGTTGGAAGGGCCCCCTGCATCGTCGTCCTCGTCGGCGGGGACAAATAAGAAGGTGTTTGTAGACTACGCCGACAACACCGTGACGTTGCTGGAGCGCGACTCGGCGAAGAAAATGCGTGTTTCGACCCCGGCGTCTGAGAGCCCCCCGGTGTCGCGCCGGCACTCGGAGAGGGAGCAGCAACTGCTGCGAATCGACGAGAATGCCAGCAGCACCTATCCACAGAAAAAAACCCATGCACATCCATTTTTTGCATGACAAACACAGAATTTTATGCATGTTTTGCATGACAAATTGGATGCGAGAAGTAAGGAAAAGATAATATTAGTGCCCGGGGATGAAGATATACTCGCGATACTTTTCGCGGTTCTGACCCTAGATCTCCTGCGGCCGTAGCTGCTTGCGGCGACGGTGCAAAGGTTTTCGATGTGGCGCAGTCGGGTATGCATGACAAATTGGATGCGGATGGGTTTTTTTCTGTGGATAGCACCGCGATCGATCGCCAATCGTGGGTTTTAGATTTGGAATACCACGGCCCGGTTCCGGTTCGCGTTGCAAAGGCCTTCAGCAGTCGCGTTCCACGGGGAAACAGGCGGCTGATCGAGCTCGGCCTGCAAATGGCAGGCAACGAACGGCTGTGGGACGCGGGACTGCCGGCACCGAAGGGGGCGCCTTCGTATTTAGCCATAGTAGACCCGAGCTTTGGCGAAGTGGTCGATTTTATTCGCGTAGAGAAACAGGTGTGTTTTGTATATGTAGTTATGCACATGCCTCTTGTTGTCGCTGATCCTCTGTAGCCTTGAAAGAACTGCTGCAATATAATGTACCACAGATTTCTCGAAGGCGAGGGTACCGCGTTTGGGTGGAGGATGAGTCGCATATACGGCTGGGGGCTGATCAATACGAGGGAGGATGGCGACCCAAGCGTGGCGCGAAAGATTCACGATTTTTTCCTGCGGCGCCGACGCGATTGGCTGTCGCAGTCTGCCTTGACAGAGGCGACTCTGAAGGATCGCAGCCTGCATCCGTCGGTGCGGATTTGGGAGTCGTCGACAGTGCTCGCGCTGCCCTCCTCCCGTCCCCACAGTCGCGAGCAGGACGTGGCTGCTTCCCACGACAAACTTGTTCCAGCTCCAAACACAACGGCAGACGAAGAGCACGAGCACCTTTCCGAGCTCCCGGCGATCCCGAAGCGCAAGAGCCGCCGCAGCGCCACGGAGTCGACTTGCGCCTCCTCACTCGACGGGGCGCAGCAAGAAGCAGCAAGCACTGCGCCGGGGCAAGTGGCGACTCCGAAAATGGCGGTCGGGCGAGCGGGGTCCAGCACGGATTTAACGGCGGTTCCGGCGCAGCATTCGTTCGGCGAAAATCACTCCGCGGACGGCGCCTTACCCAAGGCTGTGCTGGACGCGATTGCCGAACTCCGCTTGTTGCGCTTGGAGAGCCTGCACAGTGCCCTGGGGTCCCTAAACGACCTGCAGATTGCGCGCGGCAACGACCCGGTTATACTGGAGAGCGTGGTTTACTGGGCAGAGCTGGGAGACGCAGAGCGTCTGAATGACCAGCTGTCCAAGAAGGAAAAGTCCATGTGGAGAGGCCTGAAATGGAATGGGTTACGCTACTTCGACAAAGCAGCGGAGTTTCCCATTGCCCCGACGTCCTTGCGTCAGCGGATCTTGCAATTCCTGGAGCAAGCAGCGGATTGCGTCGATGATAGTCCGAATAGCCGCCAGCTTTCTCCAAACACTGCCCGGCGCGCGTTGAGAAAGTTGGTTGGTTCTTCTGCAGCCCTAATTGAAGGGGCCGACGAGGCGCGGCGAGCGGCCTAGGTGTAGATTGTTTTGTTGTCAACGGGGAAACAGGCAGGAGGCACCGAGAGAAATATTTTTCACATGTAAGTCGCCGTCCAAGGCGAGTAGTTAGGGTCGGGCACTGAGTCTATTCTTCGTTCCCACTATTCGAAGTTTTATTTTGATCGAAAGCATTTTGTCGGCACTCTTTCAAATGGATGCCGGTACCTAAAGCTATTTTCCCTTCTGGAGACCCATATGTAGTATATATCCACTTGTGAGGACGTTGCAGACTGTTGCAATCATGTAAGAGTAAGAGATACTAGATAGTTGTGTGCACTTGTGCGCCACTTGTATGTCCGTGTCTGTCAAAAAGCGCAATGCAACAGTAGCAATGATCTGTACGAACTTTACTATGTTGAAATAATGTTATAACAAAAGAAACGAGACCACCAGACTCTACGTAGGTTTCTGCGGAAAATCATTACAGAAGCACGACCGGAATCCGAATTTCGTGTGTCACTTTTGCAGGGTTTCAGTACTCTCTTTCACACCTTTTGCCTATCCGAAAAGTAGCGGCTCTCCACCTGCTGGCTGTGTTTACGTCGTAAACGATACGGACCTTTTACGATTTTCAAAGAACCGGCTATCGAAGAATGCACACAATTCATCGCACAGGTGGACATCTTTTTAGCCACGAACGCTTGACTCCGTCTTCAGCCGCCTAGTTCTCCTGCAGTGACTGTTCGAGCCAGAAAGCCAAAGCTTGTCGAGGCTACCTTTGCGTTTCCGCATGCACTGTGTATCGATTGTTTTCCAGTGGGGCTTAGTCCTCGAGGAGGCTACCTTGGGGTTGCTGCATGAAAAGTTGCACAGCGATTATCAGCGTGAATGCGCGCGTCGTTCGACGTTTTGTGTACGGATATAATTTCAAATCTCTGCTTTTGATATACTGCATTGCATCGATTTTGCTCGAAGTGTTGCACATCACATCTCAGTGCATCATGGCCAAGCAGAGTTTCCATTTTCGTGCTGCCGTAGTCGGCGACGTTGAGGCCATCGCAAAAATTTGGTACGACGTTTACCAGATCTCGCACGCACATCTCGTTCCGCCGGAACTGTTGCAGCATCGAACCCTGGAGACTTTTAGGCAGCGCACGCCGGGCGACTTGGCGAAGACGCTTGTCGCGGTGACAGGTTCGTCGAACGCCGACTCGGAAGATTCGCTTCCGGAAGGGCAGGTATGCGGATTTGTCTCGACTCGAGGCACCGCAATTCTACATTTGTTTGTGGGTCTTCGCGGGTGCGGAGTCGGCCGGCAACTGCTTCAGCTTGCGGAAAGGCAGATCTTTCATGACGCGTCAGGTTCAGCGTCGAGCAGACCGGACGCAGACGGGTCGACGCGCTGCGAACAAGTCGTCGCGCATCTGCATGTCGTTCACGGGAACGAAGCCGCTCGTCAGTTCTACAAAAAATGCGGATGGGTTGAAGTCGGGGAAGAAACATACGAGGTAGAGATCTTAGCTGCAAACGGTGGCACAGAACATTTTCCCGTGCCGTGCCTCAGATGGGAGAAGAAAGTTTCCGCGAACGAGCGTGAAGGGCAAGCCGAATTCATGCGATATCCAGAATTGAAAGCCATACGCGACAGTAGACATGAGTGGTTTATTTGGGCGGATGAAAACGCATGTTGTTCTCGCTAAGGGTAGTTATTAACAGACGCTCTGCTCCTGCAGTAGGGGATCAATTTTCTGTCAACATCTCGTGCGAGCAAATTGTATAGCAACGGACTAGAAGACTTTTGACCGATCATGACACCACGATGAAAGATCTGAATAAAAAAAGGAACAAGTAGAACTACGAAGTCGCCTATCTCCGTTTTCATTTAGAGAGCTTCGGTCCACCGTCGGCACCATTTCTGCAACTGGATCATCTCTGTCTATTTACGCGTTCGACACCTTTGTTCGGTGCCGGAAAGTCGCTTTTCCAGTTGGACCACAGTACGTATCTTTTTGGTGATTTACTATACCGACTGCGACATCGACTCTTTTTCCACTCACTTATTCCCTTTATTCCTTCCCTACTTCGCTTTTGATATCACAACGTTTACGCTTTGAGAGGAGCTATAATGCAAGCGCTGTCCTCCTGCCGGCGCCGTTGCTGTTGCTGATGCGAGGAGGATGACAACGCTCTTCCGGCCCGTGCCGGTTATCGACCAGCCCTGCCGGGGGGATACGTTCGAATGCCTCGCGTACGGCTGCAACTTTTTGTACGTCGGAACGTCCGCCGCGACGGTCCTGTCCTTCACGGTAGCCGCTTCGAACCGCACCGATGAGGAGTTGCAAAACAGTGGCTGCCCGCAGCGGAGCGTGCAGCTGCTGCCCGGCTCGGGGAAGAAGGTTTCTTTTACTAACTTGCTAGACTGCTCGTGAGCAGTTGTGATGCAGCGGCAGTCCAAGCACTACACTGCTTAGGGTGATGCTTCTGCTTTTATCTGTTCGTCCCCTTTCCGCCAGAACGAGTAGGTCGGCATTGCTGTTTGCTTAATTTGATCATTCTCACTTGTTTCCGAAACTGTTGAATCTCAGATCGAGGAGCTGGTATGTCCGGAAGGGAGCAATGCTCGCATTTTCGCGGTTTGCGATGGCGGCATTCATATTCTGCCGGGCAGTTTGGCAAACGCAGGCACGGTGCTCGCCAAAAATGCGCTTTGCTTCGCCTTGCAGACGGATCCTGCGGTTTTCCACGCCACTACAGAGCAGTTTCGTGGATATGACGTGGAGCACGGACACATCTGCGTTGGCAGCAAACGGAAGCTGCATCTCTTCCGACCAGTTTCTCCTCCAGGACAAGGTGGCGCGGGAGGGGTATAGTGGTTTTTTTTTCTTGACAAAAATGTTGAAAATCTCTACAGCGCAGTTGCCTCGCGTGAATGTTGATCCACTTTCTTTCACTGTACCAGTGCCGTTTTTCAACATCTCACGTGAGATTTCAGTATACGCTTGCTGTATAATTGTGAGATGTTTCGCATAATTGTGGTGCGTGCGAATACACGACCAGGAGCTCCACCTCGACTCGGACGATATCGCAAACCTCAAGTACGAGCTTTACCAGGAAATTCCCTTGGCCGCGGGCTCTTCGTCCGCCCGGAATCAGGCCGACCCCAAGGAGCGCACCGGGCCGCAGCTCTGCCGGTGGCACAAGAGCAGCATCATCGTCGGGTTCAAGCGGGAGTACGTGTTGGTAAACCAGGACGACGGCACGGTACGGGACATTTTCCAACTGGACGGCAAAAGTATTCCGCGGGTCTTGGTGTTGCCGCACGACGAGGTCTTGTTGTTGCACCAGGACAAGGTGGGGCTCTTTTTCAACGTGCACACGGGCCAGCCCAGCACGAAACACACTGTGGAGTTCAAGGACACACTGCTGCATTTGAACACCAAAACACCCCAGTACATTTTGGGCACGAGCAGGACCGGGATCGAGGTTTTTTCGGTCCGAGACCAAAGCTGCAAGCAAACCTTGCTGTACCTGCAAGAGCACGGGTTTAGCGACAACAATTTCGGGCAAAATCTGACCTGTGTCTCCGACGGCAATAAGCGGCTTTTTCTCGGAGCGAGTGGTGCGTCCAAAAACCAAGTGTTTTGTCTCTCGGAAATTCCGCTGCGAACCCAACTAGCGAAGCTGTTGGAGGAGGAGAGGAGGCAAGACGCGCTTGATTTGCTGACGGCGCACCTGGCGGGCTCGGACACGCATGCGGACCCCGCGAAGCGGCATTTGGAGCTGCAGAATTTCCATGAAAAGGCTGGCTGGGTTTTTTTCGCAAAGTTGAAATTCGAGCTGGCCTTTCACCACTTTGCTTTGTCCGCCGTCCCGGTGCCACACTTGCTGCGCTTCTTCGCGACAGGCTTGCTACCCGCCGAGTGGTTCACAGAGCTGGAGGCGGAGGCCTGGGAGATTGCGCGCCGGCTGCGCAGGCGGGCCTTGAACGACGCGCCTGTGGTGTTTCTGACCGAGAGCCCCTTCTATTACTGCGACGAGAATGCGGAGGACGAAGAGGAGCACGCGGGCATGCAGAAAAACGCAAACCAACCGCTCGACTTGAAACCGTTCATCGAGCAAAAATTGCGGGACGGTGCGCTTCGTTCGAAAGACGCAGATGACGAAGATAAGCTGCAACCAGTAGGACCGGGGACCACGACGGGTCCAGTACCGCCAAGCGTCGACGTTCTGATGCAGCAAGCTCAGCAGCACATGGCTCGATTTCTACTCACGGTGCGCGGCGCGCAAACCTGGATGCAGCAGTCGTTGTCCGAACGCAAGAGGGCGGACATGGTTCTTCTGCGGCTGTCCACCGGTTCACCCGCACGGAATCTCGTTTCCCAAGAGAACTTCAGCTGCGTGGCCGGCGACTTTCCTGAGCTGTTCTTGAAAGAGCACCGCGATTTGTACGCGTTGCTTCTGAAGAAGGAGAACAGGCTGGAAGAGGCGCTTTCCATCTACACGGACCTTTTCAACCGCGAGCCCAAGAACCAGGACTTTGTGCACGAGATCCGGTCGATTCTGAGCAAACTGCTGATTCACCACAGCACCGCGTCCGTGGCCAACACGCAGCAGGCGCTGTTGGGTGGGTCGCTGGGGTACCTGCAGGCGAAACCGTCGCAAATCCGGGAACTGATTTTGTCGCATTTGGCGAAACTCCCCCGCACCGCGGTGGCCGATCTGTTCACCACCACCCCTCTGGCGAGCTACCAGGCGGTGGTCGCACCCTTGGAGGTGTTCCGCTTGACCTTGCTGAACACGACCACGAGCGATCTAGCGCCAGCAGACTTGGTCGAGCAGGTCGGGAAAGAGGAGAGGAGCTTCAAGGCGCCCCGCTTGCAGCAGGCGCAGCGGTTTCTGGAGCACCTCATCTCCCAGGAAAACGTGCAGGATCGCGATTTGAGCACGGCCCTGGCGGTGTTGTACGCGCACAGACAGTCGAGCGAAGGACAACATCAATTACCGCAGCAACAAGGCTCGTCCACGTCTGCGCTGTCCGCCATGACGCGTGCGGCGTCTTCCACGTCTTCCCTGCACGGCCGCGGACAGCTCGCGCAGTTTCTCGATCAAGCCTCGACGATCGTGAACATAGACCGAATTTTACTCACGCTGAACAACGACCCGACCAACACGTTCGACTGGGAAAGGTGTTTGCTGTTTCGCAAGCAGGGCCGCCACGCGGAGGCGTTGAAGATCCTCTGCGGGGGTCGCCTCGGGGGTTTGCAGCAGGCGGAGCTCTACTGTCTCGGGGCGGTCGGGCTGACGTCAGACGCGGAGAATATTAGAAGTTCATCGGGAAATAACAGCTATCAAATGCAAAATGTCTGGGGCTGGAAACTTGTGATGCAAGACAGTCAATAACAAATGCACTGTAATGTGCCGCCAAGCAAGACAAGTTTTTTCGTGCTTCTGTGCTACGTATTTTGCATGAGAAACTGTGTTTTTGCATGAAAGGCGAGAGAGGCTGTTTGTGGCCACGCAATACAGATTTAAGGGCCTTGCCAGATCAGCATGACAAGTCTCACCATCTTCCAGACCCAGACATTTTTGCAGGTGATAACAGCACTAGCTCCGCGATTGAGACGCGGGACCTGGTCTTAAGCAACAGCAACACGTCCAGCAGCGAAATCCTGCAGTCGTTCGAAAAACAGCCCCGGAGTATCACGACGCAACTCTTGCCGCAAGCGAGCGCCGAATTGCAGTTCGACACCGGAAAACGGCTGAACGAGGTCTTGAGTCGGGAGGCAAAGACAAGTCGCGCTTCCGACTCGGTATTTCAGATCTGTTTCGAGGTGCTGCTCGAGTCCGAGAACAAGGTGCCTTTCCCGAAGATCCTGGCCTTCTGCAACCGATACTACGAGTTTCTGGACGCGGAGCGGGTGATCGACCAACTGCCAGACGAGGTACCCGTGAATCTGTTGGAGGAATTTCTGCGGAAAAGCGTGCTGCAGATGATGCACACGCAACGCCAGCAACAGGTGGAGGAGAAGCTCTCGGCGGCGGCGTACCAAAAAACGTACCGGGACTGGTACCAGACCCGCCAAGTCTGTGTCCACCTGACCAGCGAGCGGTGCTGCCCCATTTGTCACCGCCGCGTGGGCGACAAGGCCTTTGCCGCCTCCTACAACGATCTCAAAGTGTACCACATTCACTGTCTGCAAGGAAAAAAATCGCTTGACTGAGAAGTTCCAAATTAAGTATGAGCCGAAACGACTAGTGCGAAAAAGTCTGCGAGTTGCCAGCACTTGCGTCTGTTTACTGTAGTGCTCCCCGAAGATGTTGTTCGAGGAACGCGGAATTATTTGAAGAAGATCTAGTACACTAACATGCCAAGTAGAAACCGTTAGAAACGGAGAAGCACAGAGCGGATCTATTTCGAAGAACTTCTTCTAGCAATTCTACTGCTGATGGATCCAACCCGCGTTCTTGACGACTGTCTGTCCTCTTGAAAGCACTACCACGAGGATCCTTGACACCACTCAACAGCGATCTCTGTGATTCTCCTGAAGACGTTCTTCTTGCCAATCTACGAAGGAGCCTACACCCTGACGTAAGTAGTACACTCCTGCATGTTGCTGGAAGATCTCACCTATTCTTTTTTCCTGACAAGGATCTCGTCTTGACCGCTCCAGGGATTACGCATATCGTGGCAAAACGACCGGATGCGATAAGAAAGCAATGGTAATTCAAATTCATAAGAAAGTACCTTTTTCAGGAACATGTGGAACGGCTGTAGTGTGGCAGTCATGAATTGTTTTTTTTTTTGTAGAATTTGTTTACCGGGTGCATAAAATCGCATTGTTCTCATTTGTTTGCGAGAAGATCCTTTTTCTATAGTTGTGCGCAAGTAGCACCATCCATATACAGCTTTTTTGCTGCAAAGGTTTTCTCCGAGGACGTCACGAACACATACAACATTCATCATGTATGAGTAACATGTTTTGAAAGAAAAAACACCATAATTGTTTTGTCGGAAGTTTATTTTCTGAACACAGAAAAATCGTGTCCTGCTCCTGATCTGTCAATCTCTGTTGTAGCGAGAAGCGGCACAGAGACCACTGTGAAGCGGCGGCCGCGCAGTTGTGGCACTGAAAGGAGTATACAACCTCCCAGCTGCTTCTGAAGATTCATTTAGAAATGTGCAAAGGCACGGGCATCCACAGGTTTATTCACTGTCTGCCTGATACCTTGCTCCACCTTCAACACTTATAATTTTCCGCGAAACACTATTAATTACCCAAAAGAAGTGGTTTTTCCATGGCGACGCAGAGGACGAGGCGATTTTCCCGAACACGTAAATTATAGTATATGAAAGCCCTCTGATGAATCTGAAAAATTGCTAGTTTGAGAAACGAAAAGTTCTCGTGCTTATGAAGAAACGGGGTGAAGTTTGTCGAAGATAAATCGGAGGTTTCATCATTACATGAACGCCTTCGAGCTGTACAATCTCTTTTGTTTTGACGAAAATAAAAAGACAAATTTCAACCTTCTTCACTAACACAAACAGCTCATCCACTGATTGTTGATAGACCCTGTCTGCCGAACCGTAAGGACGTCGTCCGTTGGATCTCTACAACACACCTCGCACTGGGACGAACGTACATAGAAAAGTACAAATAGAACATACATTTAATATCAATAGTCCTGACTAGGGGAAGTAGATTGATGGTCACCTGAATCCGAAAGACGAAGCGAGCTTGCATTTGCATTCTCATAGTTTTAGACTACTACGTTTGTGCCAAGAAGGTGATGCGATAACAACGCTTGAGATCTGTATTTCTGCAAAAATTCCGTGTGCACCAAAGCATGCGTTGTAAGAAATGCTACTACTTGTTTCGCACCTGTAGCCTAAAGTACTATTCGAGAAGTTGAAAATAGCCTAGTTTTGAAAGTTTTGGCCACGAAACGAAATTTGTGAATATTTATACCGCTAAGGAGCTCTTTGATTCTCTCTCTTCGCGTATAAGATTGCCGGCAAAGCAGCTGAGGACCCACTGTGTATCGCGCCTCATAACGACAGCGACACTTCAAAATTATCTCCGGAGAAAGTAGAGCTTCGACGGTCTGTAAAAATCTATAATGAAGATTTTTAACTTTCGATCGTGGGCGGCATCCGCGGTTTTTCTGTTTCTGTTCCAGGGGAGCTTTGAGGGGAAAAATGCAATCTCCCTGCAGGGTGGCCATGGGAAAGCGAACCAGACCGGCGCAGGAAACAAGGCAAGTGCGGGCAGCAGTTCCTCCGCCTCTGCAGCGAGTCCGAAGGCTGCACCAGCGAAACGAAAAAGAGAAACCGCGAAAGCGAAAGCAGGGGCTGCTAGTAACAGCACAACCTCGACCTCGGGAGCAGCTTCGTCCGCGGCCGCAGGTTCGTCAAATAAGTCGCCTGGTGCAAAACCAGCCCGCAACAGTACTGCCACCGCGAAAAGTCGAGCTGGTCCAGCGAGGAAGACGTATCCTGAGGTGCCTTTAGCAAAAACCCGAGCTGCTAGTAGTGGGGCAGCCGACCCCGCAGTAGTATCAGCGAATCTGGTATCGGAACCTGCAAAAAAGCGTGTGAACATCACAGGTGCTAGTGGAACCGCGCCGGCCCTGCCTGCCATACCAAAAGCGCTTGTGGGAGCAGTATACGATGCAGCCTCCGCCGCGTATCCGAATGGTACAGCTGCAGCTTCGGCCCGACCGAGCGCGCTCCTTGCACGCAGTGGAGGCGCAGGATCTACTCCAACATCGTCGGGGGTTGCGGCAGGCACGGTGTCGGTAAGGGAAATGCGAGACGCGACGGGAAAAACGATTGCAACCGTGGTTACGCCGCAGAATGCGACGTCGCCGGCCAGCGCCGCAACCGCAAAGCCCGCTACCTCGTTGCAGGTGCAGTTGCAACTGCAACCTGCGGCTGTGACAACAGGAGCCGCCTCCTCTGCATTGAACCTTGGTGCAACGAGCCGGACAGCCGCGGAGCCTGTGTTTAAAGAGGCTGCATCAAGCACCAGGGTGGTCGCAGCTCCGGCAGGTAGTACCTCTCCCGGGGGGCCGCGTGGCGGAGCTATCGCTGGAGTAGCAAGTGCAGCTCGGGTTGTTGTTTCCGCGGTACCGGCTTCTGCCGGGCTAGCGGTCGAGAGTCTCCCCGCACGAGGTACTCTCTTGGCGGAGGTCGGCAGTCTCCCCGCTAATCTTGGCGGAGGAGCGGCAAGTGCAGGCTGCGCGGTGCACGGTTTGTCTTCAAGCGTAGGAACACCGGTTGTAGTCAATGGACCAGGTCGCGGCGGCCACGGCGCTTCTCCGGCAACAGGAACCGCGACAGCACCCGGAGTAGAATACGGAGGTGCTAGTGGAGCTGTGAGTGTGACTAGACCTCCAGGCCGGCAACTAAAGTTGACGCACACGGATCAGGGGCAGGGGGCGACGGCCAGCACGGCGTTCGGCGAGGAGTACACGCAGGGCGTGGGCGCAACCGCCGCGGGAACCTGGGCGGAGGGGTTTGGCTGTGGGAGTCCGGGGGCCACGGACGGCGACGTCGCAGCAGGAGGACTAGCTCCCAACTACGAGCAGGGGGCAGCTTCAAACTCAGCGGGGGGAGAACTCCTGCTGCAGCACGCCGCACTAGACGCTGGTGAAGAGGAGGAGCGCGACGAAGCCTGCAGGCCGCAACCACGAGATGAAGCCGCAACTGTACTAACACCTGTAGCAACTACAACGCATCACCTCCGACAGCGCTTCCGGGTGTGGCGGGGCGCGACGCACGTTCACTTGGCCTCGCGAGCGAAGGATCGTGAAAATAATCGCAAGAACAACGAGGTCAAAACGCGGAATGCGCAGGCGACCAAGTTTCTGATCAAAGGGAGCAGGAACGCGTTGCTCTGTCCGCTGCACTACCGACGCAAAAAATTCTTGCAGAAGCTGCGAGAAAAGAGCGTCTTCCTACGGCAGGACGGCCTGGACGATGGCCTGCCCTCGCTCGCCGAGCTTCCCACGCAGCTGTCTTTGTTCACCTCGTGCAACGAGGAGCAGAGGAAGAATGTGCACTGTTTCGACGGCCGCTACACGTACGGCGTGGCCATCGACAGCGGGAACTTTGGGCAGGTGTTTAGCGCCTTTGACAACCACCGTAAACAGAAGGTCGCCATCAAGCAAGAGCGCCTTTGCGTGCCGCCGCACCGCCAGCAGCTGGAGGCGGAAAAGCGAGTGTACCAAGAACTGCACAAACCAGCCTCCCCTTTCGGCACGGAGGATCCACTCGCGGACCCCAGCAGCACCTCGCCGAGATTCGCAGTTGATAGTTCATCATCAGGAGAGTCTCGGCAGTATTCGAAGGAAAGTGCGGCATGCGCCTCAGGCTGCGCGTCGTCAGGAAGTGGAACCACCACTTTGCCCCCCAATAAGCGCAGCAGGGGCTCCTGCGGTCCGCCGTCTGCCTCGCTCTGCATGCACGCCGAACTCGGGTCAATTCCAGCTTCGTGGAAGACGCACAAAATCACCGACCAAACAGCCGCTACATTCTGTAGTCCTCTGGAAGCCTTGGACGCGACCGCCAGTGAGGTTCTGGCGCAGCGAAAACTGCTTTTGGAAGCGAAGAGATCGCAGGGAGAGATCGAGGCGGCGATCCAAACTGCTGCAGCGGCCTCTCAGACGGAGGTGAGGCGGGAAAAAGTGGAACTGAAGCCAGGCGGGAGCGCCGATAAAGTCGCGTCACAACCTCCAGGCAAGACTCGCTCGTCAGAAATAGTTTCTGCGCCTCAAGAAAAGGGTGACCAGGTGGCTCTGGACAGGCCGCCAGAAAGTGCGATTACCGTCCAAACCCGTCCGTGTAGGAGTTTCTCGACTCAGCAAGATGTTGTAGCAGGAGCGCCGCCGGTTGAGCACGCGTTTAAGGAGGATGTTTTTTGTATCCTGGACTCCGAAGACGAGGCCGAAAAGTCGCACGAGCTAACTTTTTCGCCTGTCGACGAGTGCGCCGACTATCGAAAAGTCACGCTGAACAACCGCACTGCGGCGAATAGTACCTCGACGGTAATGCAAAGAACCCGTTTCCACCAGATTCTCAAAACCGGTATTGGTATGCTGCAATTCATCGGCAACCGAGCAGGCTGCTTTATGGGACGGAAAGCAAATCGCGGCCCGAAACCCCCACCGCTGTACCAGCGCGACGGATCGGGTGCCGCGCACCAAGGCATCTTGCCGTGCGAGCAATTCGGGGTCGAGCACCCGAACGATCGGGAGAACGGCTTTCGTGCGTTGGTCCTGCAGAGCGGTGGACTCAGCATGGAGAAACTGCTGCACGCTCCCTGCGAGAAGTCGCACCGCAACTGGGACGCGGCCACAACGGCAAAGATCGGCTTGGAGCTGGTGGATCGCCTGGAATACATGCACTCCAAGGGCTTCATCCATCGCGATGTGAAGCCGGAGAACTTCTTGGTGGACGAAAAGCGTGCCTTTCTGTGGCAGAGGGCCTACCAGTTGCAATCCGAGAGGCTGTACGAAGACTTTCGTCTAAAGGAGGCGGCCATCCACGCGACCTACCGGGGTAGCCCAATGGTCGCTCGTCGCGGAGATCGCCACGCACGTCATCATGACCCCCCTGGCGAGATGAGAGCGCAGGCAGGAAAACCGCCTATACTTCGCGTTCGACGTAGAACGAAAAGCAGAAGAGCAGTATCGAGCGGCGCGACGACCGTGGTTCAGGATAGATCTGCTCCCGGTCTTGATGAGACACCGGTCTGTGCGCCGCCGCGCAAGCAGGCCAGCGTTCGGCGATTTCTGAAAGGGCGATCTCTTTCCGCATCGTCCGCGGCGTACCGACGGCGCCTCGATCAAGCCCTGCGAGAACTGGAGGACCTGCTGAAGCACGAGACCAACGCGCTCCACTTCTGCTGTCCGGCCATTATTTCCGCGGTTGATTTCGGACTGTCCAAGACGTTTTTCTGCCGTGCTGACAAGGCCCCACAAGCAGGAGGAGGTGCAGTAGCTGCTGCCAGTGGTACGTTTGCGACAAGCGGCACTGTGAGTACCGAAGGGCCCCCTACTTGCGCCTCGGGTGTAGTGAATTCTACGGAGGCACCAGGAGGACGAGGAGGCCCAGAAGAAGAAGCTGCGCATCCTGGACAAGAGCCGACCAAGGGACAAGGTGACGACCAATTACGACTACGACCCGCTGGCTTTGAGACCAGGAAGCGCATCGGCCTGCGCTCCGCGGACCACCCGGCGGAACAGGTACTAGATGTGGGCTCGGGGGAGGAAGTAGAAACGGAGCAGCGCCTCCCGTTGCACGCGAACGATCTGCAGGTCGAGATATTAGACCTGGAAGACGGGGTAGAGGACGACAAAGAGGACAAGAAAAATAATAAGTGCGACACCTGTTATTCCACAACTGTGCCGGCAACGACTGCAGGCTGGGCACGCATGGACACGAGTACGCCAAATAGCCCTGGATGCAGTGCCGATTGCTTCGGCGGCGGCCGGGGGCCGGGCCTGAGTAGTCCGGCCCCGGCGTCGCTTCCCGGGCTGGACGAAGAGCAGCCGCCGACCGCGTTTCCGTGGAGCAGGCAGGTGGCTCAGGACAATGGTTTGAGCTTGTTGCCGTTAAGAAACACGACTTCGGCGGACCACAACGATACCATTAGCTTGACTAATAACACGACAAGTGCGGAGCGAGGAGGACACGGGCAGCAACAGCTCATGCATGCTGGCGGTCCCGACTCACCAAAAGCCGCTGGCTTAGGTGGTCTTTCTCGGCGCCAACCCCGTTTGCCTGATCTGCAAAAGGACTGCGTAGAAGTAGCGGCTCCCACCGGGCGGGGAGAGCGTTTTTGCACGCCAGCGGGAGGCAGTGGCGCACAGTTAATATCAGAGAAAATGGTACCGAAAGACCGGCAGAGTGTTCCTCGAGTGCTTAATGCACTACGCGTACGCACCGAAGAAGATGCTCCGGGTATAATTAACAAGGCCATACTGGACGGGGTGGATCCTTCTAAAGATTGCGCTCGAGCAGGAGACCACCTCCGACCGCAGTTCCATGCCCCAAAGCTGAAGCACATTCCGTACACTTCGGGCAACATGTTTGTCGGTACGCGTCGGTACGCGTCGCTTAACGCGATGAAGGGCGCGGAGCACAGCCGCCGGGACGACCTGGAGGCCATGGTGTACGTTTTGCTCCGGTTTCTGAAGGGCGGCCTGCCGTGGCTGCACCTGCCGAACCCGCCCAAGCCCACGGAGGACGAGCTCGCGCGCATGCGCGCGGAGATCCGCGAGAGCCTCGGGACAAGCGCGAGTCAGGAGGACTTGCAAAATGCGCTCGAGTGCAAGCTCCGAAAGCGCCGAGACTGGATCGCGGGGAACCAAATCCGCGACAGTAAAGACCGCCACACCGCGGAACAGATCGTCGGAAATGTGCCCTACGCACAGAACTGGGTGCAGCTTCTATCGCACGCAGAAATCATTTTCCTCTCACACGACCCAAGGCAGTGAAGTTGTTGTCATGTTTGCGCATTGCTATTGCAGCACAAGATGAAAACATCATTTTTATGCTCGGAATTGTTCATCGGCCTGAAATAAATTCCGTCGCGCCTCAAGTTGGATGTGTTTCAGTACGTATTTTTTACCAGGGTTATGCTGATCAAGAAGTTAGTTGTGGAAACTCGCAACTTATGACACCAACGGGCTGTTTTAAGCAAAACTATACTTCTAGTCAGTGAGCATTCCTTCGGTTTCAACACAAAGTCGCTCTTCAGAAGGTGGTGTGAGGGCGAGATTGCTGCTCTCCTATAGCGTCTAAGGTACACACGACAGCTGAAGTTCGACCAGAAGCCTGACTACGCGTGGATCCGCAAAATGCTGTTAGATATCTTTTACCGCGAAACAGCACCTCTGTGCCGGTTGCGAGCTGCGCAGGCACGGTGGGAGAGGAGTAGTGCAGGAGCAGTTGCGCCCGACGCAGCTGCAGCAGCGCGGGAGGTCGTCGCCCAGGCCGTAGATAAGACTAAAGATGACATCAACAGGCTCTCGCCTCCGGTGTTGGATGGTAAGTTCCCGACACCACCTCCTCCTCCCGGCCCCATTCTACCGCTGACGAGAAGTACTTCGAACGAAAGCTCCTCCTCGTCACGCACGGCTTCCCTTTGTGGCTCTCCTGTATCCTCCGCTTCGTCCTCTGCTTCCGGGAACAATAAAACACCGGTGTCGTCGAGAATAGCGCCGCCCTTCACTTTTTCGTGGCAGAAGTACCACCCGGAGGCGGACGTATCCTGAGTAAAAACGTACCCACACCAGAGTCAGGATGAGGATTTTGCAACACAAACCTAGGAGTTTTGTGAGTCACGCATGACAAGTTGCGCTCTGCAGTGTAGTGCAGGTTAGCAAGTGCAGCCGCATCACAGATTCATCTGCTCATCCTGTTCACAGCATCACAAATTCCCAAACACGACTGGAAATGGCTTTCATGGGGATGCGCATTACGAGTCTTCCTGTCTTTGCAAATCTGCATTACAACTCTGGTGTGGGTACGTTTTTACTCAGGATAGGACGGGAGCGATCCTTACTGGGAGGATTGCGACGCCCGGACGAAGCTGCAGCACCTCGCCTGCTACCAGAAATGGCTGGCGAACAGCCAGCGGGAGGCGGACCGGTTATCAAATGTAAAAATGTCTGGGTCTGGAAGAATGCAACTTGTGATGCTGCATATGGATTCCAAAAAAATCTGTATTGCATGAGTACCAAAGGGAATGTAATTTTTGCTACGCGGAGAGGGCATTTGTCATGCGGAATAGGCATCAAGAAGCTCTCAAAAAATCTGTGATGCTAGGGCATGCATCACAGACATCAGGGGTAATGCAAAACGCGCATGACAAGTGTCAGAATCTTCCAGACCCGGACATTTTTACATTTGATACCGGTGGTTGAAGCACAATTCTCTGTCCCGGTGTATCCTCCATATTGAGCAGGCCAAGGTAGCGGTATCAGCGGACACGAGCATCCAAAATAATTCCGGCGGTTCCTGCGCAGATGACGGCGGGCATAGAAGAGCGCAAGCGAGAGGAGGTAGTTCCGCCGTTGGCCAGTCGAGGCCGCATCAACCACAGAGTTTTATAACTCCTGTTGGGCGGTCGGAAGACCCGCGCAACGAACTTGCAGTGCGGCAGGGGACAGCCACGAACTTGGACGAAATAGGGCTTCAAGTTGTCGGGAGGGCGACATAGTAAGTAGCCCGTACGACGTCCTCAGTGTAGAGGAGCACGCAACTTGCGAAACAACAGAGATTGTCGCGGAATAGGTCGTGCAGGAACGAAGGAAACGTGGGGAGTCCGCAAGAACCACGGAGGTTGCGCGGATGGTGCTAATCGTATATTTCTGACGTAGTCATGTTTTCGAGCGAAGTTTTCCCATCTTTGAATGGGTCGAGGCTCTCGAATCAACAGTTTTTGGAACCGATGAAGTGACGATGTGCATCTGCCACTGTTTTGAAGGCTCTCGTCCCTCTTTCCTGTTTTGGAGTCCGTCAACTGAAGCTTCTACCTCATTATCATAACAAGCCATTTTACTTTTTTTTTTCTGGCGGCAAGAATTCTGAGCAGGCGCCTCGGTGGCCGTCGTATTTGACGTAAAAATCTTCTTTTTCTCTTTTTTTACAAATCAAGCGCTTGTTTAGGGCTTTCTCACATTTAAGTTCGATAGATTCTTCTACATCATCATCGTCTACTACCACTTCTTAAAAGACAATAATCATCAATCAATCGCTAGAAAACTTTACCACCTGTTCATCGCTGACGCCGATCGTGTGTATTCTGAGAACTTTCAGCCCGGCCGCACCACAAAAAAGGATAATTTCGTAAAAAAAAATGAACTGAACTCCACCGGGGTGAATTGTGGAGGAACCAGCTTTTATTTTCTTGTAAGATCTTCCTTCTGCGAGTGGTATCGCACTAATGAAAAAATTGGTGAGCAAATACTCACCGTGAATAGTTTATCAAAGAATACTGGTGTACAAGTCATTCTTTTTGAAATGAATCATCTGCAACTGCATTTCTCAAGAAGAAGTATAGCGAGGTGGGTTGTAAACATAAAGGGAAATGTGGTTGTCGTGTCTATTTTCCTGTTTAGAACGCACCCTATAAACGCTCGCAGGAGTATCGGACAGGATTTGCAAGCACTTGGTACAGCATCAGACCGGGAGAAAGAATCCCGTCTGTTCGATCAGCGCGCGACCAAGGAGCACTACGTACGATGGACAAGCAAGACATCATTGATACGTAGGCTCTAGAACTGACCAGGAACATTGTACATGTAAATTTGCGGGCGGCAACAATCTTTTTCTGAAGCAAGCATGAGCGGAGAGAAAAAGTAATTACTCGGCAATGAATGCCAAGGACGATGCGCACGTTGCTGGCAGCGAAGTCGATAGCTTTAGCATACCATAGTGCTCGAAACAGGAGCAGAATAGGTGAAGGGGTCTGAAGATCGCAAGCGGCGTACAAATACTTACTTTGACCCGTATAAACGAGGCGCTTCTTTCGAGTGTTATCTACATGAAAACCAAAAGCATGCAACCATACACAGCTAGTAGCGCAGTGAGGACCTGTAATTGCAATAGTTTATTCATCAACGATCCGGTGTTCTGTTCAAGCAGGTACCTAGCTTTCCCCAGCTTCGCTGTGAACCTTGAAGATCCTTTGGAGTCGAAGCACGGGACTTTTTGCACTCTGTATTGTTTGACTTTGTCGGCTTGAAACAGCGATTTATTCAGGATCTGCGATTTTTGTAAGAGGGCATCTCAGGTTGCGACGGCCTACTTTCTGTTTTTGTACTTCTCTCTCTGTCTGTGGCGTATCGCACCTGTGCCGATATGCAGCCCCGTTTTGCGCCTTGAGAACATGATCATGCCGGGGGAAGATATGCAGGCGAGTCACAACCACGGGCCTGCCGTGTGGAACGGTAGATGCAAAGTTTTGGTTGGCTTTCTTGCCCGTGGCTTCTTGCTGGGAAGCTTCTGCAAGTGCACATTTTCCACAACTTGTGTCAGCGCTTCGGCAGGCAATTTTCAGGACGATCTCGCCGCGCAGATGACTGCTGCTGCCAAACAGTTACGGGCCCGTGCGTACGAAGCAAACACCTGTGTGGTGCCCTCCCTGTCGAGTGTGCAGTCGTTGCTGCATTCCTTTCTGGAGCCAAACAGTCTGCCGCCCTCGCGGTCGGACATCTTTGCGCATTTGCTCGAACGGGGTTTGCCGAAGATGAAAACAGCAAAGCGAGCTGCTCTTGAATCTCCGCGTGACCCCACTAGTTTTCCCGCCGCTCTTTCGCCTCGTAATGCGCAAAGCCGCGGTAGTCAACCTGATCCTGCCTTTGACAGATCGCCGTCAGGCGACGAGGAGAGACTACACCATCGTGCGAGACATGTCAGTCCTGAGGCAGGCGATGCGCGAGTGGAAGAAGGGACCGGAAGAAATGGCGACTGGCCGGAAAGAATGACCGCGGCGACGCAGACGGAACGAAGCATGCTTTCTGAGGGTGCCACTGCCAGTTTGTCTGCCTCCAGAAGTGCGGGGCGTGGTGTTGTACGAGAAGACCATTCTTCGGAAGTAGACCGCCAGACGACTGAGCGTGGAGACCTCCACAGAGGCGAGCCACAGAGTGGTACACGCGTAGTTGCAGAGCGTGGTCGCAAAGAGCGGTCGCGTGCCCCCTCCCCCAGCCTAGAACGCATTCTGGAAGTCAAGCGCAGACGCGTTTCCGAGAGTAACGTGCAGCGGTTTCTTCACGGGGATCCCAACAGCAAGGTTGCCGTGCTGAGCCCAGATGAGGCACCGAGAGAGGAAGAAAGGAAAAGTTGTGTCAAGCGCAAGCGCGGTTCTTCGCGTTGCCGGGTGAGGAGGCAGGCTTCTTCTCCAACCGCAGGCCGTCGTGGGACTGCAGATCATGCGCCAGCCCGTCGTCGCCCGTCAACTCAGCCTAGTGACGCTGTTGCGGCACCACGTCAAGCACCTGCAACGCGCCCGCCATCGGAGCTGCTTTGGTCCACGAAACCTCCGCGAACCAAGATTTTCTTTCTGAAGAAGTTCCGCATTTTTTCGCAGGAAGTGTACCATTCCTCCCATCTGGACCTGCTCATGAGTGATTTCGATTCCGTTTTTGTGCAACGGGAGTACCGGCTCCCGGAACAGGACGAAGGTCGTTTCTCTGACTTTACCGTTTTTCTTATTGTGAGGAATAATCCCCCCTCCCCATACCAAACCGGGACACTTCTGAAAATTTGTGATGCAGATTTGAGACCACATGGCATTGCATGAAGGCAAGTCTACAGGCTCCGCCACATTCTACAGGCGGCTTGTCATGCTGTTGCTCCTACAGCGTAGACGTCTGCCATGCTAAGCGCCTAGGCCAAAACTTGTCTACTCAGGCCTGATATGGGCCTGCAGTCCTCGCCAGCAAGACAAATCTGATTTGTGACCTCAGATACAGCATCAACCTCCCCTAAGTGTGATCATTTCCGCCTCCCCTAAGTGTGATCATTTCCGCCTCCCCTAAGTGTGATCATTTCCGCCTCACGCCGGCGGTCGACTGTCGGCTATCTGGCTCCCCCAGCTCATGATTGCGGCGTTGGCTGGTGATGACGAGGTTGCGGACAGTTGACTTGTCATCTGTCTGGTTCGCTCACTTTGCTGCCACGACTGTTTGGTCCCCGGCCCCCTGAGGCGGGGGGATACGGGTTACCTGGTCGGGATGTCGCGCGGAAGGTGTCTCTCACGTCCCTAGCTCTTCGTACTCGCCGCTGAGTACAGTCGTGCTCCTTGGTTGATCGCCACACTGTTTCATAGTGCTGAAACGACCCGGCTTTCACTAGGGGGAGCATTCGTACATTTTGTGCCCTCCGGGACTATGCCTCTGCTTCCGTCTAAACTGAGGGGTCCACTTATCCCTCTCGGTATTCGGTCGCAGGGAAGGGTTGCCGGGGTCTCCCTCGCATCGGTTCTCGATGTCGGGTGTGAGTTTGTGACTGCGGGGGCAGTGGTTGGCTTAGGTTTGTGGAGTACTTCTGAAAAGAGGCTCCCATTCCTTCTTCCAGGCAGTGATCCTAGATCGCTGCCACGCGGAGCCACCCCCGTATTTCACCCCCAGGGGGTTGTGGACCTGGCAAAACCGATGAGTTCGGGCTGCTGACTGTTCCACCTCCCCTAAGTGTGATCATTTCCGCCTCACGCCTCAAATACAGCATCACAAATTTCGTTTTCGATATGGGGAGGGGGGATTTTTCCTTTCGATATTTCTCTCCGTGCCTGCGCCGGCAGGAAGACCTTCTGCAGAGATGAAAGAAAAGGAATTGTGGCTGCGAGACGAGGCGGAGTGCAGGGCGTTCGTTCGGGGCGAAAACGTTTTGTCAAGAAGATCAAGTTCTTCATCCACCAGCTCTTCTTGCGAGGCGGAAGCAACCTCGTCTCACGAAGGCGATGAGAGTCCTTTTTGCAATGTTTCAACGCCGCAATCTTCCTCCTACGCGACGTCTTCTACGGTCAGAACATTGGAGGACTTTCCGCAGGGCCGGGCTAGCACCAGCTCCTCGACGTCCTCCGCGGGTCTCTCCTCCCCTCCAGCGGTGAGAAGTCTGCCAAGCCTCTCTCTCGACCCCCCGAGACCAGGGGGCCGCTCGTGTTTTCTTCACGGAGAAGATCTTCATGTCGCCTCGATAGATCTGGAGCAAGGCTGCTTTCTCAGAAGTGGTAGCAGCTCAACTGCGAGTTCGCCCTCCGTGGCTTCCCCGCCGGCCTCCTCGACCACGGGAAAGTTCCTCGTGGTCGGAGGAGACCAAGGGAGAACCGCAGCACGAGCATCAAATGATCCGTGGGAAGATACAAGAGTAGCAGTGGCAGATGACAGAGCGGTAGCCGAACTTGCACCACTCGAGGATTTTTTGCCCAGAGCTGCATCTTCCTCCGGTCAGCAACAACATGGCGGTTTCAACATTTTTGATGTAGTACTTCGGCCAAGTTTGGTTATCTCTACTTCGACGTCGACCCCATTAGAGCAGCAGGCCCTGTTGATGTCCTCTCCGTCCTCCCTCTCGGGCGTGTCGAGTACCGGGCGCAGCTCTTCCTCTCTTCCCTCATTGGTCACGTCCCCGTCTGGCGTGCAAGATCGGAATGGCGTTTCGGGCGCGGCAGTGCCGCTGAGGCGGTCAGGCATTTTGTCTATGGGACGAGCGGGCACAAGAACTACTCGCCCAGCTTCGAGTTCATCGTCGGCACGAAGAAGCAGTGCGGACGTCGCGGCTAACGCTGGTAGTTTTCCACTAGACGAAGACCAGCGCGCTGGGGCACAAGACGACTCTACTAGGGGGCGTTCACGTCGTCCTGCTTGGGAGTTCGAGCTTGGGGATCATGAAGTAGAGAGTGAGGCTGCTGGTTCAGTGGTGGTCGACGAACGCGGGTGCAAGAAATCTCGCAAGAAAAAAGCAAGTGCGAGGAGCAGTCAAACGGACTCTCCCAAGGCCATTGACCGCGTTTTCGAGCAGCATAGCACCGCCATGATTTTCTACGACAAGGATTTGGCACACGGGTTCCGGGGGCGTGTATCGGATTTGGACCTAGATCGAGGCTTCTTTCGCGTCATTTTGTCTCAGAAGGAAGCGAGTTTTACTTTGCAGCAAGCATGTTTAACGTCGAAAGCCCGAGCAAGTCAACAATCTAAGAATCAACGCAACGACACGAAAGTTGAGAATGCGGGTAATGCACACAATCCAAATTATCCTGTTGACGAAGACGATGACGATCAGCACCATTCCATCTGCGGCAGTGTTGAATTATGCAGCCACCATAAGTTGAAAACGGTCCCAGGAACAAAGAGTGACGGCGACGGCACCTTCGGGACTTCGGCGGGGACCAACAACAAGAGCACGGGCACTATTTCAATGCACTGGGAGATCGATTTTCACTTGCACGAGCATGCAGTTTACGTGGTCCGCCATACCACGGTGGCCAGCTCCGAGCTCGAACGGATCGTAGCTGAGCAGCCGGGTGGGGAAGACACGACCGAGTTTTTGGCATAGGTTAAGGTTTTGAACAAGAAGATCACCTTCTTGGTGGTGTGTAGATCAGAACAAGCTACTCCAGCAGCAGCGTTCCGCTCTTCATCTTGAAGCCGAGTCCTAAAAATTCTCAAGAATACAGCTGCGCAAAATTTATTTTTTGGAATTCTGACCGCTTTAGAAAGGGATCTGCGAAACCACGACGTTTCATCTTCAGCACCCGAAGTTGTGGAGTTTCTGCTCATGAGCTGGGAAAGTATTGAGAGTACACAATTCGACGGAAGTACTTACACCCTCACGTCGGCGCAAGGCTGCGCCTGGAGTGTTCTACTGCGGTCGAGCTTTTGCTGTCGACGGGAAAGAAGAAGAAGAAGTCACAAGATGATCAACATACAGCTCCGCTGGCCTTTGCCTTTGGCCTTTTCGACTTTATGTTTTGGTTACGTATAATCTTGTCGGCTTCGTGCCGTGCATTTCTGCGCATATGGATTTGAAAAATACACTGCTTAGCGAAATTTTTCGATCAGCGAGTAAATGTAGTCCAGAGTTTGTGGAGTGGAGAGGCAAAGAAGCCTTTTGTGTAGCTTGTGTTTTCGTTTTGATGTTTTTTGCAGTACCCTGACAAGTTGAAAAAGATGGACCAGCGGCAACCTTTAGGCGCCGAGGTTCGGATCACCACCGCCGACAAGGAGATACATGAGGGAGAGCTTTTTTGGTACATCTATGGATTTTCGTGCTAGAAAGGTAGTTGGAGTTATTTCACTGCAGATCGATGACTGTAATGCTGATTTCTGTAAAAAATCTATCATCTCCAAACACCAGGTACGACATAAAAGCTGGCGGGATGCTTTTGCAGAAAAAGATTCCTGGCACCAACACGGCGCACTTCACTTGGATTTCCGATGAATTTGTGACGAACGCCAAAGCGCTCAAGCGACCTCCAGAGAGTCCGCCCTCCCCACTGCCCGCGCTAGATTTTGACGCTCTTCGCGAGCGCCTCGAAGGAACGCTGGAATGGAATCGCGCTTCCTGTGTAGTCTCGCCCACAGCAGCGGCTGCCGCTCAGCGTGGGCCAGGAACCACTTCTTCTTCCAACAAGTAAGAGTAGCCTACTGTGTCGCTATCGGCAAAGACGATGTGGGGAAAAACTCCGCTTCAGCAGGAGCTGCCTCCGTCTCAGGACCTGCTTGTTTTCCTGTGATTCGCAAAGATATTTTCTTCTGAGTACGCAGCCCCAATTGACGATTGTATATTTCATTCTTGTGCCAGAAAGAACAGAAAGACTAAGACAAATATGACGATTCATGTCGCTGGGTAATCTTCTCCCTTCTAGGATGCTGATTCATGCGAGTTCAGCTCTGAGTTTCAGATTTTTGCTTGTCCATAGTGACCGGATTAAGTTTGGCATTGCTAGCTCCTGTAGGTTTTTGTCACGCATGGAACAGAGACGCACGCCATGCGCATCGGAAGGCCACACTTTTCAACGTGGACGTACTTATGATCTCGCCGAATCTTGTTGTTCGAAGAATTTTTTTTTCACGCCCCTGCAGCTGCAGGCAGCTGCGGAAGATCGCGATCCTATATCTATCATGAGACAGTCACAGTGGGGATAGCACTGGCGCTTTTATTGATCAATATCGTATTTATTGCAGAGTACTTCATAGTTTTGCTGTAACACACAATTGTCCACCAAGTGCTTGAGTAACTTTCCACACGAGCAGACGAGTTTTACTTGTCAACAGCACCACGTTCTCTTTATCTATTGAGAAAAGGCGCTGCCACTGGCGCTTTGGAAGTATTATTTCGACGAGCAAATGATGCTGAAGCAGTTCGAGGGCCGTTGGGAGGCCGTCGAGGAGTTGGAGGGGGATCCTTTGACATCCGCGTGGCATCAGTTTTGGGCCGACTGCGACCCCGATGAAGTCTGTGCGAAAATCACCAGCTCGTTTGAGTTTTCGATTGTAGAGGAAACCTCGACCACCACGACCGCAGCTGTGCCTGTTGAGACTAAAAATACAACTACTGGGGCGGAAAAATCGCAGCATGCAACTACGTGTCAGACCGTGCGGTTGCATTGCGATGAAGATAATGGTCAAGGGTCGACATTGGCCTCTTTCGCAGAGGTAGGAACGCACCCCGGGCTCGTTGACGGGCGGCGGGAAGCTGATGTGACGTTGACAGCCAGTACAGCCTCTACTTCCGTCTCCGCCGATCATCCGCCGCGATCGACACTGTTGGAGGAAGAGGATGATCATGCGAGTAGAGCCAGCGAGGCTGGCGGCAAAAGCGAACTCCTCGCGGCTGAGCTTCAACCCAAACAGGACGGAGCTCGCAGGAACGTGGATCCTGTCCTCGGCCAAACCCAAACTGCACTGTCCGAAGACGACGAGAGCAGCGAGGACGAAAACGCGGGCGAGTGGGCGCTGCTGGACATGGCGCTGGGTCACGGAAAGAACATGGCCACCACGGTTCCACCGGCGGTTGCCCAGTTAGTGCGCTTGCTGTGCAACACGTTGAAACCGGCAGAAAGAAATCCTGAGGCGGATGCGCTGTTGCGGACTGCGTGCGTTAAAAGTGAAATCAGTGTCACGACGCCTGAAGATCATTTGCAGGTAGGGCAAGGTAGCTCTGGTGTTGGGAACACGGGGCCAGGAAAGAGCCAAGTACCGCCGACGCAGATGAAAACGTTGCTGGGGGAGTGCAGCAAACAGCTTTGGTACCATGTTTTCTTCGCCACAGACGGGTGTTTGGTCCGCCTGCAGCCTCTTACCCGAGACGGAGTGCGCGGATTCTGGGTGCGGAAATTCCAGGTTCTGCCGGAAAATGGCAATCACATGGCGGTCCAGGAGTATGTGCTCAGTACGCGGGGAGAACCGTCGTGGTTCTTCGGAAAGGAGCGACAGGTCACGTACAAGCGAATCGGGTGAGAGGGGGCTGAAAACCAGATGTGTTGCGCTTGCGGTCTCTTCTTTTTCATGTTTGCACTCATGATAAGAACTGGCGCTCCTGGTCCTGGCATCTTTATCGCAAGAGCCTCGAAAAGATAAAGATCTACTTTGAGAAAAGAAGTACATAAGTGTGAAGAAACGGAGCAGTCTACGCAAAAGTATCGCGGCTTGTTCGTGTTCACGGGAAAAGATGAGTATGTCGCTTCGTATTTGTCGTTCTTGTCGATTCGCCATCGTGAAAGAGTCATTTTGTATCCACACCTATGCCAGTGTGTGTCGCATTTTACATCTTGCTGGGCTCGTAGTGCGACTGTCGTTTTTCGATGTCGGTCGTTTCATTGTTCAGCAAAAAAATGAAAAGCTTATTTCTTACCACACAGCGAAACTACTTCAAGCCTGTGTTGCACCGCGCCAGGTATTCTAGAAGGGAAAACAGCAAGATCATGTTACGAATGGACCAGTTGCTCGGCATAGCAGATCACTTTCCGTTTTCTGGTTTTCTGCACCCGCTTACGCCAGCGGCGCAACGCGCAGCAGCAGCCCAGGCAAGCGTGCCGCCCCTTTCCGGCCACAGCGATTGTGATCAGCCAGTCCCTGCCGGTTTAGCGCGCTGGCGATGGCACGGACGAACCGCTCACCACACGTCCTCCTTCTACATCACTCCGGCGGAATTGCGCGAGGCACTGGATAGCCTTGACGAGAAACTGGACGAGGTGCAAAAATTGAACACTGATTGCGCGAACCTGCATACAATGCAGAGCGGGGACTTTTACGCCAAAGTGCAGAAGGTAGTGGAAAACGCTGACACGGTAGAAAAAGGTGCGGAACTACTGAAAACAACCGTCAAGGAGGCGCCCGACAACACGGCGCAAATTGGCGTCGGGCTACAGGACGCAAGTGTAGATTGCACAGGCTTCTCGGACTGCTTTAAGAAGGCGCAGGATGCCTGGAAGGCCCTTATTACAGCAGTGGAGTCGTAGAGCGCTGATGTTGTGTGAAACCAAGAAGAAATGGATGCACCGGCGTCCATCGTGGCGCTTCCCTAGCGCCATTGCACAGTAGAAGTTGATGAATTCATGTTGCAGAGGATTTGTTTCAAAGTGTAAGATCAAAAACTATCTGTATCTGAGAAGTACATTGCAGCCAATCAAGACAACAAACAGTTGCAAACGATCTACATTTTTCATACCATGCGGCGTGAGGTTCTCTACTTGTTCAGTGAGTAGCGATTCGATTGTCCTTGTCGACGGACGTAGTTCATGTGTATCCACTGTGTCATTGAAAGATGAAGATCCCGAACAGTATTCCACTGTCGAACTTAGAGACACAAGCAGGACTGCTGCATAACAGCTCTGGACCGGAACTTCAAAGAATTTCGCTGGTGGAATTTGTCGTGCTGCTCCTTTTTCGATTTTTCGATAATCTTCAGGCTGCGATGAGTTTTGCTGGTGCCATTTTTTTTTTTTGTTTATGAGTGGTAGTTCAAGTTCTTATAAGTAGAAAGATCCTGGTCAAAGTCGCGTTTCTGTTTTCTGCTCTTTTCTTGGATCGATCGGTTTTTCGCCCAGTAGAGTAAGTTGCTTTATACTAGCATTTTGACCCACATCTCCAGTATTAATTTCAAATCTTCTTGTTTCACAACATGGCTAGATGATCCACGTGTAAAAAACGGCTTTCAATTACTTATTATGGCAATTTGGTAAAAAAGAAACTACAGAAAAAAACACAGACGCGCAAGATAGAGTGGAAAAATCTGGCACAGCTATCGCTATGGACCTGCTGGCAAAAGCGTTGTTGCGAGGTGGGGGGCCCGACTTTCGCGCTATAGCGGAGCAGGTACCCGTTGACCAGCTTAACGCCCCCTGCAAGAAACTCAAGGATGAAGCACCGTTGATTTTTGCCATCCAGAATCAAGATACCGATGCGGTCCTTGCGCTGGCGCACATGCCCGAAGTGGAGCTCACGGTCACGAGCGAGGAGGGAACCCCGGCCCTCCACGTTGCCATCGAAACGGGGTCCTTTCCGCTTTGCGAGGTCCTTTGCAGAGGTAATTTTGCAGTTTTGACAATGTAGAAGCAATACTGGTGGGTTCGGACAATATTGTTATTACTCTTACGATACTCATACTTGCTGTGCGTGAGTTTGCATATCTGCGGCATGGTCGTCCATGCAGAAACCGGAATGTCAAAGATCATCTATCATGTGTAAATTATCACAAAAATAAACAGCTTTCATGTTTCAGGGTTACATGCCTAGCGAATGGGAAACGTACATTCTCGCCGGCAAGCAAGAAGATCCGCGAATATTGCAGCTGCTTTTCGATGGACGAGACCCAAAAAACAGCACATTCGTCCACCCCTTGAACGGCCGCACGTTGCTGCACGAACTTGTGCTTGAAGGTACTGTCCTTCCAATGTAGTACTTCCTTGCATCTAGTATGTCGATAAGAAAAGTGGTTATAGTGATCTGGTTCTGCTGGTCCGTGACGTTGATTCAGTATATGCTTCGCGAAACCTCCAACACTCCAGGCGCGACGGGGGGCGCTATCGAAGTTTGTCTGCGCTACAACATCTGCAACGTGAATGAAGTGGATCCCGACACGGGGGACACCCCTCTGGTCGCGGCGGTCCGGCGAAAGCACAACCATCTGCTGACGACGCTGATCGAGGGAGGGGCCGATGTTTGCTTCGAGGACGAGAAAACGGGGTTCACAGCGTTGCACGTGGCGGTACTACTGGGCGCGTCCCAGAAGGTGCAAGAGTTGCTCAAGGACGCCAGCGAGATACGAAATAAACTGGGCCAAAAGCCACAGGATCTGCGAGCACAGCGCCTGCAAGAACTGGAAATGCAGGAGAAAGCGAAGGAACAGGTAGGTCAGTTGTGGTAGAGACAAAGATCAAGTAGTAGATTACAGTCTTTGGGAATGCACTGGGGTGAGCGTCTTGTTTCTGGGCACCTGTCGTATTGCTGCTGTTTCTGCGTTCTGGAAGGTTCACTGTCACGCTGCTGTTGTATCTGTGTAACAAACGAAATCTCAGGCAAAAATTGCGAAGAGTAAGGCGCGGCGAGACAAGCGCCACGAAGAGCAGGAAGCGACGTACGATGCTAGTGAGATCGCCGAGTTTCTCAAGAAATACGACATCACTGACGCCAGCGTGAGTATGCGATGTGAAAAAGCAAAAGTCTGCATTTGTACTTGCGGAAGAATTTTTGCATGAGAAAACAAAAGGGCGTGAACAGGCAAAAGTAGTTCTCGTTCGATTTTCCAGATCTCAAAAGTAAGTGCAATGCGGCGACGCAAACCTTTGTCCCCTTCATAGCGTAAGAAAAGCTTTGCCGTCGATACGAGTCTGTTGACCAGCTGCTCGAGGAGGCCGTCCCGAACAAGCTACGGAAACTCCTTAACAAGGCGGAAACCGACCAGCTCATGGAGGCTCTCGACAAGGAGGATGCGGAACGACAGCAGCGGGCGCTCGAGGACGCGGCAGAGCAGAGCGGTGATCGGCAGTGGACGGCTATGGAACTCTTGTGCTGGCGCATCCTCGTGATCGCTGCGCCTTTTGTGGTGCTGGCCACGCTATACTTCGGGATCGAGGGAGACCGCGCCGCGGTGACGAGCAGTGGGACACGTAGTAGTACCACCGGAAGTTCAGGTTCACCTTCAACTGCAAAAAGAAAAACGGGGGCAGCCGCTTCAGCAGCAGCAGGCAGTCGCACTGGCGAAAGAGGGAGGGGTACTACAGGCGGACGATACGCGCGACGCAAATAAACCGATCCTCCGAAAAATGGACCGCCTGAACTCAAAGAAATTTCGTAGGATAGAAAGATGACAAGGATTGTTGAGTAAAACCGTAGCCGTCCGAAGATGCTGGATATTTCTTTGAGTCAGGTGACCCACTTTGCAGGATCGAGGATTTTCCTTCGACAAACTAAAGCACGGACGACGCAGTAGTTCGCACTACGACGCTGACGTCAATGCCGATGAGCTGTAAAGATGGGAACGAAATATAGTACTGCATCGTGCTGTGAAGTGAGTAATTAATGATTAGGTACAGCGATGGATTCGAATTAAGTTGTCGCATTCTGTGGAGTAGAAACCCTGCAATCCCCGTGCAATAAGTCATATGTGAACGAAGCATAGTGCAGGTGAACCGTAACTCGGAGTTCGAGTTTATCCTTGCGGTGGAATTATATCAGCGCTGACAGTCTGCATCGTTCATCCGCCTCGATCAATATTTCCAGTTTCATACACCAAGAGGAAAGAAGATTAGACCGAGAGTCGCCCCCGCGGCTCCTCTTCATCAAACTTACGCTTCTTGGTGTTCCAACGGAGTCTTTCTCGCGTACCACTAGCTGGTAAGTTGTGATGTACACTAGTAATTCTAATTTTAATATCTATCGAAGTCAAAGTTGTGGAAGGATCGGTCTCGTTGCCAAGCGCACTACAAGAATCAGTCTACTCCGAGAATGCGGGACGAGGAAGCGGCAGAACAGCGTGCGCAGCCCGGCGGGAGCAAAGACATAGACACGCTCGACGATGCCGAATTCCGGCGCGTCGACATCGTTTTTACGGATTTGGACGGCACCTTTTTCCCGGGGGCCTACGAGGAGGTTCCGCAGGAGGAGGCACGCATGTTTCGTCGGAATCTGAAGCTCGCGGAACAGTTGGAAAAGGAATTGCACATTCCCGTCGTGCCGGCCACGGGCAATAATTTGGGCATCGCCCAAATGAAGTTCACGTCGACCGCCGCAAAGGACAAGGGTGCTGTCCTCCGCGACTTGAAAACGACGCCGGGGATCTACTGCAACGGGGCTTTGGTGAAGGGGGTGAACGTATCGAAAGGAAAAATCCCCCCTCCCCATATCGAAAACGAAATTTGTGATGCTGTATCTGAGTTCACAAATCGACTCGTCATGCTAGAAGGCCAAGAGCCGCAGTCGTGGCCTCGTTTGCAGGCAATTTGTCATGCTGTTTCCCAATCTCAGCTGCCTCCTATCATGCTGAAGATGCAAGGCTTCCCCACGCCACCCAGCACTACAGTCCGCATCTTTTCCCGTGTAGCATGACAAAGCTGATTTGTGACAACAAATCTGCATCACAGATTTCCGTTTTGATATGGGGAGGGGGGATTCTTCCTTTTGATAGAACGGGAAAGAAATAGCGGCGGAGATCGTTCCGAAGACGTTCGTGGAGAAGCTCACACAAACTGCGGCAAGGTTCGCGGAAGCGGTGGAACCGGGCGCGTGCTTCGCCGGCCTGGGGCGGGACGTTTGCTGGTTGCTTGACGTGCAGCAGGACGCTGTGCGCGAAACCGGGAACAAATTCCTAGACCGGATGGGGCTCCTTCTGGCAGAGGACGAAAGTAGTGCTGCAAGCAGACGCAACTCGGGTGAAGAAGGAGCTCCGAAGTTCTACGAGTGGGTGTCGGATCCAGCTTTTCTGTCCTCGCAAGACTGCGACATCTTGAGCTTTTTGATTCTTTTTTCAAACCAGGGCGACTCGGAGACGCCAGCGGCGAAGGAAGTGAGGCTGCTGCGAGCGCAAGCCTTTTTGCAAGCCGAGGGCATTCTTGATTTTGGCCAGCATGGCGCGGAAAGGTTGGGAAACGGTGTGGGAGAAGGTGTCGTTTGCAAACACGTCCATGTTTATCAGGGGTAGTATGGGAAGAGGCTGCGTTCGTTTGGGTCTGTCAAACGCGAGGAACAGGGGACCCTGGTCCTAGTTAGGATGACAAAAAGAAGCCGTGCGTAGGGAACCAGATGGTAATTTTTTTGTTGAATACCAGTACCACCATATTGAAGCAAGGAGCTGCAGCTGCTCTTCCTTATTGTATGGTAATTGCAGGCGATGCCGATAGTATTTTCGGTTCGCATTCGGAGTTGCTCGGAAAAGAGCAGGCTCAGCGGCGCACGCTTTCCTTGCTCATACCCCTCCTGGTATCGGTCCAGAGATCGATATTTCACCTGACGGCGTGAATAAGGGGAGTGCAATTAGGAAGTTTCTCGAAGCAGGGGCTGGCGAAAATACTGGTACTGCGAAAACTGTCGCGGTTTTTGGCGATGCAGGTAACGACCTAGAGCTCTTCGGAGTGAAGCGTGGACCTTCGGCCGAGCTGTTGCCCTTATTCCAGGACGGTTTCGATTATCGACCGAAAATTCGTGTCGCCATGCCGTTATCCACCCTAACGGATGTGTCAGGGTCAGAGAAACAAGTTCAAGATGAAATTTGCACTGACAGGCAGAAAAGCCGCTGCGCCGAGCTGATTGAGCATAAAGGCATATACAATACTGAAAACGAGCGCAACGAGAATGAAATTTGCAATGACTTCTTGTTTCTACAAGGTACACGAGCTGTTTTCGCAAATATATTTGATGTTGTACTGTACCTGTATCCTGACCCTTTGACATGCATAGCTCTGGGCGAATGATAGTTTGTTGGTAAAGGACGCTACTATTGTTGACACGGTAGATAAGGTTTTGAAAAGGATTGTAAGCGCGAAGTCGAATCGGTAGTACTGCTACTGCCATCTGCGTGCTTTAATGGCAGGAGCAAATGCAACTCTATATCAATCAAAATTATCACATAAAGAGCTTAGGTGCTGGCTACCTGAATACAGGCTAAGGCTATACTGAAAGGCTTAAGTTGTTCAGTCGTGCTGATAGTCTTCTACTTTAATCTTTTGAAATGATTGCGGTTCTCTTTTTTTAGTCCTTGCCGAGGCTTTTGAGAGGGCGACGATAGTAGAGAGGGGTTTAACGTGCGAGATTTGTTGGCGCAGAGAAATGAAAGAGGTCTGAGGGACGAGCGGAGCGTCGTATGATTTTTGGCAAAAGTTGGGTTTACTTACAGTGTTTCTTTTGCAGGTGCGAAACCTTTTTGCTCCCTTCCGTGGTCCCACTTGCGAGTTCGTGGTAGGACGCGGCGACGCAAAGCTCTGACTGTTCTGCAGACACATTTGCACCCCCCCCATTGACATCTTAGCTACGGAAGAGTTAGTAGTCCGCAAAAGACAACCCTTCACAAAAATGGCTACGACAGGGTCGAGTGCCGAACGCTAGTTCGGACAAACTGTCGTGGCGGAAGGCCACAATGGGGCGGCTCGTGGAAAAGTCGCTTCGCGGCCTGGCGCTGGTCGGCGCGCTGCCGCAAAATCAGGACTTTTTCGCACCCAGCACCGGTTGGGGCACGTCTTCTTCTAGTTCCTCAAGGTTTCCCAACCACAATAGGCTGTTCGCAACGGCGTCCAAAGTTCTTGAAGAAGGCGTCGGCAGTGTGGAAAACAAGCAGAGCGAAGAGCGGCATGCAGGAAGTTCCGGAAGGGATCATGCCGAGGGGGGAAGTAGTACTGGTGCAAGCAACTCCGCTGCGTCCAAAGCTGCAGCTTCTGCGACCGGCGGAAGTGGAGTCGGAGTGCAACCGCGAAAAGGTTCAGCAAGCCCCCCGCAGGCCACGACGCGGCGCACCGCGAAGATACCTGATAAAGATGCGCCGCACATGCACGGGGCGCGGCAGTTGAACGACCGGAGGCTTGTCGCAGAGGAGCAGGAGCACTCAAAACACGCTAGAAATTCAGGCACAGCAAAGACAAGCTCGCACGAAGCGGCCATTAACGAGAAAATAGACTACGGCATCTACGGCGAAGACAATTTCAACGAGGAAGGTTTCGACGTGGTTGGGGCTCGAGGCGAGCTTGCAATCCATAGAATACCTGCGTTTCAGGAAGAAACCATTTTGAGCGCTCGGGACCCGAATTACGAGACCAGTGCCGCATTTGATGAATACAAGAAGAAGGTACTAGCGTGACTTGTAAATAAACGTTTTTTGTTGACGAACTTGCTGCGTGAAGTTTTTTTGTATCTTGTTTGAAACGAGAACAGAGGACAATTTAAAAGTTCCATTGATCATCTCCTGCAGCGCGAGCCGATCGTGAACCAGTTGCGAGAGCGAAAACTGAAGCAAATCCTGGAGACCGGCCCGCAAGGCGAACTTCGAGAACACGTGGACGAGGGCGAGCAAATAGCGCGGCCCGAGCTTCACCAAGACCCGGGAAAAACGTATGAGGAAATTGTGTTTTCCGACGGATCCGCGGTGCGGTTTCCCGGAAAAACGGAAAGAAGAACGCTGTCGAGTGTACGCAAATTTTAAATTTTTAGACAAAAAAAGCACCTTATTCTCTAGTAGCTCTTCCAAGCTGTCAGTAGGTGTTGGTGTTTGATGAAATGATAATGTCAAATAGTAAAAAACTAAAAAAATCGCATTACAGTCCCATCTTCCGCGACACGACCGGTTTCTTTTTGCCAATAGCACGACGCAGCTCGCGAGCCAGCGCGAGATGCTGTTGCAGATGGAGCGAAAAGTCGTAAACCTCGAGGACTACATATCCTGCGTAAAAACGTCCCCACCCCAGAGTTGTAATGCAGATTTGCAAAAACAGGAAGACTTGCAATGCGCATCCCCATGAGAGCCATTTCCAGTCGTGTTTTGGAATTTTTGATGCTGTAAACGGGATCAGCAGGTCGATTTGTGATGCGGCTTTCCTTGCTAACTTGCACTACCTTACGGACTGAAACTTGTCATGCGTGACTCACAAAACTCCTAGGCTTGTGTTGCAAAATCCCCATCCTGACTCTGGTGTGGGTACGTTTTTACTCAGGATACTACAGCAGCAAGCATTTTGACAAAAGTGCTTGGAAAAAGTCGCCGTTTACCGAGTACAAGCGAATGCTCTCCTCGCACCTAGGGACGGACAATTCGTTCACGACCATGGCCTACCGGCACCCCGAGCAGTGCGAGCGCAAGGAGTGCATAGCCAACAGCGAACCAAATTGCAAGGAGCACCTGCCAGGGTATATGAGCAACTTTTCTTTATTCAACATCCCGGTGGAGTTTTGATTGTGTGTGTCTGCTTGGAGAAATCAATATGGTCCATCTCAGTATTTGCGGAGCACTCTGCCTTCACCCTGGTGTTGTTCCTAGCTTTTTTTGTATCGAATCAACTAAACTGACCAGGTTTTATCTGAAAGAGCGAGGATGTGCGGACCACGCAGACGGCGGAAAGAGGATATGCACTGACTGCCAATACTCTGCGGCCCTGGGCCAACCAACCATATGCCAGTGCGAAAAGACACCATACTCAACCAAGGTGCAATACAACGAGCCCTGCGACAGCTCCAGGTACTTGTTTGGTTTTTTCATCAGTGTCGCTCCTTTCACGCCGCGTTTCCCCTCGTGTGAGATCCTGAATTCATCATCTAGATGACTCTACTTTCGCTTTCGCTATGTGAAGCGCAGATCAGTCTTTCCAAATAAACACCCTGCAGAGTGTGTCTGGCCGGCGAGTGCTTTCGCCCGTGCGAGTTTTTTCTTCACGTGAGCACGTGCCCAGAGGAAAGGTGTATGTGGAACACGACCGCGTTGAACTGTGTTGATATCCCCGCTTCTATTGAGAGGAAAAATCCCCCCTCCCCATATTGAAAAGGTATGTTTCCAAAAATTTGCGTTGCGGATTTGAGGTCACAAATCACGTCTGTCTTGCAAGAAGACAAGAGCGGAAGCGTCCGCCCCATTATGGAAGCGATTTGTCATGCTGTTGGACCTAAAGGGGGGCCGTTTGCCATGCTGAGCTACTAGACCCGTTGCACGCCCCTACCTAGCCTGGGGATCTGGCCGCAGTGCCTCTCTGCAATACAAAGCTGAATTGTGGTCACAAATCAGCACCACAAGTTTCCGTTTTGATATGGGGAGGGGGGATGTTTCATTTTGATAGCTTCGCTGGTCTACACGGAATGGGCTTCGCTGGTGCTCGGCTCGGAGGCAACAGAGGGCGTGCGCGGACCGATCATACTTGCCGGCGTTTCAAAAACCATCTTTCCGCTAAACTTCGAAAAGTTCAACCAGATGTCCAGCACGTATCGGATCATGGGAAATCCCATTACGCAATACATCACAATGGTATACACATTCAAGTACTTTTGTTCTTCTTCTTTGCTGGGTAATTGGAATTGCGTAATTTTGATGTGATGTGTTCTCAGATCAGGCGCAGAAAATTCGAGAACCGGAATGAACGACAACATACAGGTGGAGTTTTTCCAGCGATTTGATCTCAACTACGACGGCTTCCTGACAGCACACGAGTTCGAGCACCAGCTGACAAAAACCCTAGTCGAGCTGGAGGTACGTGAAAAGGTTGTTGCTTCGACACGATTTCTGCAAATTTGAGTTTTAGGTTAGTCATACTGAAGGAACGCATTCAACACAGATTGGAGCGTCATAATTCTATTTGCCATCTGGATTCGCTGCTGTAGAAGTGCTGCGTGTTTTGTTCGAAAGAAAAACTACCTTGAAACCCCAGGCCGCGGCCGAGCTCCAGGCGGAGCAACAAGCAGTGCAGGCGATGCAGAATTTGCAGAACGCGCGTCAGCTGCAGATTGTGGGCAACGTCGCGGCGCACCAACAGCAGGCACTGTCGGCGGACAGCTGTCTTCAGGAGATTCCGCCGAAGTTCTACTGCAGCATCCTCGTTCTGTGCGTGGAGGACTGCTCCGTCTGCGGGTGGAAGTCCGTCGGCGACACGGAGTTTTTCATTTGCGTCGGGCCCTCGCCGGCGAGCTGCGCCGACGCGGGAAAGTACTACTGCGGCGCGGACCAGAAGTGCCACGACTTCTGCCGGGACTGCGTCGGCAGACCAATTCTGGACTACAGTCAAAATGCCTGCCTCAGCCCCTGGTGGGACCCCGAGCCCAGCTACGATACCTCCACCTGGATCTGCCGGCACCGGAGAAAAGTCGGCCGGTCGTGCGTGCACGACCAGGACTGCATTTACGGGCTGCACAAGTGTCTGTCGGCGAGAACAACCATGGGCAATGTATATTCATACAAAATTTTTTATGATCGAATGACACTGCGCCGCGTGAACAAATAAACTTCACAGTCAGACGCGCAATGACAAGAGCTTTTCCCTATATACTGAATAACAGAAACGGGAGTGCATGCCGCTGCGGCCGTACGAAGAGACGCACATTTGCAAGTCGCACTTCGACTGCCCACACGTTGACTACTACTGCCCAGACGATCCGACCGGCAACGACCCGTTTTGGATCAAGTACTGTCGGATGCAGTTAGACGAGGGTCGCAAGTGCCAGTCCGACCACGAGTGCAAAGCCGACATGCTGTGCAACAGTATTGAAATTCCGGCCGCCCGGTGTAGGAAACTCTTTGACTTGCCCTTGGGCCACTTAGCGAAAGACGATAGGCTCTGCATCACCGGGTGGACAAACAAAAACCACGTCTGCACGTACAATTCACTTTTGTGTTTCTTTCATTTCGCGCATTGATTTCCTCCTGCTGACGTTCGTTCTACTTGTTGGCCTACTTAGTTATTCACTAAGGCCCATGGCCAACAGAAGTTGACTAGGAAAAAATGCAAAAAAAATATAGGTACCCGGCCAAGTCAAAAAGAGTAGGCAAAGCGTGCACGACACACGAGGATTGCACGACGACCGATCCCACGGGAAGGACAGGTGAAGTGATTGTCGTGAAATTGCATTTTTCCTTTTGATTTTGGACCGTGAGGCAAGCAGCTATAACTCCTATTGCTGAGCTGCGGAAGTTAAAATTTTGCGACGGGGAGGAAAATCGTCCACGCCGAAAATTTTTTTACAGTTTTCAAACGTCCCAAAAGTTTCGCGATTTGCGAAATCGCCCACCGCCCACCGCCCAATTCGCATCGCCAAACTAGCCACCACTCCCATCGCCTAGCTCCCAACTTTCATCGCCCACTTCCCAATCCCCATCGCCCAGCTCCCAACTTTCATCGCCCAACTCCAATCGCCCGACTATTTTGCGACGCAAAATATTTTGCAACTCGCAATAATTTGCGAATCAAAATACTCTGCAACGCAAAATATTTTGCAACTCAAAATATTTCGAAACTAATATTTTGCGAGGCAAAATGTTTTGGATGTCGGAATATCTTGCAACTCAGAATCTTTTTCCACCCTCGGAAACTATTCTGACCAGAAAATTTTTCGCAACATCAACCCCCCGAAGAAACCGCTTCCCCCGTTTTTGCAGCTTTGAAAGCGGGCGGCACGGGGAGAGCAGAAAGCACGGG